AGCCCCCAATGGTCGTCCGAAAAGCCCTCAAACACACCTAGCCCCGNAGCAGAAGGCTTTGCGCGACCGTGCCGACAGCGATTTACAAGTAAGCCGCTGCCTCTGTCCGCCGTGTCTGAATGCCCGCTGACATGGCTTGTTAGNNCACTCACGTATGCGTCCCCACCAAGACTCCTCGCCGTATCCTTGGTCCCAGCGACACCTGAACTTTACCGTCCCTACGAACCATCCTTTCCCTCGTTATGGCGCCGCCGCCAACTCACTGTCGTCCAAGGATGGTTCAATCTATATCATGGGTGGTTTGATCCACGGCTCGACCGTCAAGGGCGACTTGTGGATGATCGAGTCCGCTCCCAACAACCTCAGCTGTTATCCCGTCGCGACCACTTCCGAGGGCCCTGGTCCAAGAGTCGGACATGCTGCCTTACTGGTTGGAAACGCCTTTATTGTCTTTGGAGGAGACACAAAGACGGACGAGACCGACATGCTCGATGATACCCTTTACTTGCTGAACACTTGTGCGTTGTCGGATTTCTGGTCGAGTTTTTGACTTCTGCTAACTGTTGACAGCCNNACCAAGCAATGGTCGAGAGCTGCTCCGGCAGGCCCTCGTCCTCCGGGCCGCTATGGTCACTCGCTAAACATTATTGGCTCAAAGATTTATATTTTTGGTGGTCAAGTCGAGGGCTTCTTCTTCAACGATCTAGTCACGTTTGACCTCAATGCGCTGCAGCAGGCCAGCAATAGATGGGAGACGCTGATTCAAAACACCATTGATGGAGGCCCTCCACATGGTCAGATCCCTCCAGCACGCACCAACCATTCAGTTGTAACGTGGAACGAGAAATTGTACCTCTTTGGCGGTACAGACGGAGTCACTTGGTTCAGCGACGTCTGGGCCTACGACCCTCGAACAAATTCCTGGTCGCAGCTCGAATGTATTGGTTACATCCCAGTAGCTCGTGAGGGCCACGCGGCTGCATTAGTCGGCGATGTCATGTATGTGTTTGGAGGCCGCACTGAAGAGGGTAATGATCTCGGCGACCTTGCGGCTTTCCGCATCACGACTAGGCGCTGGTACACTTTCCAGAACATGGGTCCTTCGCCTTCACCTCGCTCCGGACATAGCATGACTGCTTTCGGAAAGCATATTATAGTCACTGGTGGTGAGCCAAGCTCGGCCCCACGAGATGCTGCCGAACTCAGTCTTGCATACTACTTGGACACCAGTAAGATAAGGTATCCCAACGACTCTCAGTCGCAAATGCCGGCCGATCAACGAATCCAGGGTCACAGACGCCCAAGCGGTGACAGGACCGGCATCCCACAGAGTCGTGCCTCTCCTCGAGACCAAGTGGATTTTGATGGCCCTCGACGTCCTGGTAGAGATAGCTCTATCCCAGTCAATCGAGCTCCTGATCCCATGACTGTAGGTTCGAGGCTGCCGCGTGCTGCTGGACCGTCAGGACCTGGTTCAGCACCTCAGCAACAACAACCACAACAACAACAACAAAATAAACCTACAACACCACCGAGTCGCCAACCAACCAGACCGGAACGTGCATTGAGTCCGAACCAAGCTGCGGCGTCGCCCACTGTTGTTACTCGCATGGCCCCCGGACCTTTCCACAATGACTCGTTTGGAGCAAGAACAATGTCACCAACAACAGCTACTCCTACAATGGCCAGCACAAACGCAAACATCAACCCAAAGAGCCTAGATGACGATCAAGACAGAGCGCCGCAGACATACAAACCAACTCATCAACCAATTCCTTCGATTGACAAGTCTGTGGATCAAACTTTCTCGCCCCCATCCAGGACTAGTTCAAGAACTGGGGCACAAGCAGCTCGCGAAAACACCGAAGAGCCAGCCAATCAACCAATGCACCGTACGCATCCATCATTGCGAAACTTGGAGCCGCAAGAACGATTCGATAGAGGAACGCCAGTCGACATGTCCCGCCATCCCACTCAGAGAGAGATTGTGCCTGACAATGGTCCTCAAGTTGTACAGAGAGAACCCCAGATCGATGGCGCACTGGACCAAGCACCCAAATCTAATCACAGCAGTCTAACCAAAGAGCTGGAAACCGAGAAGACCAAAAATGCCTGGTTCGCATCGGAGCTTGCGCTGGCACGAAAGGCAGGTTACTCACGAAGCACCACAAACACTCCAGCCTTCGATGAACGCTCTACCGACGCGTTTGGCGATGACGATAGACCACTCGTGGAAGCTTTGCTCCGTATGCGCGCAGAGCTGGCCAAGGTGCAGGGCTCTATTGATAGTCAAGCAGAAGCTGCGGCCGCTCGTATCGCCGAAATAGAAAAGCAAAGAGATACCGCCATCAGCGAAGCCGTCTTCGCCAAAGCAAAGCTCGCAGGTCAAGGCGGCGCTTCACCTCTACTGGACTCTAGCCGACATGGTACTCCCGACACAGATCGCGTCGGTGACATGAATAGACGACTTGCATCTTCACTTGCAGCTCAGACCGAATTGTCCCGCAAGATTGACAGCCTGATCCATGAGAAGGAAGCCGAGAAGCAAGCCCGGCTTTTGGCAGAAGAGACTGCCGAAGCCGCTCAGCAACGCGTCACCGAACTCAACACGGATAGACAACGCATTGCCTCAGAAATTGAATCGCTCCGCGACGAATTACATGAGGCTCAGAAGACTGCTAGAGAAGCTTCTGCCAACCATGCTGATGCGCTTACTTCGCACAAACTTCTAGCCGTTGACAAAACCGAACTCAGCACCAAATTGGAGAACGCTCTCGCAGAAACAGCGGAACATGGGTCAATTCTCGGCTCTTTACGCGAAGCACTAGCAGCGTCGACTGACAAGTCTAATCTTCTCGAGAATCGCCTCGAGGAAGAGAAGAGAGAGCGAAACGAGCTCGAGCAGCAAGTCTCGCAACTCCGATCGCAACATGAAGAGCGTGCCATGGAGCTCGAATCCACTGGCCGGCGGCTTAGAAATGCAGAAGATCTCGCCGAAAAACATGCAACTGAAGCACGTACTCACCGTCAAGCTGTTCTAGACGGACTCGGCAAGATCTCCTCACGCGGTTCCGACACTCGCAACGTTGCTGATGAGCGTGTCACTATCCTTCATGGGCAGGTCGAAACGGCCAATACCATGGCCAGGCAAAACCAAGCTGCAGCCGATCTTGCCTCTGAGAAACTGCGACGTGCTGAAGAGCGTATTGCTGGACTTGAGTCTTATCAAGAGCAGGCCTCCCGCGAAGGCTTGACGATCCGAAAGCAGCTTCAGACGGCACTCAAGGAGGCTCGAACCCTGGCCGAAGAACGGGCTGACTTGCAGCAGCAATTGCAAAGCCAGCAGCTCGAAACAAATGCCATTGCTGTGCAGCATGGTGCGCTCAAGGACATTTTGTCTGAGCGTGGTGTCAACCCTGTTGATGTGCGCAAGTCTAGAGGCTTTGACTCGCCTTCATCGCAAATCAGATTCGGCACTCCTGATATCCAGCGTGTCAAGGAATTGGAGCAGCAACTAGATGCTAACCTTAGAGCGCACGAAGAGATGAAGACTAGTCTCGAGGAAATGCAGGACCGCGAAGGTCTTACCAGAAAAGAGTACGAGGATAAACTTGCGACATTGCACAACGATCATCAGGCAGCCGTCAAGTACCTTCGTGGCACCGAGAAGATGCTTAGTAAGATGAAGCAGGAACTGCAGCGTGTCAAGAACCAAGCTGCCGACTATGCAAAGGAGCTGGACACGATGCGTACCAAAGAGAACGATACTCGTAGCCTGGATCACGAGTCTAATGCCAACAACGGTGAAGAGAGAGATGACCTCCAAAAGGACCTCGAAAAGATGAAGACAGACCTGGAGGCCCAAATTTCGAGCCTGCACCTTCAGCTTGGCGAGAGAGAGACCGATCTCAACACTCTGCGCAACTCTCACGAAACGACGCAATCAAAGTTTGCCACGCTTCAGTCGACTCACGAAACCTCGCGAGCAGATCTAGATCGCCTGCAGAGGGAGAATGCACAATTGGAGGAGCGCGCTCGGGATGCCGAGAACAAGGTCCAACTCCTGCTTGATCAAGTCGAGTCATCTGTCGACAATTATCGGCGTCAATCGTCGATGCCAAACGGCAACACAAATGGTTTTGGTCACCACAGGGCGCTGAGCAACGTGAGTGCCAGCACGGCCAATTTTATACCAACGCACTCTCGAGGCCATTCTCGAGGCGAATCACTGGGAGGTGACAGCATCTACTCCCAAAGTGTAGCAGCTTCGGAGACGGGCGAAATTGAAGTGCCAGACGGACGTGATAGCCTCGCGCTCGACAATCTAGCCACAGAGCTGGACGCTCTACGCACGCAGTGGGAGACGACCAACAAGTCATACCGTATCAGCGATCTCGAATTCGAAAAGACACCGACGAGTGGTACCGCGCCAGCCGAGTTTGGCCTGGACAACTGGAGACGTGGATTAGAAGTTGGCCACGATGATGACGATGATGAGCGACCGAGCACGTCGAGTTCAGCTGCCCAGCCTGTGACTTCCTCGTCGGCTGCAGCAGCACACCCAGCCGTCAAGGAACGGGTTTGAGTTCGATGACAAGATGCCGTTGTGCAAGCTTGACGTTGCTCGGTGCAAAGAGATGGTCCGTGATGACCTACGGACGTTGACGTTCTTCTGTTTTCTGGTTTTTTTTCGTTTCATTTCGATTTTTGATTGATTCTTGTCTTGTTTGCGATATACCTTAGTTTTGGTTCCCCGTTTAAGTCTTTTCGCTCGATGTAACTTGTCAATGAAATAAGGTCTTGCACGAAGTAACGGCGACGAGGATTGTAAAATGATCGCTTCCCGGTCCATTAATACAAAGACAATAGCATTTTCGGCTTTCACAATGGGCTTTTGAGACAAAGGTGATTGAAATCGAAGACAGGAATGAAGCAAAGTTGGTGGGGGTATCTAAGCAAAGCAAAGCAAAAACAAGGTCTTAAGACGGCCAAACAAGAGGTCAAATCTGAAGCATGAGACGAAGACCAGAGTCGACAGACTTGAGCCACTTTCCCCTCTCGTCAAGGTCCTGAGCAAGCGAGTGCTGTCCCCGTCTCTTCTGAGCCTCTTGGGCATCGGTGATGGCAGAGCGTTTGCGAGATTCAACGGGGTCCAGGTCGGCCTTTAGGGCCGCGACATGGCGTTTCTTGTCAGGCAGGGTAGATTGCAATTGTGCGATTTCGCGATCGAGTCGAGCAAGGTCTGAATCCTTTTCTGACAGCAGTCGGTTTGTAGCGAGGAGAGGAAGATTGAGCATGGGCAAGGACGAGGGCGCTTCCTGGGCAGCTTTGAGGTTTGCGATGGTGAGTTCGAGATTGTGAATGTCGGCAGGCAGGGCGTGCAGTTGTGTGGTTTGCAATTGGATCAGTTCGTGAGCTGGGTGCCTTGTTAGTGGATGAGGTTGGAGAGACGTGTCGAAGGGGGACTCACATTGTGCTAAACGGCTTCCCAGTTCTTGCAGCTCCTGGACTTTCTGGTTGGTGTGTTCCTTCTTGGCCTTGAGAGCAGCCTTGGCCTGGGCTAGGTCATGTTCCAGACGGGCATTCTCGGCAGCATCGACTAGCTGAGGAGGATCGGCGACGATTGCCTTGAGGAAGCCCTCTTTTGTGACTTGTTCGACATAGGAAAAGCGCAGTTTGGAAAAGAGATCCTTGTAGTGCTCGAGCTCGGCGTCCAGGGAGGATTTGGTGAGGCGGTCGGCGCTGTCGTGGGCGGCAAGGAGCGGTTCGGCGAGGCTGAGGACGGTGAGCGACGAGTCTTCTGTTTGAGCCATTCTGGTGGTCGGAATGATGGCAGTCCAACTTGTCGTTGTCTTGTTTACATGTTGACGAGCAAGGGCCACTTTCCCCACACGACAGGCGGGAGATGCACGGTGGCACGTCACCCAAGCCTTGTGCTTTGTCCCTCCGTCCTTTCACATGCCTCTTTCCTTGGACAACCCCCACCGTCGAGAAAGCATGCCTGCCTCTGGACACGATGATATCACCGACGACTATGTCACCGACATGCTCAAGCGAGATGCCAAGGCCTTGTCCTCGTCGTCGAGTCTCGCGTCGCTGATGAACAAAAGGTGCCGTCCATGAGCGCCGCTGTCCAAAGTCTCGCATCGCTTATGCCTTCTTTGCTACCAGCNNTCGCGCTCGCCCAACCCTCCCAAACCAAACACCACCTTCCTGAGAAATATCTTGCGTCACACCGACAACCACAACTCGGCCCTGCTCAAGAAGGAGGCCGACGAATCAAGACTCCGTCTGCAAACCCTGCCTCGCGACCACCGCCCTGCCCAGCAACTCTACTCTGCACGCGATAGACACAATCCCAAGAGGAGGCGTCTCGATCCTGACCACCATGACCATCCATCTGCCGAGCACAAGACCCGTGAGACTCGTCGCCACTCCCCCGAGACGAAACCCAGCCATCCCCGCTCAACCCGTCGCGACACCTCGCCTGACCGTCATTCCTCGCATCGCCATCACAGAGACCGCCGTTCGCCAGACTCAAGACATCACCACAAATCAACCAGACGCCACCATCACTCGAGACACCGCTCCTCTTCACCACGTAATCGCCATCCATCGACGAAACCATCAAAGTCGTCCGAAACCTCGACTCATCGCCACAAGCGAAGGCATTCTCCACCGTCGGATGCATCGGATTCCGATCCTCTAGATGCCATCATTGGCCCTGCACCTCCGTCCAACCCACCAGTTCGCTCACGGGGCCGTGGCGCTCAGAATCATGCTTCGGCCATCGACAATCACTTCTCCTCAAATTACGACCCATCTGCAGATATACAACCAGATCCGCAAGAAGACGATGACTGGGACCAGGCTCTCGAGGCTCTACGGGATCGCCAGAAATGGAAGCGACAAGGCGCAGACAGACTCCGTGCCGCCGGCTTTACCGAAAAAGAGGTCAGCAAATGGGAGAATGGCGGCGAGAAATCCGAAGAGGACGTCGTATGGGCAAAGAAGGGCGAGGGACGGGAATGGGACCGAGGCAAGGTTGTAGATGAGCATGGACTGGTTGATGTCAAGCCTGAATGGGGCAGGCTGAAAGATTCCTAATTCTTGCCTGAGCGTGTCAATTACCCACACGAGTATTCAGAAACATGTTCATCACGATTAGCACATACTGTTTGTTCCAACCAGACTGAGCAGTTCGAAGCTTGCATTGGCATTTCAGTGTTTTGGCGTCACTCTCCGTCTACTCTATGATTTGCTTTTTGGCTATACATCTCTGACCCTGAGTCTCATTGCTTGGGGACTTCACCTTGGACGTCCAATACACGTCACTCAATCGAAGTTGAGAAACCAATAGACCGGGTCCTACCCGTCTCGATGTACGCTGGCGATTGCTCCGTCGAATTGCGTTTGGTCATCATCCATCAATGCTGGCATCGAGTCGTCGTTGTCGTACGCGTCATGATCCAGATCCATGAACCGATCCTCGACATCCGAGCCAACATCTGGACGGTCAGAGGCCGCAGGCGTGTTGACCGAGGTGGTGTTATCATCTTCGCCCAAGCCATCGAACCCCCAGGTGGCTTCCTGGTTGGCCAGTGCAGCGGCAGTGACGTTGTTGTTGTTGTTGTTGTTGTTGTTGTTGTTGTTGTTGTTGTTGTTGTTGTTGTTGTTGTCATTACTGTAGAGCTCGTCGTTGAGAGAGATGCCCTCATCGTCATCCGTCTCATTCGTCAATCTCACTGCCTGGCTCACTCCTCTGCCAGGGCCACCTCCGTTGGGTCCCTGATGAAGCGTCCCGGTGATCGTGGCTCCTGCTCCGACTGCTCCAGCGTCCAACGACCCAGGCAGGCGAGAGGTAGCCGAGGAGTGGTCGCCGAGACGCTCGCCTTCCCCNGACTCTTCCTCTGCATCCGAGGCTTCGTCGGGGTTGCGTGCCTTGAGAACCAACTCTTGCAGGTATGCAGGACCCAGAGGCGTCGACGAGCGGCGACGGTAGAAGAGCAAGTACGCGGCTGTCGACACGACACCTTCTGCATTTTGTCGACTGACGGAGGAATCNTGCTCACGAGTTAGCAATCGTAAAATGTTGAGTAATAATTCTGTCTTGCTCTTACCATTGTAATCGTACCAGTTACCATCATAGAAGTTCTTGGCGTAGGCTGTGTAATGTCCACCACCAAGACCACCATAATGGTTGTCGACAGCAAACAAGTCGTAGATATATTCTTTGCCTTCTTCCTTGCATCCGATCCTCTTGGTCAAGTCGAGTCCTTCGATCGGGAAGTCGACAAGGACATCAACCTTGTCACGCCTGAAGCGTTCGCCGCTGAAGCGCTTGAGGTGGACGACAAGGATGTCGGGAACAGTCCAAAGCTCCAATGTCTTACTGGCACGGCGAAGTTCTTTGCACCTGCCACAGTACCATGCGTTGTCCTCCGACAACACCTCAGTCTTGCCGGTCTCGGTGAAGCAATCGTCAAGAGTGATGCCGTTCTTCTTGCGTTGCATACGCTTGTTTCTCTTCACTTGGAGCTCGGCATCGTCTACCAAAGGGACATCCTTCTCGTTGAATGTGAACTGGCCATTACCGTTACCGCCGCCAAATAGCAACTCGAAGGCGTCTGCCTGCCACTCGATCACGATGCCTTCGCCGAGTTTGACATAGAACTCGTTGTTGTCTGCTGGTTCGTCTGCTGCTGTAGAGCGAAGTACGTTAGAACGCGCTAGGGTTTTCTTGTTTGGACGACCGCCTTTGCGTGAATACGTCTTCCTCGCCTGTTTTTGATGGAACTTACGTCTGCGGTTGTCCTTGGCTGACAATTGTTCAAGCGAGCCCATGCCTGATTCCTCGTCGCTCTGCACATCGCCAGAAAATGTGTTCTGGGCGTTGGCCTTGAACGACTCCACCATTGGATCAGCATCTTCATCGCTTTCGGACGAGCTTCTACCTTGACCATCGTAGCCAGAGTCTTTGCTTCTGCCAGAGGTGTTTGAAGTGACTGAAGTGGTGCTGCCTCTACGTCGTTCAACAGCGCGGACACGGCTTTGCATGACGTGACCGTTACCGATACTATTCGTTCCGGTCATGAACATGTCGCCGGTAGCTTGGATATACTTGAGCTCAAACATGTTCCTGGGGTCGTGGGAGATGGAGTCCGCAGACTGCAAGGCTTCTGACGATTGTGCTGAGGGCGTTTGACTACCGTCGCGCATAGAAACGTCAACATCAGGCTGCTCATCTTGTGTCGAGCTGTGTTGATCTGGCTTGTTCGACAAATCCTCGAGGATGTGCTTTGTGGTCATTGTCGCAACCGAAGCAAGCACNCTTTTTTGAACTGCATCATAGTCTTTGGCCTCTTTTCTTGTGATAGTCACCAGAGTTGGATTGAGGACGAGGCCTGACGAGCGTTTGTCTAGTTTAGAATGGAAGACGGGTACCGCCATAGTCTCTGCAAGAGGCGAATCCATTCCTGGCAGAGTGTTCTCAGGCGCATCGTGGTAGAAGGAACGATAAGTTGACTGTTTCTTCGGCATAAAGGCTGCATTTGTCGGAGCCTCTGGGAGCTCGTACATACAGAGAACATCGTTGTTTGAGAATTCAAGCTCCGAGAGAGTTTGACTGTCGTATCCAATCTTGTAAAATCGATGACTAAACATTTCGGCAAAGATGAGCCTCTCACGGGTAAGTCCACGACCGATTTTACCAACAAAGATATCCTTGAGTGCCCTGATGGAGATGTTCTTCTCAACATCAATCTCGAAAGCAGAAGGGTACCCAGTGACGGGCATGAACATGATCTTCGCCTGCCAAGTGTTTTCAATCGGCAGTTGGAGAGTAAGAAGAGAATAAGGATCAAAGGTCACACTGACTTTGTCACAGTCGGGACAGACCATGGTGTTCTTGTAGAAGCCATTGAAAAGATCCATAGCAATAGAGTCGTTGCGGGCATGATGATTCGCTCTGTAGGTATCACCGAGCTGCCTGATAGCCTCGGGATCATGGACAGTCTTGTCATCTGAATCTGGATTCTCAATGTATGGCTTTTTGTGAATGCGGTTGAGGTCTTCGTGTAGAGCATCGACGAGAAAACTCAAAAACTCCTGCGAGTCTTGCTGACCATAACCTGAGAACATGGGCTGAGCCATAGAGAGGGCGCCCTTGAAGCCACCAGGTCGGTAGGCAGAAGTGGCATTGTCACTATAGAGCCCAGCGAGGAAGTTGGCGTAGGCATTTGCGATCTTACCATTGTAACCAAGCGGGTTGTCGGCATTAATCTCAGGCTTGTGTTTCTGATGAAGAAAGTAGACGGCCAGCTCCTCGACTCTACTTATGCATTGCAGAGCCGAATTCATGTAGCACGTATTGCCGAGGTTGGTCAGACCAATGGTACCACGGGTTCTGCCATCCTTGCGGGCACGTCCTCGTGTGACGGGAGCTGTAGGAGCAGGACTGGTACGTTTACTGGCACTCTCCGATAGAGAGAGCTGAGAATTGTTCTTCTTCCCCTTCTTGGCCACATCTGAAGCAAACTCTGATCCACGTTGCTGCTCCTCCAGAATCAGAGTCTGATCCGAAATCAAGCCAAGTGTCTCCAGGTCCAGTTTTCCATTGTACTTCTCATTTGCAGTGTGGTCTTGGCCATCAACAGACTCGAAGTTGGTTCCCTCTGTCCATCTGGCAAAAGCCGAGCTCTCAATGACAAGCTTCGAAGGAGCGGGAGGGGATGGTGAAGGATCCCTTGAGGTCGGAGGGCTCGGAATGCCTGGTTGAGAGATGTCGGGCATGTCACCAGAAACCTTTGTAGGGTCCAGCTGCCTGAAGATCTTGACCTTGTGCTGCAAAGGAATACCAGCAGCTTCCTTTGCACGAGCTAGGAAGCTTTGGAAGCGCTCAGTCCGCGAGGCAACCAGTTTGACAGCACCGACATCGTCTGGAGTGTTTTGATTGGCACTCGGTACTTTGCGTACAGTGAAGACTGGCGGATTCAGTTCATACACAATGTGGGCCGATGTTGAGCCCTCAGGTGCCGAGTTGTGTGCAAAACGCATGATGGGTCTCTGGCCGTCCGTAGTGCCATACCACGCGACGACTTGACACCATGCTCTCTCGGTGAATATCTCGTAGTCGGCAATTCTCTCTACGTCGGCGCGCAGAGGGATGAACTGCTGATCCGGCTTGCCTGGAAAGGCCAGAGGGTTTTCGAATGCACCTATTGTTCCAACTTCAGCCATGGCCTGCCATGGTNNGGCAGCAATGTACTTACCAGCGGTAACAACGGAAGAGTTGTCGATGTTGCCAATCTCTCCTTGCAACATTTCGGCATCGTAATCCTTCTGGTTTGCGCCTTCAGTTCTAGCCACTACTCGATTGAACCATTTGGAAGCGACAATGAAACCTTTTGAACCGTCTTCTAGGGGTGTGTTGAGTAGAGACTGAATGTGCGCAACCTGCTCTTCGATGCTCGGTGTGGGCGATGGACTGGCGTCGTGTTGGTGGGCAGCGTATGACGGAGGCGCATCTGCTGGTGCATTCAGCATGGTGTTGTCTTGAGCAGAGTCAATGCCTTCCATGGTGGCAGCAGATCGCTTGGCCGGCGAGGCAGGGCGTTGTGTCGGATTGAGAGCGTCGGCATCTCCATGGTTGGTGGAATGGGACATGTCTTCGGCCAAGTTCAGCTGGGCGTAGGCGTCGCTGGGAGAGCTGCCTCGCGAATCAAGGTGCAGATGGGGAGGGATGTAGCGCGGCGGCGACGAAGGAGTGTGTCCTGCTTGGTTGCTGGAGGGCGAGGATGAAGATTGCGGCGATGAGGGCTGGCGGTCAGGGTCATGCACAGTGTGATGGTATGCGTGTCTCGGATTGTCTGTGGCAGAGTCAGAGTGGACGACTTTCTGCTTCTTTGAGGACGCCGTCTTGAAGCTGGGGGAGCCGCCGCTGGAGGGCAGCTCGGTTCAGTCAAGGGAAGGGACGTGTAAGTACTGNCGACAAGAGGTCCGGCGAGGGTTGCTGCACTCGATTGTTCTGCTGCCAACGAGATGGAAATTGTGCTGCAACCACGCGGCCACGGCTTTGCTTCCTGACGTAGATTTTTGATCTGCCTCCGGTACCTGGGGTGTGGCTTGAACGAGACGTGATCTGCATCCAAGTGTCACGGTGCGCTTCTCTCTTTCTGCCCAGCGAGAACCTTGTGACTGTAGCAACAACAAACAGACTGCCGTTCGTCGCTTCACTTTTCTTAATGACCTTGCTGCATGTCGTTCACATTGAGACTGTCGGCGAACCTTTTGCTTGCAAACCCATGCAAAAGGCATCAATTGACCATTAATAGACATGCCTTGTTCTAATCTGACCTCTGCCTCTTCGGGCTTGTCATCTCCATCGAGGCATGATTTCGCACATGCTATTGCACTCGTTGCCTCAGGCCCTATTTCCCGAGTGTAACCAAGAGAAAGCCGAGCCTCCTCCTGCTGGATTGCTCCTCGTCTTACTCGTCACTGCCTCGACTTGAACGTCTCCCGTCACTCTTGTCGCTTTCTCGTCACCCGCAACAGTGTCCGGCCCCTTCTTCTTTCCATCGTCAAAATAACGCGATCTTCCTTCTCCAGCCGGCGATGATGCTACCGAGCCACTTGAAAATGTGCGCCCACTGCTTCTTGTCGGCCTTAGCACTTTGATACCAGCATCTCGCCGTTGGTAGCCACTGTCTTTGATCTTGGATGTAGTTTCTCCCACCTCTGAACCATTGTTTTGGTTTGAGGTTTCACGACGCCAATTGCTCCAGATCGATGGTGATGAAGCTGACGGTGCAGATGGTGGGACTTGTGTCGAGGCTGTAGATTCCTTGTTCTCTGATCGAACGATCCTTGAAGCAGATGTTTGTAACCTACTAGCACTGAGGCTTTCCTCAACTATTGGTTTTCCGGCTGGTCCTCGAAGAGTGTCGTTTACCGGCTGCAAAGGCTCATGTTCGAGTGTCAACTCGTTGGATGGAGTATTTGGTTCTGTTTGACCCAGTCCATTGAGAGTCTGTTCTTCTGGCATCATCTCTCGAGGCTTTGGGGGCTGTGAAGACGAGATAAACAAGGAGTTGAAGGTCGCCTCATTCTCAGGACGAACCAGAGGAATGGACAGCTTGCATTGATCGTCGTCAAAGAGAGTCATGCTGTTGGACGAAAACAATATGTCGGCGTTGTGTGACCGAAGCACATCACTGCCAATGACTATTTGAATAGCCTTGGAGTCAAGGTCTGGTTGCGTAGAGGCGACTATGTTGAACTCAACTGAGACTGAGGGAACCTGTGGTGCTGGACTACTGGACCGTGCTGAGATGGGATGTGGGATGGCCTCGGCGAAGTAGACGGATAGGGCAAGCAATCTCGTACCAGAAGCGCTCTCCACTACGAAGTCCTCCAAGCCTAGTTGCTGGACTAGACATTCATCTATCTGGGACCTGTACGATGCGGTGGACACGGCGGCGTATAGAAGGGCGTCATGCTTGAAGTTCGTGTTGATCCAACAACGCACAATGGCTGGGACAGGGCCCAAGATTAGTAAACCGGGTGCGATTGCTGGCGTGTCGACGGGAGAAGCATAGCCAGTATCTAGATTGATGCTACTAGCACGGCCCGAAGCGGCAGACCTGACCGAATGAACGGAGCTGGCACGTCCGTCAGACTTGTGAGACGAAGTGCGCTCAGTCATGCCGAGTCCGGCCAAGCTGCTTGCACTGCGAGGAAGGAAATCAATCGAGGATCGTGAAGCGTGAGCCCAGTGGCCTTGATTGGCAGATTCGTCAAAGCGGACGCTGTTGGCACGAGAGGTTGCACCCATGCGACGAGGCTCTTCATCCGGGTCGAGGTGGAGGCTGCCGATCAGATTGACGGGTTCATCATCAAAGTCCTTAAGGTGGTGGATGGGAGCATGTTGAGGAGTGCCACTCAGGACGCTCGGAAAGGGAGATGTGGCGCCCCAGACCGACTTCATCCTGGCGTCGTCGTCCTGGCGACGTTCAAGGCGTAGAAGGCGGTCGGTGTGGTCTTGCTGGACCTGCTGCAGGCGCAGCAAGTCGTTGCACAGGCGCCAGGAGTCGTTGTGCGGAACAAAGGTCACGCTCTGTGGATCCATCTACTCTCTGCCCCTCCGCTCACCACTAGACCAGAGCTTTGGCTTGCCTCTCGGTCCACCGTCCCTCCAGCTACCCAGCTCTTGACTTTGGTTTGCCGCCGTCTTGCTCACTCTACCGGTCGTGGGACTGAGCTTGTGTGCTTGAGGTTGACAAGATGGCGGCGTCCTTGTTGCAAAAGCGGGTCTCTGAGAAAGTCTTTTTGGAGAAAAAGGTGATGGGTTCGGCCGAGGATGACCAGGTGTTGATGGCGGGCCAGACAGAGCAGGAAATGTGGACGGCTGGGCTGTGGCTAGATGGTGGAATCGGTAATAAAGACGAATGGATCCAGCGAGCTGTTTGTGAATTTCCAGTAGCAGGTGTGTTGGTCACAGTGAGTGGTTTGCAGTCGGGCTTGTTGTCGTTCCGCCATGCTTGGACTTTGGACTTTGGACTTTGGACTTCTCCGCAAATCCGTGGCGGCGCATGTCAACAAGCACATGCAAGCCAGCACCATCAAAGTCACCAAGCTTGCAGTCGTTCATGTTTCAATCTTGACAAGTCATGGAATGTCATCAAATTCTTCGCTTGGGCGCTATCTGACGCCGCGCTGTAAATGGGTATCTTGTGAACGTCTGTATCGCATCTCCAAACCGCCAATCATTTCTTCCCCAATCGTCATGTCATCATGAATCCCGTAGGAGCTCGCGTCTTACCGTGGTCCGCCGTTTGCCTGTGGTCTTGACGCCTCGGCCTCGCGCCTCTTCCATTGTGCGTTGATCATTTTGGCATTGTCCAAGAGATCCTGTTCGCTCACCGCGTCCTCGATGCTCTCCAAAACGCTCTCCACGGTACTAATATGGTTGGCCTCTGTTTTGTCGTCCCTGAAGCGCGGCTCGCCGTTTTCCTCTTTCTTATAGCACCACCGGCCCTGTTCGTCCTTGTGACACTCGATGATACGCCCATCCAGAATCTGCTGCATGCCCTTCATACTCTCCCACTCGGTTTCGGTCACATGGAGCTTTGCAAACACCTCGTTTCGCTTGTCGCCGTGGAAGACCAGCAGGTTCATGGGTGGGCAAGCATCGTAGTCGGTAAAGGTCTGGCCGTCCGTTGTGACGGTAGGAAATTCGCCCAGCTGTAACCGGAAGTCGATCGTGTTCTCGTGCGGTGGCTTCCATTTGATGATCTTTGGATCCGTGCCGCTTGTATAGGGAGATGTTCGGCAAGTGAAGATGAGGCCGTCGCTGCCGTGTGGCAGCTTTGGCAAGACGTCCTTGATCATCATCATGACGCCGTAAGCCTTTTCCATCTTCTTTGCGGTGATGACAAAGGGCTGCAACTCTTTCTCCTCGGGATATCGGACCAGAAGTTTGTTGTAAGGCTTCAGCACGGATTCGACAAAGTAACCCAGTCGCTTGTCGAGGGTGCGTTGTTGTAATGACTTGCCGTCGACAGCGAGGCAGTCAAAGACCAGATAGGTCTTCTGGTATTCACCACTGGGTAGCTTGTCCAAGACGAGTTCGCCATCGAGAAGAGTTTCGGTGTGGTAGCTAGCGTCGGGCCCATCGGGCAGGGGGAAGTGGAAATGTTCATTGTCGATATTGTAGTAGTCGTTCTTGCGATCGATGAGCATGTGGGCTTCAAGGTGGTTGTTGCCGTCGGAGAAGGTGGTGAAGTAGAGGAGGCAGCGGATGCCGTCAGTCTTTTCGCAGAGCCAGTAGTCGGTGTCTTGCAGGTCACGGAAATGGCGGCGCGAGAAGCTCACTGGCTGCGCGCCGGGAAAGTGGATCGAGGAGCGGTTGAGCAGGTGGGCGACTCTTTCGCGGAACTCTTGGGCATCGCGTCGTGGAATCAAGTCGGCGACATCCGACAACTGCAACAGAGAGCCCATGGCTGCAGGCGGTGTTGCGATAGAGGAGAGGAGGCTTAGCCACTCGCAAGTATACTGAGTAAGAAGCTCGCGCGACCGGCCGAGTGTGGAGTCCGTGTTGGAGTGCTTTGTTTGCGCTTCCTGCCAAGCCTCGTGTTCACATGCCTTCGTGCCTTCTTCCTGTATCCACATCTCGTCAAGGCCCTCTTCATATATCACAGTACCAGTATCAATGCTAGGCAAATAGGTTCCACATATCCTGCTGTAGTCCGCTCATGTCGTGCATCTTCTCACCACAAGTCATTGCCGAACCATTGACACGATGAAGCATCTCATATATACCGCTGCCAGCATCCGGGGGAAGCTCCCACCCCTCATAAGAACTGTTTGTCGTCTCTCTCCCAGTACACCTCCTAGACCACTCTTCCCCAGCACTCTGTCCTTCAGCTCTCATACAATGCCTTCTCTCGCTATCCTGGACGACTATGCTGGCATAGCTCCTACCTATTTCAAGCACATTCAAAATCTCCATGTCGACAGCTTTCCCGACACTATATCACCAAACAATCCAGAGAATATACGAGCACTGGCTGCTCGTCTTGCTCAATATGCCGTCATCAGCTCCATGCGTGAACGCACCCCTTTTCCCAGAGACCTGCTTGCTGCACTTCCAAACCTCAAACTCTTGATCACCACCGCCAAGCGCAATCGTGCTATCGACATGGCAGCCGCACGGGAACTCGGCATTGTGGTCGCTACCGCTCCAGGCACTCGTGATATCACTCATCCAGAGCTTCCCTTGATTGTTGCTCCATCACCCGAGTACGATGCCACTACTCAGCATTGTTTTGCTCTCATCCTCGCTCTTGCTTCACGCATACCAATCGAGGACGCCGCATTACACTCGGGTCCCTCATTCCAGACCGGCCTTGGTTTTACTCTTTCCAACAAAATCTATGGAGCTGTCGGTCTTGGAAGGCTTGGTACAAATGCTTCGCGTACAGCTGTTCTAGGATTCGGAATGAAGGTCATTTCATGGAGTGCGAATTTGACTCAAGAGAAAGCAGACGAGGCAGCTGCGAATGCAGGTCTCCCAAAAGGCTCCATCAAAGCCGTGACCAAGGAAGAGTTGCTCAAGACGGCGGATGTTATCAGCATGCATTACGTGCTCTCAGATCGTAGCAGAGGAACCATTGGTGCAGCTGAAATTGCCATGATGAAGAAGAACGCCATCTTGGTCAACACTTCCCGGGGTCCTTTAATCGACGAAGAGGCTTTACTCGATGCACTCAACCAGGGTGCCATAAGAGGTGCAGCGTTGGATGTCTTCAATGTGGAACCTCTTCCTCTGGAAAGTCCATGGCGGACCACCTCCTGGGGGCAAGACGGCCGGTCGTTGGTTGTTCTCTCACCTCACATGGGCTACGTCAACGATGAGACAATGCACAAGTTCTATGCGGAACAGGCAGATACTGTACAGCGCTATATCGCGGGTGGAATTGAAGCAGTGCCAGATGTTCTGAATTGAGCAAGGATAACTCTAGTTTATATATTTCGAAAGCATGTAGGATACACATGCTGCTAGTTTGTTTACGTTCACAGATAGTCTAGGCAGATGTTTACCCGCTCGTTTGCTTGATCACACTTCACGATCTCCTTTTCTGTCAGAACGGACATGCGGTACTGAGGCCTCCTCTTGTATAACTTCTGGTTCTCCAGGTGTTTCTCCAACGTTGCTTGGCTCTGTCAAATCGTGTTGGTCTTCGCCATATGGCCCAATAAGGGTACTTCGTCTTGCGTCAACCCGTCTTCTCCATGGACGGTAGAGAACAGCGCTCAGAACACCGAAAACGACGAAGCTGCCACATATAGCTCCGCCTNNGCAATTGGCTTAGTACATGCACGAGCGTCGAGTCAGGAGGAGTCACTTACCAATGATGTCGTAGTTGTCACTTGCGACTTCGACGCCATCCCAAAATCCGCCCTCGAGATTGGCGGCTCCCTGTAGCATACCGAGGAATTGGATGACGCCAATAACCACAGCGACGAGCACCGTGACGCCAGTGAGAACAGCCTGATAGTATAGCACGGCGATGGTGTCTTTTGCTAGACGTGTCGATGTGTATAGAGCCATCATAAGGGCACCGTCTGTAGTGTCTAACAAACACATACCTGCGGTGAACAGAACAGGGAACAAGAGAATGAGCCAGAATGACGTTCCCTGACTGGCAGAGATGGCACTGATGCCTAAAAGAGCGATTTCTGAAGAAGTGTCGAATCCTAGGCCAAACATGACTCCTAGAGGGTACATCTTCCACGGANNCTGCACTTTTAATCAGCTCCGATCCTGTCAACGTCTCACTCAGATACCGACGTACCGATCGATAAGTTTGAACATCCTCTTCAAAACGCGAAAGAGACATCCGCCACCTTCAATCTGAAATTCCGGTTGGGGTGTGTTTGCAGGAGAGTTGATGATCTCGCGGAGCTGCTTGATAAGTTTGTATAGGATGAAGACATTCATGATCCCAAGCACGATCAGGAAAGTGGCTGAGACGCTGCTTCCGATAATGCCACCAACTCGAGAGAAAGCTCCGAACTTTGACGAAACAGCAGCGGCCGTCGAAGCCACCACGATAGAGGTTATGACAACGATTNNCTGTTCACCGATCAGTATGCTTGATTCGAACATGGTTCATGCAGAGCTTCAATACGTTGAGTGTCCTAACGAGAAGAAAGTGCCGACTGTGACTGGACGCTGTCCAGTCGCAATGAGACGACGAGTCATAAGATCAATGGCNCTATTGGTGTCAACATTGCGTCCATAACAGAACATATGGATCGTGATTACCGAGATGTGGTCTGCATCGAGAGCATGCCTCAGACCAAGGGAGTATGCAAGTACAGCAGTAGAAACCAGAGANCCTGATAGGTGTTTAGTATATCAGAACGTTTTTGCACTATTGCCCTCTTACGTGTGATAGCTCTGTCAAAAGTTAGGATTCTTGTCAAACAGAATATCGGTTTGATAACAACTCACAAGAACTATACCAACTGCAATCCATACCAAGAGATTTACAATGACCAGCAACGATATAATTGCAATAGAAGGAAAAGGCAAGCGCTTCAATACTGGGATATTTGCATGATAGTGTTTGCCTTTACTTTTGAGCCGGAGATAAACGGCGTTCTTGCTGCCCTCGTCCGCTGAGCCGGCCATCAAGGGATCGGCTTGGGAAGACATTACTGCTTCCTGGAGGTGACACAGCAACCTTTTCGACGCGGTTTTTCTTTGAAAGAAAAGGAACAAAGAAGGAAGAGAAAAAATTACAATATACAGATATGACTTGAGGTCCTGCACTTATCAACCAGGTGGGGCATGTGTGGGCGGCGGCCCGCTGGCGAATCTGGGGCGCGCCGCTTTGCTGAGGCTTCAATGACAGTTTCCATCGAGCAACAAGAAGTCGTCAGGCTAACATATTCATTATTTCATGAAAGCGACTGGTAGGAAACTATGAGATAAAGATTCCGGTAAGTCATGTTCACTCCTGGTATTTGCTCAGACAGATGCTTGCGTTCGTCCCACCGAATCCGAAGCTGTTGGACAAAGCAACATTTACATTGCAGTCCTGAGCTGTGTTTGGGACGTAGTTGCAGTCAAAGTCGGTTGCAGGATCGCCGGCTTGTTCGAGGTTCAAAGTTGGTGGTAGAATATTCNNTGTGCTTGGTCAGTTTGTTCCAATCTGAGCTTCGGGGCTGGTACATACGTTCTGTAATGCCAGAACAGTGAATATGGTCTCTACGGCTCCAGCGGCTCCAAGTAAGTGGCCTACTGCACCCTTGGTACTGCTGATATTGACCTCGCCAGCGCTCGTGTATCCTTCTTCGCCGAGTAGCAATGTCTTGATAGCACGGTTCTCAGCGGCATCACCGAGTACGGTCGAAGTAGCATGAGCATTCACATAGTCGACACTTCCAGGTCTGATGCCGGCCTGCTTCAGCGCTCGCTTCATGGCGAGATATGGGCCCTGACCATCTTCTCGGGGAGCCGTCATATGGTGTGCATCAGACGAGAGACCATAGCCTTTGACTTCAGCATGAATGGAAGCTCCACGTGCTTTTGCGTGCTTCAATTCCNNTAGATGCCGAGTATGATTAGAACATATCGCGCCATAACATGATGTGTATACAAGACTTACTTCGAGTACCACAACACCGGCTCCTTCGCCAATCACGAAACCCGCTCTCGAACTATCGAATGGCCTCGAAGCCTCCTGGGGTTTGTCGTTCCAGTTTGTGGCTAAGCTTCTGGCTCGAGCAAAACCGGCGACGGCGAGCGGATGAATGCAAGACTCTGCACCCCCAGCAACCATGACATCTGCATCTCCAAAGGTGATCATACGGGCAGCATCACCAATGGCATGGACTCCTGTTGTACAGGCCGTTGTCGCTGCGTGGTTAGGGCCNCTCCAACCGTTAGTCCAAGAGGTCTGTCGGCGTTGTAGAAAGGTCACACGTACCTTGAACCCATACTTCATGGAAATATGGCCTGCAGCCAGATTGATCAGAAGTCTGGGCACGAATAGCGGCGACACTTTCTTGTAACCCTATGATAGTGTGTCAGTATCTTGTGATCGAACAGACCGTTGAAATTGACGTACACCCTTTTCAAACTCAACTGCTGTATTGTAGGCATCGTCCAGGCTGCCTATACCAGAGCCAATATAGACCCCNCTGCAAGCGAATTAGTATCACCTTCTGTTATGGTACTGATGCTGCCGACGTACTGTTGCTTGAAGATCTTCTTCGGACTGAGGTTTCCAGTTTGCGTCTTGCAGAGCTTCCTCCGCCGAAGCCATGGCATACTGCGCAAACAATGCCATCTTCCGGTCATCCTGATTCTAAGGTCAATATATTTTTGAACGGGGAATGAATCGTGCGTTGCTCACACCCGGCTGTAACCATTCTTTGGGATTCCAGCCACCATCCACTCTCAAACCAGGAGGGATGACACCCGCAACCTGCGATGGTAAAGAGGCAAATTTTGGATCTCTGTTCCTGATGTTCACTATCCCACAGTGGCCATCGATCAGTCGCTTCCAAGTCGGTCGAATGCCTNNGGAGGTTCAATGAGTCTTGCGCCATGAACAAACAATGGTCTTGTTGAACCTACCCACTGCGAGTGGAGTAACGCCTCCCAGGCCTGTTATTACTACCCTTCGCATTGCATTTTGCATTGGTCAATGTTGACCAAACATGTATGTACCTCCAGTAAAAGCGAGAATGCTTCGGGACAGGCACGTCTGCACGGGCCAGATGTGCATGTTTGTACATGAATGCACAAAACTGCGCCTTCTGGTCCAACCACCCTGAGGGATATACATGTGGCTTTCAGTTGTAAACAATGATGCTGACACGGAAAAAGTGATCGGCCAATATGGATTGCTTGAGTGCATTGAGAGAAGACAATTCTCATGTCGAGAGATCTAGTATAGTTTGTGCTTACATTGTCAAATGACAAATGTTAGGTATCATTCGAGCTGACACGATCTTATTCGTAAGGCAATATCAAAACACTTTTTCCCGATTCCAAACTCCGAGAGACCTGACCCAAAGCTTTTGGCTTTTAATGTATCCTATGCTGATGCTGCTTTTCTTCAAAAGAGACTGTTCCATGACCTTGTATCCGTCGTAAGTTCGTATAATTAAAACCAATATGCAAAACAGAAAAGCAGAGATTTGAAGCATGTCACTCGTGTCTGGGAGGAGCCTGCATGGCCTCGTGGAAGAAGAGTTGTCGAAGGCTGCCTTTACTGGGTGACGTGCCAGACATGTAATCCTTGTTGCCATAACTTATCTCTCCCTCGACGACACGGAAAGCAGTGCTAGTACTTGCGCTACTGCGGAGAGAAGCGGCCTGGTGGCTGAGGTCGGTCGACGCGGTCAGTGACTCTGTATTGACGACCGGTGTCACAAGATCAACCGAGAGCGAGCTAAAGGATGCACTATATGGATTTTTGCGACCAGGAAGTGGGCGTGTAGACAGATATGAGCCGACGGTACTGATAAGCGACGTTGGAGTGAGTGACAATGATGGTGTGTACGGCTCATAGCTCGCACGACGAGGGCTGTGGTCGCCAGAGTTATGGCGGTAGTGTGAGAGGTAGCGTGAACCATCGCTCTCACTACGGCGATATGTAGGTTGTTCCTCGCTGGCAGACAAGTCAAAGCTGTCGTCCGAGAAGGCCAAGGATGGTGGACGAACAACGGTCGGTGATCGCATGGGAAGGATGTCGTGCTGATGGTCATCGAAGAAATACGAGCTTCGAGGGGTGGTTGGCTGCGGCGAGGGTTCTGATGGCAAGATTGAATGACTGAGAGGCTTGTTGTGGTCCTTTCGGCGGCAGCTCTCTGAGCAGTACAGAATCGCGTTGCAGGCAGGCGTGAGGATCTGCTTCTCGCAAGTAGCACTANNAGATGGATTAGTAAAGCGAGGAGAGCATACAACGAGCATATGTGCTCACCAGAACTGGGGAAGACCAGCCATGTCTTCGTCCTCTGCAGCGATAGCTGTATCTGTCTTGTGATGACTCTTAACAATGGTCTTTGTGCAAGCGGGACTCTTCTTGGAATGACCCGAGTGGCTATTCTTTCGAGGACCCGGGACAGGAGGTTTTAGCGTGCGGATATGTGTAGGTGCAGCTCGGCGAGTGGTGGACGTCTGATTGCGCGCATTTTGTTGCGGCGGAGGGCTCATCTTTATCAGACAAGGACAGGAGCGCGATTTATGGTAAAACGAATGTGGTTGACATGCAAAGCCGCGGGTATGCGAGGTCCAAGCGACAGCGATCACAGCACTGGACACAGACAGGGCGCGCCTTGCTGGGAAGTGTGCGTCCTTATCTAGTTATGTAAAGGCTGGAGATAGGTGTTGCCCAAATATAACTGTCGTTGAATGTGTCAGAAGGGGCTCCCTGAATCGGCATGACGGCTTTGCAGAGCATCGGAAACGCGGCTGGATAGATCGCGCTCCAGCTGCTCGATTCTCGACAACAAGCAAATCTCATTCTTCGGCCTGACAGAAACAAGAAAACAGGTAACGGATGTAATGCGTACCGGTCGTGGATGGATGCTGCTGCTGCAGCGGTGAGGCTTTTCTATCAAAGAAAGCGAGGGTCTTTGCCGATAAGGACTGCCAATAAAAGGCGTCGATCCGGGACAATACAAGTACTTGCTGCAGGTACAGCAGGGCGTTTTCAAGGAGGAGATGAGGACTGATAATACAGCTATCTGAATTTCATGAGTTTGGAGGAGAAGAGTAGGCGGGCTCCAGTACGCAGAAGTAGTCTCGAGCAGTCTTGTCCGCGCACGACGGTGGAAGACAAAACGGGCTATTACTTGTGACCCCCTTGGCTCGTCAACCTCTGCCTTTGAGAAGTGGAGCAATTCGCAATTTTGGTCGGATTGACGCATGACATCCTTTGGCCACGACGCTGGGTTTGTCCGCACTTGGCCTTTCGGCAAAACTCGTGGTCCAGACTGCTGCGCTGTTTCGTCCACTCCACCCGCTCAATTACATGTGTGGAGGAGGGAGTACTACCCGCGTGCTAACTGCATTTGAGACTACAAGAAGACCGACATTAACCGACTGCACTGTTGTCAACTACGCGCTCCTCAGGACTCGGAGACGAAGCGTTGTCTTCCTCGTGCATCGCGTCTTTCATGCTCTGTATGGCATCACCGAGCAGAGTGTGTACACGTTCTTTGTCCTCTGCGTCCAATACTGCGCCAACCAAGGCCTCATTGCCGAATACTGCTCACCCATAAATCACCAGACAATGAACGTTTTTCTGCATTGGGGCACGAGGCCGTGTGCAAGCATCGACTTCAGGTTATGCGGTGCTTGACTCGCAAGTCATAACGCAGCCATAGCCGCCGGCCGGAACAACAGGGAGTCTCTTCCTGCGCTCCGTGAGCCTTCCTCTTTGTTCATAACTTGCTCGTTTCTTTGTTTCCCCGTAACGTTGGCCAGTTGCAGAGTTCCTGCTTGTTATCCACATTACTCCACGGCCCACAATATTCTCCCGTACTCGTCAGCTCCGGCCTCCAGAATATACCCCACCAGGGTGCCACGGCCCACCTCTAACCTGTTTGAACACTGGAACACAGCCATACAACCTTTGCTTCAAGTCGCCTGCTACAATAGCTACCAGGTTATACCTTGACCTTGCGCTTTACAAGTCTGTTTGGTATCATGAATGAGAATTGACACGTGATCCATTGCCGCTTTCGACCACGTCGATCAGCGTCTGCAAGGCCAAATTGGGCGATGCATCAATAATTCTGGTCGTGCCAGACCTTGTCCCGAGCGTGGGCACTGGGTGGAGGTTTGGAGGACCGAGATGACCGGACTTCTCTCCAAACCTGCAGCTGCAAAGCCACACTGCTTCGCAATATCAATATCGCTTCATGGCTGTGCAGTGGGAAACGTCTATCGTCCAAGAATAGAGCATAGATATGTTTGAAATTTCTTCACCCCTTGCTGATATCAACGAGGACACGACGCAAAACGAATGACTTGCAAACACACGATCGATAAGATACCTTTCCACATAGCTCGGCCCGATCAGATCAACGTCATGCAGGCATACATGCTCTAGGATCCTAACATCCGACCTTCGCACCGTCAAAACGGCTTTCGTACGTGCGTTTCGACCCGTAAGCTCAACTGCCAAACAGCGCGGCTCGGCTGGATCACAACCCTCAGCGCTGATGAAGCGAAGAAGTTATGGAGGAGTTGACAGTTTGCTATGACGGTAACCTTCTGTACAATGACATGATGACGAACGTCTTTACGCATTAAGATTGCTTCGATGCGTGGCCTCGTAATATGAAAGTCTTGCTGCTTGGGAATACAAGCACGACATCGACGGCATANNCCTTTCCTGCTTGCCAGAGGAATCTGAGCATATACTCCGAGAGATATTACGAGAGCGACATTCATGGTCNAAAAGAACGCCACGGAAAAAGAACAAAACGTACAGCAGCAGGGATTCCCACGTGGTCACCCACCGTAGTACTAATCTGCCGTTCAACTGCTTATGTATGGCAGAGCGGACGGGATGCCCAGTTTTCAGCTGACTGTGGCCGTACGTACTTGAGCCCTTGCTCAAATCGTATAAGTAAAAAGCAAGTCACCACCCAGAAGCGTCTGCTCTTCCCCAATCTGTATCAATCTGTATTTGATCCTGATATGTATTCTTTGCTTTCCGCTCAAGAGCATGTCAGCAATATGTGCTAATGTCGGGGTTGTCTAAGCATGTGTCTTTTCACACACGATATCTTCCGATAGCCGTAGAAACTAATCACTACTACCTAAAGCAGCTCACAATGCTATCCTTGGTCGCGATAAGTACAAATACTCCAAGTTTCACTTTGACTTTAACTGATTCGATATCTCCAGCTATTGAGATACAATTTGTGTAGTATTGAGCGCATGTGCACCATTTTCTTGTGTGACCCTCCTTACAAAGCGTGGTTGTGGGATTGACCCTGTCCTGCCATGACCCAATCATCACTACCAAGAAAACACATTTTCAGTTCTGATATAAGATGTGTTCTGATTGGGCCAAAGTATGCTGTTGGAGTACTAAGACCAACCTGAAACATTAGTTGGGAACTGATTTATCCGATGTCATATCAATGACCTACTCGCTACTCATATTGAACGAAAGCGTAGAGTAGGAGCAGGCGATGAAGACAGTACTCTGCAATGAACTACCAACAGATTTGTGTAGCTCTATTCTCTTAGTGTACGAGATAACTTCTGTCGCAAAACTCAGTATAAAGCAACAAGTCTTCTGTGGCGTGACAATTATCGTATGGGCGACGGAATTGGCAATAGTATACCAGCAGCTATAAAAGCAGCAAGAAACCCAAGCAGAAACATATGTAGTGGCTCCAGACACAAGTCCTATCGTATCGTAGTCATGGATACCAAAGAGGCCGCTCTTGCAGCATTTGTTGTCTTTTCCATACGCATTACCGTAATCCTGAGATAAGGATGGCCAAGCCAATTGACAATCACAAATCAGATTAGTAACCAGCAGACAGTCAAGTTCGATGGTCTGACGATATGGCAGACAAGAGATGTGGAAGCGCATGATGCATGAACCATAAGTCATATATACGGTATCAACATATAAGCAAAACATTACATACAACAGAGCGACCGTAGAACTCCAAGCTCTGCAACTGGGAACAATCAGACGATGGCATTGGGGTGTTCAGCACGACGGCGAGCTGTTCCCAGACCGCTGACCGCAAGCTCTTGATTGGCTCCCAACCACGGTTTCTTGGCCTCGCCTAGCACGCCCTCAGTGCCATAGTAGACAAAGTGGCCGAGGATGATGAGAACGAAGGCGATAGGGTACAGATAGTGGATGTGGTAACCCAGAACTTGAGTACCGACGACGATTCCCCAAAAGGTACCTGTCAAGAGACCAATGTTGAAGAAAGCGGCGCTGCTCATGCGGAACACAATTGGTGCCAGAGAATAGAAAATGAACAATAACAAAGTGTAGCCGACAATATACCCAATGATTTGCCCGTCCCAGTGTGCTGTCTGAATAGAGTGACGATCAAAGATGGCAGCCTGTACACCGTTGATGAACATTCCCCAGAAGGCGAGTTGGCCAATGACTTCGTACATGGGTCGTTTCGAGACCAGAAACTCTTCGAATGTGTTGCTGAAACCGTATAGAGTTTGAGCGAGCAGGCAGAAGAGATCTCCCTTGAGAGCGTTTGCAGGAGCGTAGTTGTTGCTCCCTGTGATGTAATCGGACGCGATAAGGAGTGCAAAGCCTCCGCATGCAAGCACGATGCCTCCATACTGTGCTAGGTGATAGCGGACCTTGAGGATGACCAGCGAAATGACCACTACCACGATGACGGTCCAGAAGCTGAAAAGTTGTGCGGACAGAATGTTTGTGTACTTGTATGCAAGTACAATGAAGTAGTTGCCCTCAACATCCAAGAAAGCCAGAATGAAGAATCTCCAGCCATCCTTTACAACCATCTTGGCCCATCTCGAGAAACCGTACTTGTAGATGGTGAAGGAAGTGTATACCAAGTTGAGCAAGACATAATTGAAGAAGGTTTGGAAGGCCGGTATACTCGTGCCTCGATTAGTAATCAAAGTTGTGAGGGTGTTTGTTCCAGTTTGGGCCAACGCAATGATTTGTGTAAGCAATAGTACCACCCAGAAGTCTTTTGTCCTTAGGTATGCGAATCTCGTTGTCTTCGCGCCCTCTCTTTCTTCGTACTCGTGTACAGCTTCTGTATCATCGAGGATTTCTGGGGCGCCGTGAAGTCTACCGTCAATGCTCGAGCTGGGCGTGGAAGGTTCGGGCGTGGTGGTGGTTCCTTTGGTCTTTACAGTGATACGCTCTACCGGAGCTTCGATTTCGATAGTGTCGTTGGCGTGGACGGCGTCGCGTTGCTGTCGCTCATCCTGGTGGTTCATGCTGACAACGCTCGACGCACGCGGCTGACTCGTTTGACGGAGGGTGAGGGATAGATTGTATAGACGCCAGAAGGGCCGCAACAGCCTGGTCACCTAACGTCCGTCTAGTCGTGTTGGTCACAAAAACTGCTAGCAATTTTGATGCCCAAGCAACTCCGACCGACTTTTTTTCTGTACAAGGAAGGCAAAGATGGAAGGCAAAGATGGAAGGGCCATGGGCCAATCTGATTGGTTCAACATGATCCTTCTATCGCCAAGCGAGGTCCAGACTCGTGCAAAATTGATCAACAGATCCAATACGCGAAAGACGCGCTGCCACATGTGCCGTGTTCTTTGAGCCTCAAGATCATTCGGCGGGTTTCACTCCGGTGCGCTGATCAGCAACTCACCGAGTGGGGCTCGTACTGTACAGTAATTGTAGCAATTGTGCAGGCCTGCATCGAGACTGATTTCACGCCTCGCTTCGGCCATGGTCGCTACAATCTCTTCCACTCAGGGGCGTAGATAGCGGCAGGTCCGAACCCCAGCACGCTCGGCCTTTCTTTTCCAACAAAGTGGTCAATGGTCACTGTTCACACGCTGGCAACAATGATAACACGATCCGCCCCTGTTGAGCGAGCTTCCAGGGATAGCCGTTTGCATAGCTCGGGCTGAGGGCAGCATTGACGGAAGAGGCTGGAGCTGAACGTCGCGGACCTGCAGCATAAACCTGTATCACCGAGCCGAGCCTGTGAACCAAATCCTCTTGCTTCTTCTTGCTTTATTGACAGGACCTTGGATTCATGCGCCCAGCACGTGTTTTGCTGAGGACAGAAAATGTAGGGAGATCCCAACAGCCCTATCGATCATCACTGTCTTTGCTATCTTCCGATAACGAAGAATCGTGAATCCTCCGCGCTCGCTTCCTGAAACCTAAAACACGAATACTTCAATAGCGTCCTCTGTACCTGTGGTATAGTGGAAGCCCATATATATAAGCACACAAGAGTTAGAGCACAGGTCTCTGTATTTGCATGTGAAGATCGACGAACATGCTTTAGCACATGAGAAAAATCAAACAATCGAAACAATAGTGAAATCGTAATTGCATGTATCGTCTTCGCTTCGTGCGGTCGCTGGTGCTTGCAGCACCCCTGCATTCTAGAAACACATCAAAGCATAACCCCAGACCCATAAACAACTGTCGCTAAGTGTAGCAAATACAACTCCTGAGCCAAATCCTATTCATTCAACAGAAACCCAATAAATGTAGAACCGAAGACATAGGAGAATCGTAAAAAGCGTTTTCGTCCGAGTGGAGGAATTGTTGCGCTCGTCATAGACGGGTTTCGTTTACGACTCGCGATGGAGAGCCTTGAGATTACTCTCAGTGAGCAGCAACGGAACTGCCGCCTCTCTTCAAGAACGAGAATCGTTTTTCCTTCTTGACTATAACAGGTGCTGGGACAGAAGCTTCCTTGGTTTCAGACGTGGGTGGCTTGTTGTGTCCGAAGTATTTGCGTTGAGACTGTGGTTGCTCCACGGGCATCTGATTGACTTTGTGACCAGGATGGATCTCCAGAGCGGATGCATAGGCAACTGCCGATGATCTGAGTTCAATTTGACCACCTACAGGATGGTTAGTTTGAGTGGACTGAAACGAGGTTATGATAGCAAAACTCACTGCTTGAGCCCGTAGGTGAACTGTTCTCACTCTCTGCGGGTGAGGACTCGGCGGATGATTCTGAAGATGAGTTAGTTAGGGAAGGGTAATGTGCATAAAGAGAAACTTACCAACACTAGACAAAGGACTTTTACCTAGCGAGCTTCGAGTGGAACCACGAGGAGAGCGTGATGCCTTGGTTCTGTTGGCCAATAGTGCGGCTGCAAAAACGGGCTCCTGATCACGATCATTGGACTCCATGACCTTCTCGAGTCCTTGATAGCTTGGGTTGCGCGAGATGGCAGCCGACTTCAACGATGAGCCTGTTGATCTTAGAGGCATCGAGAAACCTTGGGAGGCCGGTGTAAAGTCCAGAGACGAATCGCTATTGGCTCTGTTGAATCCTGGTCTGCTGTTGGATCTTGTGGTGGTAGTGTGAGAGGTAGAAGGACGAGTAGAATAGTCGCTGCCGATTCTGCTGAGGCGAGCTTTGTTTTGGTATGCGATCTCCTCGGATTTCCAGCCTCCAGGTGAACTAGTCATGGCATCGGTAGCGGCATGAGTAGGAACATGTTTGTAAGGAACAGTAGCGACAGGCTTAGTATCCTGTTCGTCTGTCTTTGCCTTGTGGTCGTCCGCAGCCTTTTTGGCACCCTTGAGCTTTGATATGATAGACATTGTGGTCGAGTATGATGACTGTAAGATGGGAGCTGATTGGGTCTTGCTGAGAGAATGGAAAGTGTTGTAGTGTCCCCACGTCCCTGTATCGGAAGCAGATCGTAAGTAGGACAGGAAGAATAGTTCACTAGAAGGCAACGCTCGAGGAGCAGTGGGACAGCGGCCTTTTGATTACTTCACAGAACGGATCCGCGAAGAGGTGCCCGAGCCCAGCCAGGGACCTTGATTGCACACTCTGAATCTAGCGTGGCGCCAAAAATAAAGTATTCGACGGACGAGGTCAAAACGCACGGAAGGTTGGCGATCCACTGCGTAGGCAACGGCCAAGAACATGCCTCCAATGGCTAGCTTTATAGCCAGGGGTGGCAGAGGCCGGAACATACAATATGCTAGGGTCATTGGAGAGACCTCGACTTGGTAATAATCAGGTCTCGTTAAGGTTGGCTCAAGCTCATAGATCCCCTCAATCGGGACAGGATGATTGCATGCACATGAAATGGAGGGCCTGGTTTTCTTAGTATGCAGGATACCTTGTTCTGCATGATACAGGACTGACACGATACAAGTGCATTATCGGGCTTCACGATTCCGCGGCGTTTATCGGTATGCCGTTTGTTCCACCCCTGTGGTAGAAGGTGATGGCTTCATGACGATCCTACAGTTGAATTTGAGTCGCATCCGAGACACAGAAACTGCTCCGCCTGTAAGCTGTGAATCACTACTGAAGCAGTAGTCTCGGCATGATGAAGGATGGCTGAAAAACTGTAATTCTTATCACCAGGTTCGGCTGGAGACGAAAGGCAACCGAGCCTTGGGCTGTCGAACTCCCGGACGTGCCGTTGACTTGTCCGCATCAGGAAGCACGAGAAGAGCGTGCACAGACGATAACGGATTCAGGAACGGCGGACGTGATCAGAGTTTGACAGATACTGTGGCGCTTGTGAAACCGGCGCATGCTAGACTTGAGAAGAACGCTGGCGGTTCTGTGAATCGTATCCACGTGTACAACAGCTGGAGCTGGCTTTGGAGCTGAAGACGCCGAGAGCTGTGAAAGGAGGGGTGGAACAGTAATCGCAAAGTCCAGGTGGGAAGGGCGTTCGCTGTGCCTCTCTCAACAAGCACGACCGAAAGTGTTTTGTGAGGAGGCCATCTATCAATAGTTCGTACCTTAGCNATGTACTCGGTAACTTGCATGAACTCCGTCATTGTGCAGACGTCNCCTTAGTAACATTATTGCTCCTGTCCTTGATGCAGAGACACTTGGCGAGCGCGAAATTGCCTACAGCAACGCCCAAACAATCGAACTGCCGTCGCTCACCGGCTGGCAATGTACCACATAGCAAGACCTGTCTGGAGATGTTTGGCAAAAACCCAAATCTCACAAGGTAAAGGTTCGCTGCCACCGAATAGAGGAGCCTCTCTTTGAGGGCGCAGCCAGTGGCACTTTGGACGAATCGATATTCATGGGGTCATGGCTGTCGCAAGTACTTATCTCTATGGCATGNNGCTTACGGCTGGCGTCACGATGTGGNNAAGTCTGGCCTGGCCCTATACAACGGGTTTCTTGTGCGATATGCTGGGCGAGACCATGGGGATGAGACACAAACGAGGAATACCAGCACTGTAAACGTGGAGTAGGCTCGACGTTGTCGTTTCGTCGTGGTCGTGGTTGTTGTCACGATGTAGGGCTATCACACATGGCTGCCTCAGGTAGAGCGAGACGGCAGCCACAAGCTGAGACATGGAGNNCGAGTTCGGTTGTATGGAGTGACGAGTAGGGTCGCCAACCCAATGGAGGCTGCGGGGTAGGTACAGCACNAAAAGCAACGACAGCCAGGTCAAGACGAGCAAGAGTGCTTGAGCATCGACGAGAGATCGGAAGACGGGCTGCATGTCTCACGTAACAGTAAGAAGGTTGGATTTGCTAGTCTGTGCAGATGGTATGTATCTCCAATGACTCGAAACAAACTCTGCGTCTGCAGGAAGGAGCGGCATGTCGACGATCGTGGATCGTACTTGTTCTGCAGACAGCCCTTGGCCTATGGGGAGAAACACACTTCACTCCGCTCGAAGATCAGCACTACTGGGGAGCAGAGATTATTGAAAAAGCTTCAAGCATCCGAGCGAGGGGTGGAGGAGAGGACCTGGAAGAGGGTTGCAGATCACGTGCAGCGATGGAAATAGAAGTAGCCATGACGCGCTGAGGGTTTCGGATCGAGCCCGAGGCCCGAACGAAGAGAGCAGTGATACTTGTACATTGGATATATGGCGCTGGAGGCCAAGAAGGATGACGGGAGATTTGACACTTGCAGTATGGCCTGAAGGGTTAAACGCATTAAAATAGTTGTGTGAAGGCGCGAGCTGTTGTCGAGTTGGCGGACGGGCTAAGAGGACTGGCAAAGACGACTTCTTGCGCAACACAGGAGGAGTCCGTGCTTCGGACTCTGGGACTGGACCTGGGCTCGACAACCTGAAGCGCATCTCGGATGCTGCATGCTACACACGACCGCCCACGCAGCACCCGCATCTCAACGACCAGCCCGACACACGCGCTTGCTTGCTCAGAGCCATCGGCGCGTCCGACTGGCTTCCTCGGAAACGCCCACGCGCACGCCATTGCCGCTGTCCGCCGCGCATCGCCATCATTTGCACCGTCAGCCTCATCATCGCTATACACGCCCACGCAGCTCATTTACACACACAGTGCGCGTCGCGTCTCTCGGACACGACACGGCATACACAGCAGACGAGCTTGAAACATCACACGAGACACGCGGCCAGCGAGCCCCCTCGGGCTGTGGAGTCAGGCAGTGCGCAGCATCTAATTGATGATGGCACTTGCCGCTCCTCCGCTCAATGATCGCAAGCGCGTCAAGGTCTACGAGCTCAAGAACAACGACTGGTACGACCGCGGCACTGGCTTCTGCGCCGGTCAGGTCCTGGCCAACGACGAAGCCCGCATCTTTGTCCAGTCCGAAGACGACGCCCAGCGCATGCTGCTTGAAACGAGAATCTCGCGCGACGATGGATATCAGAGACAACAGGGTACACGCACTCGGCCCAACAAAGCACGCAGACACAAGCTGATGCAAGCAATGCGCANNGACACACTGATAGTATGGACCGAGCCAAGCGGCATCGACATGGCCTTGAGCTTTCAGGAGGCAGACGGATGTGCCCAGATATGGTGAGTCTGAGTCGGTCTTTGGCGCCACAGGCAGGACAGAGTTGACATGGATGGTGGCGTGCCAGGGNAATTCATCACCGAAATACAGCAGCGCATGCTCGCAATGCACCCCAACGAATACGACGGTCTGTCCGACGAGCTTGTCGATGGCCAGGGTTTGCTGCTGCCCATGCCCGAGCTAGCCAACCTGCACCAGGTACAAGAGACGATGCGCGCAGCCAGCCAGACAACCCATGGGCGCGATGCTCTAGTCAAGTTTGTCATGGCTCCCGAAACGCAGTACCTCTCCAAGCTTCTGCCGCTGGTCGAGCTTGCCGAACACGTCGAGGACATTCAAGCTCTGCACCGACTGTGCACCATCATGAAGACGCTCATTCTGCTCAACGACACATCCATCATAGAGTTGACCGTCTCAGATCATGCCATTCTGGGCGTTGTGGGTGCCTTGGAGTACGATCCAGATTTCCCCAGTCACAAGGCCAACCACCGTCACTACCTGGCCGACGAGTCGCGGTTCAAGGAGGTCGTTGCCATTGACAATCCCGTCATCAAGAACAAAATCCACGCCACATATCGTCTGCAATATCTCAAGGATGTAGTGCTGGCCCGTATTCTCGACGACCCTACCTTCACCGTCCTCAACTCTCTTATATTCTACAACCAGGTCGACATTGTTAACCACATCCAGTCTAGCAAGGATTTCATCCAGGAGCTTTTTACCATCTTTACGACTCCCGACTCCGACGATCAACGCAAGAAGGATGCTGTGCACTTCATCCAGACGTGCTGCTCCGTCGCCAAAAGCATTCAAGCACAGTCGCGTGCTCATCTTTTCCAAAACTTCATTCATGGCGGTCTACTGGATGTAGTCACATATGCTTTGCGTCACCGCCATGCCTCTGTACGTGTCGCTGGCACCGATATCCTCGTTGCACTCATCGATCATGATCCAGTCATGATGCGTTCGCACATTTTCCGTTCTATCAACCAAAAGACCAAACCATTGACAGACACACTAATCGAGCTGTTGCTTGTCGAGGTCGACCTGGGCGTCAAAGCCCAAATGGCGGATGCGATCAAAGTCCTTTTGGATCCTCATGCCAGCTCGACTTCCATGGATATGCTAGGCAGAACCAACGGGGACTTCATGGCAAAGATGAGGGGTGCAAATCCTAATTCTAGCGCCCAAATGGAAAGCTTCGTGGACAATTTCTACAACGACGGTGCCAAACGCCTTTTCCAGCCTCTAAAGGACCTTGAGCACAGCCAAAATTGTCAGTGCATGAAGCCTCTCGAGACGACCCGATTGCTAACAATACACTCTGTAGTACACACTATATCTGTACAGGAAGCTTCTCTTTTCGTCCATTTGGTCGAAATATTATGTTTCTTCATTCGTCAACATAATTTCCGAAGTAAATATTACATTCTTGCTGAAAACTTACATTGCCGTGTCGCCCAGCTGCTGTCTTGCCCCCAGAAGCATCTGAAGCTGAGTATGTTCCCGCTGATATGGCTCCCTTGGGGATCTTGATGCTAACAAGTTCTAGCGGCCCTCAAGTGGTTCCGAACGTGTGTTGCCCTCGATGACGAACATCACAACAAAGACTTAATCACCAAAGGAGTATTTGATCCGATTCTCGACATTGTCTACCAGACAATGCCCCGGGACAACCTTCTCAACTCAGCCTGTCTCGAGCTGTTCGAGTTTATCAAGCGCGAGAACCTCAAGCAACTGGTTATACCACTGGTCGAGGGCTATCGAGAGAAGTTGCTTGGTATTACCTATGTCAACACATTTGGGGCCCTCGTATTGAAGTACGAGCAAATACAAAGCGGATTCAATCCTGATGAAACCAGCTTTTCAACCCAGGGCGGCGAGACGCCGAACCGGAGTCTTGTTGCTGGTGGCCAGCGTTGGCAAGGACTCAAAGATGCCGATGCGGAAGAGGAAGCCTATTTCAATGCCACCTCAGATGACGAGACTGAAGACGAAGGTGCAGCTTCGCTACCAGAGACCGTTGCTGCCAAGACTCCTGAAGTCGGTCCTCCAATGCGACCACTAGTGTCTTACCCGGAAGATGAGGACGAAGATGCAATGGAACTTCTTGCAGCATCACCAGGCACACCTGCCGAAAAGAAAGAGCTCAGCGTCGAGTCGACGACGCCCGAGACACTGGGGTCGCCTCTGTCGATCGTGCCAGAGAAACGAAGACGAGAAGACGACGACGAAGACGATTTGGAGAAGTTGGCGGGCGCGGTCCCGGCCAAGCGTCGCAGCTCAGTCAGCAGCATAGGCAGCGTGCGGAGCGACATGTCGGCCGCAAACTTGGATTCACCTACCAGCAGCCAGCAACAAAACGGTACAGGGCATCCGCTCAGAAGGAAAGGAAGCTTGCGAAGCAAGGAAGACAGTCCAGGACCCCAAAAGGGCATCAGCATTGGTCCCATCTCGCTTTCCCTGTCAGGGAAGACGAGTAACGCGGAAGGAGGTGGACAATGAAAGTGTTCGGAGAAGGCCCTATTGGCCGCCTTGATACGATCTTTCCTGTTCTATGCTCCAGATTCCATAATCAGACAATCACGACATTTGACGAGGCGTTTGATTTTGTTACTGGACTCCTATGAGACAGATGCACCAGGTGCTGATACCATGTAATAACTGCCAGTAGTGACATCCTGCATCTTGTCCTTGGATAGTCAATTTCCCGTCTCGCTCTACGAAAGTCCAGAGAGCAAGAACCAAAGAGCGACACAACGCTCAGAAGCGAAGGGAATCAGAGATGAGTGTGAATTGATTGTAGAGTATTATGCTACCGTCTCTTCTTAAAAGGCCAGGTTGTAGCCGGTCAAGCCAGCATTGACAAACAGACCAAGCTGAGCGAGCCAGAAGAAGGCGCCAGCCAATCTGCCCTTGCCATTCTCCTTGTTCTGTGCGGTGTATCCAACAGCGTAAACGATTCTGCCAAGCGACCAGACGAGACCGAAAGCCGAGCTGAGCAGAGGGTAGCGGAGGCCACCGATGAGCAGAGTGGTGAGGGCCATGTAGTGGTTCTCGAGGAAGTTGCCGTGGGCGCGCTGAGCGCAGTTGAAGAGGTAGAGCTTTTGCTTCTGCTCGGCCGATGCGGCGGACATCTGTGCGGAATCGGCGTAGGGGGTAGGGTAGCCCAGGCCGGCAGCCTTGCGGAAGGAGGAGCATCTCATGCCATGCCCNTTAAGGAGAAGGTACAATTAGCACGTTTCCTGTGTTTGAGCATGGAACATAGTACAGGTGCCCAGGAAGCAGGTGCCGACGGCGGTGAGGACGACGTAGCTATACGAGTGATCAGTCAACAAGTCCCTCCAAGCACGCAATCGCCCTTGCAGGAACGAGGCGGTCGGCTCGCAGGATTGGTGCTTACCCGTATTCTGGGGTGACGTTGAGAGCGAACATTTTGGTGTCTTTTGATGGATTGCTTTGAAAATTGTCCAAATGAAAAATGCAAGAGTGTTTTGTGAAGGTCGCTGAAGCTGCTGCCTTTCAAGTTCCCCAAACCGGCCCTCGGATGCAAGTCTGACTTCATCTCCGAGCCTCTTTTTGCTTGCTAAGCACCCTCTCAATAATGTCCACACATTTCCGTCTCTGTCTTACTACCACCATGTTTCACGACTTTTTCGTCGATACATTGAGTCTTACGGGACGGCCGCACACTTGCTTGTCAGCATAGGCACACAATCACTTTGATTCATCTCACAGTCTAGGCTTGACCCACGTCAAAGAGGGGCATGCAATGGGTTTGGTTCTGTGCTCCAAGAGATACATCTAGAGCTTAAATTCTTGCAACAATTGCTACACCTTGTGCTGAATGCTATCACCTCACCCTGGGGTATTTTCCTCTTCTGATCTCCTCTTGCAGACTCTCACTCTGACTCGGCAGAGGTGCCCTCCTCCTGTTCTGTCCCTGTAAATCCGGAGCTGCGTTACCCGGTGGGAAACCTGGGAAACCTGGAGGAGGCATAGGCGGAGCTCCAGCAAAGCCTGGGAAAGACATTGGGGGTGGTGGAAAGCCTTGCCCACCTGGGAATCCAGGCGGTGGAGGTGGTGGAAATCCTTGCTGTGCACCTGGTGGAGGCATAGGAGGGAGTTGTCCACCAAACATTTGCTTGAGTTTTTCAATGTCCATGTTTCCAGGTAGTGGTGGTGGTGGTGCGCCGCCATGCGGTAATGANAAATGGCAGGCCTTGGGCTCCAAGCATCGGTGGCCCACCGGGGAAAGGTAGCCCGTTGGCGCCCATNNACCTGGCATGGGTAGTGACTGTGCTCCTCCAGTGCTTGTTCCATCTGGGAACGCCGGTCTTGGTGCAGAAATCCCAGGAAGACCAGCAAGGCCAGGCAGCATGTTCTGTCGGGCCGGCATCTGTTGATCGACAAGACCATCTGCCTCATCCTCAAGTTCCTCCTCCTCATCTCTAGCTGTACGGTCTGTTGTACGCTTCCACGTCCCTTGGGCTTCTGCTGCCGTCTGACCAATATGCCAACGATCGTCCTTGTACGTGCTGTCTCCGGGTCTCGGCCGTGACCAGAATCTCGTTGCTCTGTCGTTTGATCCAGAAGCCAGAATGTGACCAAGAGGGTGCCAGTCAAGACTCCAGATGGCAAAGTCGTGGGCGTAGGAGACGCGATGTGCAGGGTATATAGTTTGAGCAGGCGCATCCGAATTCTCTGGCGCGTCGTATGGTGATAGCGTCGGCGCCGAACCAGTGGGGAGGTTCTGCTCGTCTAGCAGATAATGATGCATTGCGCCGTCGGCACCTCCAGTTGTCAAGAAATTCGAATGAATCGGGTGCCAAGCAAGGGTGCTGATGTCCTTCTCGTGGCCGCGCAACAAGAAGACGTCTCTCATCATACGTATGTCGAAAACTCTAGCAGTAGAATCACGGGCACAAGAGGCCAGTAGCACACCATTTGTCGGTTCGAAAAGTGTCTTGCTCACGGTGTTCTTGTGGCCGTGAAGTGTGGTCAGGCATCGTCCGTTTCGAGGGTCCCATAGCTTGATTTGATGGTCTTTTGAGCCAGAAACCAACAGCCCTTTGGTAGGATGCCAGTCAACGCATTTAGCATCCCACTGATGACCCTCCAAGACAAGTTCCTCCATGCCGCCGGCGAAATCGAAGATTTTGAGGTGAGCATCGTCCGCTGCCGTCACGAACTTGGTATCGGTGGGCGCAAATGCCAGATCTCGAACAGGGTCATTGTGCGCTTGCAAAGACTTGACGTTGTTGAAGTTTGGTTGCCAGTATTTGACAATGCCAGCTTGTTCGGCAGAGATAAGCCAGTCATTACTGTGTGAATAGGCCACTGCTCGTACCGCACTATCATGAGCCTGNGACATGGGCATTAGCAATGTGTCGCATCGAGCTGTGACGGATTTTCGCACCTGCATGATCGTCTCAAAGTTGAATGCCGTTCCGTTCCACAGGGTGAATTCACCGCTGGTTGATCCAGTGAGCAGACGTCTTCCCTCCGGCGTCCATTTGACCACATTGACGGGATGGCGCATCTTGTTCAAGGATGAATGCAAATGTCTAGCCGGTACTGAATCTACTGCATTGCCTCTGCGGGCTGGTGGTAGGAGCATCNNTACAATTTGAGTCAACATACAGCTTTTCATTAAACCGTCTATCTGAGAAGACGCCGAGCACAAACTCACGTCTATCACGTAACTAGCACTGGGTCTTTCCATCTCGAATCCCATGGTTCCTTTGTATTGCGGCCGGCGATTGTGCACAAACTGCGCCATATTCGCACTGTAGTCAGTAGCAGGGNNCCTAGCTTGCGTGTCAGTCGGTTGTTCAATGTACGCGATTCGTAGTCTCCAAATGAAGTGGAAGACAGTCAAAGAGCACGTACGCCGAGAGAGTCTGGTTCTCTTGATGAAGCCCTCATGGCCTCCACCCTGATCTCCCTGATCCATGATGATGGAATTGTGATGCGGGATTAGGTCGTAACAAATGTGCTGTTGTATGATAAGTTGGGGCGGCTCAGCTACGCGTTGCGCAGGGCTTGAGCTAGAGAAGACACGATCCCACGCAGCTCACCAAGAGGGCGATGTCACAAGCTTGAAGATGAATGGCAATGGCGCTCGAGAAGCTCAAGCCGTTCTCAAATGGTCAGAAACAAAGAGAGATGCTCATCACAAGACTATTCCCTTGACCACAATGGCTGGCGGCGCAGGAGACATGGAGTTGTCGCGAGATCGGGAAAGTCGGGATGGCAAGCTGGCCAACAATAGCGCCCGTTTATGTTCGTTCCTGCGTCACTAGGGCGCTTGGCTTTGCAGGGCTGGGGCACTCGGCAGCGTCAACCGCATGGCAGCTCGTTCCTTGACGACGCGTTGAACTCAAGATGCAACTTGTTTGCTCTAATTGTTCCTGCAAACCGCCATGTTGAACGCTTTGCCGCTGAAACCCCTCTCTGTTTCTTGGCTTTCAGCAAGGTGATTTCCTAATGTTGACTTGATCTTATACTTCAAATTTCTATATTCAAGCTCACTGGCTCTCTCTCAACTTGCGTAAACAGCTTCGCAGCTTCGAAGCTTCGGAAACATGGCGTCCCTCGTTGATACAGCCATCACGACCAGCCATGAAATCCCAACAAACAATCCTGGGAAATTTGTCGTGCAACAAGATCCTGTCGAGAAGAAGAAAGCAGAGAGACCTGGAGTACAGCCTCCCAAGAAATACAGACACACCTTTGCTGTCCATTGTACCACCAGACCGTCATGCCTGAGCCAGGACTCAGCTGCACCCACCAGCTTTACTGGTTTCAGGAACCTGGGTGCGCTGGTAATCAGTCAGTATCCAGCCACAACTACCGTATTCATTGTTAATTAACAGTCCTAGNTTGTTTCCAATTTGCGGTTGATGATTGAGAACTTCAAGAAGGTAGCTCGAGTCTGAAGCATGCATGTCTTGTTGTACCTGGCTGACTTTCCAGNNTACGGGGTCTTGATATGCATTCGTTGTCACGACTATCGTCGGCAAGATGTCGTGTACGGTAGCATTCTCTACTTCCTGGTCCCTTGCCATCTGTTCGTTGCCTACATCATCGAGCTTGTTGCTGCTCAGCAGGCCAAGGGTGCTCTTGCCAGAGCCAAAAAGATGGGCGTTGACGCAGCGGCAAATTCGAATCAACGAAGGCAGGAGCTACGAACCTTCCGCACAGCATGGCACTTGATCGCCTTCGCACATGGCGTCAATGCTACCCTCAACCTGGCCCTTGCAACCTATGTTGTCTACTACCATATCCACCATCCCGGTATCGGCACCTTGTGCGAGCTACACGCTGTGATTGTATGGCTCAAGACGTGTTCTTATGCTTTTACCAATCGCGATCTGCGACACGCCCTGCTATATCCTTATGCAAGCGAAGTTCCCGAGCTTTACAGTTCCTGTCCGTACCCGCAGAACATCACTCTCCGCAACCTCACTTACTTCTGGTGGGCTCCAACGTTGATCTACCAGCCAGTGTATCCCAGAACCGAGAAGGTTCGCTGGCCTTTCGTCTTTAAGCGTTGTGTCGAGGTCGTTGGACTCAGTATTGTTATCTGGATTGCCAGTGCCCAATACGCAGCCCCACTTCTGCAAAACTCTCTGGGAACCATATCTTCGCTGGACTTGCCATCTATCGCCGAGCGTCTCATGAAGCTGTCAACCATCTCGCTCTTCTGTTGGCTAGCTGGATTCTATGCCCTTTTCCAATCTTTCTTGAATGCCCTCGCAGAAGTGATGCGCTTTGGTGATAGAGAGTTCTACGGGGAGTGGTGGAACAGCAGCGGAGTTAGAGGGTACTGGTCCAGCTGGAACAAGCCAGTCTTCCAATTCATGAAGCGTCATATCTATTCGCCGATGGTTGGGCGAGGCGTGCCGCCGCTTGTCGCTCAGATCATGACCTTCCTTTTCTCTGGGGTGCTTCACGAGCTTTTGGTCGGTGTACCTACTCATAATATCCNNTTGGTCAGTCGGCATGTAGCACATAACACTGATCTTCGACACTAACTGGTAGCAGGTGTGGCTTTTGCAGGTATGATGTTCCAGTTGCCCTTGATCTTTTTAACAGATCCGCTGGCCAGAATGAGAGGTGGTAACGGAAAACTTCTCGGCAACCTCATCTTCTGGATCTCTTTCTGTCTTGTTGGCCAGCCGCTAGCTGCACTCATGTACTTTTTCGCTTGGCAGGCCAAGTATGGCAGTGCCAGCAAGCCTCAGCTTTGGAATACTGCATAAGAGGCAGGCAGTCAGGAAGTGAGTTGCTACTCTTCAAAAACTATCAAGTGTTGCTCTCCCAATGGTTTTCTCAGGATGCATAATCGGGAATGCTTTCTCTGGTGTGTCCATACTGTATCCGTCCTTGCACCGTTCGTAGGTGAATATATGTCATCTCCATGCACTGAATTCTTGCCACATATAGCTGTTGAAACGCACAATACATTCGAGGAACAGATGAGAATCCACAGAGAGTCGAAAACCTCACTGGCTCTCTCTAAACACGACAGGAAAAGACAAGCTGCTGAAAACCAGAATAATTCTTGGAATCAGAGGACTTCCACTGGGAGCCGGTTCTCCTTTTCTCTCGTCAGATCTCACTGGACACGTGCAGGGAAAGATGCGTGGTGAAAATGCACAACGATACTTGAAAGTGGAAAGAGTCCACTGAGAGGTCATCGTCTCACTGGCTCTCTTCGGAAGGGCTCAACATTGGAAGATGGTCGTGAATCTCTGCTGCTCACATATTTCGTCAACAATCCTATTAGTGATGCTTTCCAACAGTAGACATACAGATACTTCTCCACTTGCTATCGTCTTCCTCACTACCACTTTCCTCACCACTGCTTTCTTCACTAGCACAGTCACTCCACACCTTCCTGATTGATCATCAGCTCAGCTCGACTGCAGACTATAAAAGCTCCCTTTCCTTCCCAACCAAACCTCTTCCTCTACACATCACTCCTCCACCTCCACCTTCACCTCCACTTCTATTCCCTTTTTTCTTCTCTCCAACACAACAACACAAAGATCTTATGCAACCACTCCACAACATCAACATCCTTCATCATGGGTGCTAACAAAGTCATCGATGATGTTCAGGGTTTGTCAAGTCTCATCCATGAGGATTTCAGTCACTGACTTTGTATAGGCAGCGTGATGGATATCGCGCTCGGCTCTCTACGTGCACGCAACACTCCTATGCTCATGGTTGAGGGCCTATACTGGATTCTGGATGCAAACCTACGTCCTGCCATCATCGCCGGCTATGGGACTAACGATCCCGAGAAGATGTCAAGCATTCACCACATCATCAAATTCCATGTCCGTCAGGTTCCGATCTTCAATGTCGTGTCTGCTATGGAGGACTACGCCGTAAAGCATACCCGTGTTGCTACAGTCAATGTCGTGATCTACGACGAGAAGATTCCTGCATCCGACATCGTCGCCGCTAGAGGATATCTCACGGGTCAGTACATGAGTTACGTCCTCGACGTTGCTGCTGCCTTCCGCAACCGTGGATTTGAGGTTCCTACTGTTGCTCAATTCGAGACTGAGCCTGCTACAAAGGGAAAGACCAAGAGTACCAGCAAGACCAAGGTTACCAAGGCAAAGAAGGCAAAGCCAGCCAAGCTTAACAAACGTGTGCGCTTCATTGTGGAGGAGGATGAGGAAGACGGCCCTATCCGTTGCTTGACTCCCATCAGAAAGCAGCCGGCCAGTGTCGAGTTACCCGAACGTTCTGACAGCCCTATGGGTGATACACCCTCCCCCAATTTCGCCTACACAGCAAACGGTCTCACACTTGTGGTTGACGCCGACACTCCCATCAAGTCTGTCGAATATTGCCCTGAACTCAGCACTCCTATCAGCTTGAACGAAACTCCATCGGCTCCCGACGGCACCTGGTCGTTCGCAACCTGCACTGCTCAGAACGCTCTTTTTCAACCCTGCTGAGCGAAGAGAGAAAAGGATGACGATGGATTATGAGAGATGAAGAAGGACGAAAGCTTGATATTGCATTGGATTTTGATTTTTGCTGCGTTCTGATTTTCGAGAGTTGATGATTTGACGAACGGCTGGGTTAAAGCTCTGCAAATTTGCATTGAGCCGTGACATTGACCCATTTTTTCAATGTAAATGTATACAAAGCAAGCAGGAAAGTTTGTCTAAGGAGAAAATCCATTTCCACTTCAGCTGTCACACGTGGAAAATGCCTCGCTCCCGTATGCCAATGACTATTTCATATAGCCTTAGAAAGTCACGGTACTTTCCAGAAAGCATATTGTTGCCCACGGAGAGATGGTTGTCTAGGTATATCTCAATGGTCATCGGTCTGTTTCGGGAAGAAACTGTGCATTTGTATAGCTTGTTATATCTTGCGTCGGTATTTGGGAAAGCTCGATTGTAACATTGCGTTAATGTCAAAGAGACCTCTGTAGTCATACTCCTAGTCTAAAAAGTAATTGTGCATCTATACAGCTTGTTTTGTCATGCGTCGGCATGGAAGAAATCGAAGGACTGCAAAGAAGTGGCAATGTGATTACCCACATTCTCTGCAAACGACTGCTCGTCTTGTACATCCAAAGCACCTGCTTGCCATGATATGACGATCGCAAGATCGCCCTGATATCTGGAGACGACGTTGAAGTTCAGACAGCCAGAACCCACATTCGCGGGCTGTGAAAAAATCATGGACTCAATGTGCCATCTCTTTTCTGCTTTGAAGGGCCCAGGATTGAAGGACATGATGTTGCTGAGTTCGTAGGAACATTCTCTGCGTTTGCCGACTTGGCCTCTGGTCCATGGGTACATATCACGAAGGTATGCCAGTAGTCCGACTGGCTGATCGTTGAGTGTGCCGGCACATTGAGCCAGATTCTTAGTCGTCAAACGTGCTGCATCCCAGAAAGCTTCGGTCATTGGATTCGATTCTTTCGATGTGTCGCCTTGCACGGTCCTTGTGAACAGCTCATAGTATGCGGTCGGGCATAGTGCCATGTCACTATCAGTGATACCGGTGAGGTGTGATCGTAGGTCAACAGCAGTCTGTGACACAAAGCAACCTGCTTTTTCAGGGGATACTTCTTTGCTCAAAGCCTGCACTATAAGCTGATGAAGGAGACCAGTGAACTTGACATCATGTTTCCGACATTGCTGGAGGATCTTCTGAACGTGACCATTTTCGATTGATACGACTGCGAGGCGGGTCTGGTAAGCTCCAGGGTCGAAAAACGTTTTGTTGCCTGCCCACTGATCGTCTGCTTCTGGCGTGGCTGATGCACGGATACCAAGTGAGTTTGCGACAAAGGAGGGCAGATATGCTCCTAGCAATGGTGACAGTAGATAGCTCCAAGAGATTGATAATCGGCCGGCCATCTCGAGCGTGGGCAGCAACGGGGTACTTGGGCTCGCAAATTTGGGGTCATCGTCGTAGGCACAATCAGCACTCTGGGCCTGCTTGAGCCCAGAAAGAAGTGTCTTATGGAAAGCCAATCCAGATTTACCGTCTCCATGCGAGTGATAGTAGCCGAACAGTATGAGGTATCTGCTTATGTCCGACTGTCCCCCGACTAGCAGCGGTAGTACGGTAATCATCCACGGAGGAGTATTGTCACAGCTGTTGAATACATGATCATTGGTTTGAGCCAAGGTAAGTTTGATCAAGCTTTTCTCATCAAGAAGATCCGGAGAATGCTGAGTACCCAACAAATCGATGTGATTATTCAGGTCCAACTTAGCCGGTCTGACGAACTCTGGAGCTTCTGTCTCATCTCCATGTATACAGGCAGATAGGATCGGGTGCGAAGCGACGCAGTGCTTCAAAGCCTTGATGAGAGTACTTTCTAACGAGAGATTGCTAGATGGTTTGTCGAGAGTATATACTCCTCCTACAACCAGAGTGCGATAGTACCCTAATGATTGTCGAACAATACATCGGCGTTCATTGGGACCTGATTAAGTTAGATGGTGAGAATGGTGGTCGCACAGAGGGACGTTTGTACCGGCTTTCCTCAGACGTTCCATCGCAACCATTAGTGAGTCTTGTCACCTTTGGCTTGTGTTTTGGTCAAATTGCGTAAGTTGGAGCCTGACAGGAAGGCTTGCATTTGACGCGAAGCATCAATCAATGTCCGCTGAGGCTTGGCGTGTTTTGTGTCTATTATCGCTTCCGCATCCTCAAGGCAGATACGGGCTGCCGGATAACCAACATCCGGCGATGTCTGCAGTTGTTTCGTGTTTCTGCTCATCTTTTTATGAGATATAGTTATGCACACTATGGGCAGTGGTTATGATGATCAATGCCGATGATAGCCGCCGATTACCGAATCCTCCACTGCTAGACCTGGCCGCCAGGCTGATCTTCTTCACTCTTTTGACCCGCCCTGCGGGATAGGGCAAGGGCGAGCGGGGTAATGTGTTTATAGAGCCCAGCAGTCGGCACGACACTTCTAGAGTATTCCTCTCAGCAACAAGGTACAAGTCTTCAGACCTATCGAACAGACCAAAGCAATGTCTAGAGTTCCAGCAGCAGGAGTTTGGGCTCCGGCAATCACGTTCTTCGACCCAATAACCGACGACCTGGACCTGGACTCACAGAAAGCATACTACAACTACTTGTCGAAATCTGGCCTAACAGGACTTGTCATTCTGGGTACAAATGCCGAGACATTCCTCCTTACACGAGACGAGCGTGCCTCACTGCTGAGATGCGCGCGTGAGGCAGTGGGCCCTCAATATCCCCTCATGGCAGGCGTGGGCGGTCACTCGACAAAACAAGTGCTGGAATACATAGCCGATGCAGCCGGTGCGGGAGCCGATTATGTTCTTGTCCTTCCACCTGGGTACTTCGGTCCTGCGACCACGGAGATTGTGGTTCGCAACTTCTACGCCCAAGTCGCAAAAGCTTCGGCCCTGCCAATCGTGCTCTACAACTTCCCAGGAGTCTGCAACGGCGTGGATCTTTCGTCGTCCCTGATCGCGGAGCTGGCAAACGCACATTCGAACATTGTTGGCGTGAAACTGACCTGCGGTAGCGTGGGTAAGATTACAAGACTGGCCGCTCAACTTCCTGCGTCTCGATTCAGTGTGTACGGTGGACAATCCGACTTCCTCATCGGTGGATTGAGTGTTGGGAGCGCCGGATGTATTGCAGCTTTCGCAAACGTGTTCCCCGAAACAATAAGTCGCATCTACAAGCTTTGGTCCGAGGGACAGCACGAGGAGGCCTTGAAGCTGCATCGCGTGGCTAGTCTGGCGGAGGAACCTTGCAAGGCAGGCATTGCGAGTACAAAGTATGCAGCGAGCGTGTTTTCGGCGCCCAAGGCCGGTATACAAGACGCGGAGGCCAAGCTGAGACCTCGCCAGCCATATCCACCAGCAGGAGAAGCAGTACAGAAGAAGATCCGGGAAGTCATGGCCGAGATGAGCAAGCTGGAAGATTAGGTCAAGCAGAGGTTGGCCATGCACGTTTCCGACAAAGAATATGTTCCGAGAATGCTCACTGCCTGAGCGACAAGAGCTAGAATTAGATTAGAATATCGGAAAACTCATTTCTCATTAGTGATGACGAGCGATCTGCCCTAGCCACAGCAACTCGAAGGCTCCTAGGTCTGCAGCGGTTGGACGTCCCTCTTGTGCTTCAGAAGCCCATCCTGGTCCGTCTAGTAGGGCCAGCATGTGATGTGTGGGCCTCTGTGTGAAAGTATGGGTACTCGTCGTTGAGCGACGCTGATTGGCGGCCGGGCGGGATGCTGAAGTCTAGTTTAGGGGCCGATCCAGAGGTATAATGTGATGGGCGATAGCCGGCGACGATGCCGTAACCATGTCACTTAGTCGCTGCTTCCGCATCCTCTGCATCCGCAGTTGACGCACTGTATGACTTGGTCCTCCTTGAGCTGCTTGCGAGGCACGCGACATATACAGGTGCTGTTGAAGTTGGTCTCCTTGGTCTGGATGCATCGGAGACAACAGAGCTAGCAAGGAGCAGTCAGCGTCTGCAAGACAAACAGAACTGTAGAGAGGCAACACACCTTTTCGTAGCCCTGCTTCTTCCACTTTGCGATCAGGTTCTTGTCGGCATAGTTGTTCTTCAGCAGCCACTCGTACAGCTGCTTGGAGATGGCTTCTTTCTCGTAGTAGAGGTCGTAGATGTACTTGGANGCCTGGTGAGCAGAGTCAGCATCCGTAGTGCGCAAACCTCCATCTCTCGCTGTGGGCCAAGAAAGCAGAGACGGACCTTGGAAGGAGTTCTGTCACGTACGCTGATGTGTGATCTGAAAGACGGGCCACACCATCTCATGTTTCTTCTTTCCCTCGTGCGAGGCGTTCTCGGCGTCCTTGAGCTTGTTGGAGAATTCGAGCAGCGTGTCTTCGATGTCTTCAAAGCCATCGGGCGGAGGCTTGCGGTTTCTGGAGCTGCGGATCGGAGGCATTTTGACTTTGGAGGGGTCAAGGTGACAGAGAAATGGGCGACGATGCGATGAAGCTGTTTGTGAGGATGCGATGCGATGCGATGGGCGAACAGAAAAGGCAGTGTCGAGTGACGCGCGAAAGCTGGTGCCAAGGCCTGCCGACCTCCGCTCCGCCCGGCCTGTCGCGCCGGCTGGTATGGCCTCGCTCGACCGTAGAAGCTCTCGAAGAAGCCATTGAACTCTCGTCCACTCGCCTCACCACACACAATGATCAACCCGACCTACCTTGCCCAAAGGACGCGCTCGTGTACGCCATCCACACCTACATCCGCCCTTGCGCCGTCACGCTGACCCCACCTCGTACAGNCCGTCAACTGGAACGATGCCCAGAAGAGAGTCATCAAGTCCTACCGCGAGTGGGTCCGCGCCGTATGATGCCCTGCATAGAAGCACCTGTCGCCAGCACACCCCTCTGATCCCTCCCAGGCTCCCGAGATCCAACAGATGTACTCGCTCAACATGCCCGTCTCGGCCATCCGCACAAAGATGAGACAGGAGTTCGAGAGACACCGTTACGTCCAGCAATTGAAGACTGTCGACGTCCTTCTATTCAACTCTCACCAGGAATACCAGGTGCGCTACCCCCGATCGGCTTGCACAAGTCCAACGTTGACCACTCTCTACTNNCAGGAAACCCTCAACTTCTGGAAGCAACTCACCCACGTCCTCAAGTACTTCCGCGCCGAGGAGGATCCCAAGTCTGCACTGCCCAAGAACTTCATCCAAGGTTTCCTCGAGGTACGAAACGCCGTGCCAGAAAACATCATGTCAGCTTCTTGTATTGACGCAAATATCTCCAGGGACGCAACTAGAGACCAAAACAATCATGATGCGCCTCTTGACTTTCCCAGCCTTCCCGTAATGATACCATTTTAAACCGCAACCCCGTTCTCTCCATATGCTCAGAAACGCCTGTAACATGCATGCTTTGCGACCATATTATCATGCCTTGCTGGCATTGAATGCATCTCTTGACACGGTAAACTTGTCGACCACCACATCGCAGAGATCCATAAGATCATTGAGACCCTTTTCCAGAACATCGTAGACGTTGACTTCGTCTGTGTACTGGTCAGCAATTTGCATGTCGCCATAGCTAGGTCTGTCCTTACCCCATGTTTGAATGCGCAGGTTCATCTTTGCTTCTGAAGGATGGGGGATCGAGTAACCGCAGAATTCAACATCCGGGCTNGCATTTGCATGAGTGAATGGTTTTGGAGATAGATCGAGTGGGATTTCTCACTTCTTCATGATGATGTATCGTAGAGCGTTTCCAAGAGTGTGGTCTTCCTTGGTGAATTCGAATGAAGCAGCAGTATCAGTTGATCCAGGAAGNCTGCGTCTCATCAGATTTGCTCGTTTTCGTTTGTTCATGATATATTGTAGCAGCGTTTTCCAGGCCGACATCGTAGGCCAAAAAGAATCTATATGGAAAAAACAGAATAGATAAACACTTACAACTCTGATGCGCTGGGGCTCGGCGAGTTCGACTTCGGCGCCATCCACATCAGCGCCAGGAACAGCATCCGCCATCTCGTGGTCTCCGTTGGTAGACATGATTTGCTTTGTGTTTTCTTTGATGTGCAGAAATGTTGCGATATAGCACTGCAAGGCGGGAGAAGTTTGCCGCCAAGCTGTCCACTATCTTATCAATCGCCCATCTCCACGCCGACCATCGGCTGCTGGAAACATGTTCGTCATTTCACTTTTGTGACTCGATTACGGTCAACAATACACAACGTTACTCAACATGTCTGACAAGCAAGTTCGCAGTGCGGTCATCAACCGCGATACCAACGAGACCAAGATTCAATTGGCTCTTAACCTTGACGGCGGCTCGCTGGAACAAATCACCTCCGAGGACAATGGCGCAGACAAGTCACACGCTGCTCAAGCTTCGAAATCGCAGACCATCGACATTGATACCGGCATTGGCTTCTTGGACCACATGATTCACGCTCTTGCAAAGCACTCGGGTTGGAGTCTGAAGCTCAGGTGCCGTGGTGACCTCCACATCGACGACCACCACACTGCCGAGGACGTCTTTATTGCCATGGGCCAGGTTCGTCCAGAAGCGACCGAGAGACTGACCAAACTGTACATTCGTGCTTACCAATACCNNCAGGCCTTCAAATCCGCCCTCAAGTCGACTGCCGGTCTCGCCCGTTTCGGCTACGCATACGCCCCTCTTGATGAAGCCCTCGCCCGCGCAGTCGTCGACCTGTCCAACCGTCCCTTCTGCGTCAGCGACCTGAAGCTGCGTCGCGAGAAGATTGGCGACCTCAGCACCGAGATGTTGCCCCATTGTCTGCAGAGCTTCTCCCAAGGTTCCGGCGTCACCATGCACGTCGACGTTATCAGAGGTGACAACGACCACCACAAGGCCGAGAGTGCCTTCAAGGCTCTCGCTGTTGCCATCAGGATGGCTAGCACACCGGTTGTCGGCCGCGAAGGCGAAATTCCAAGCACAAAGGGCGTTCTCTTCTAGACCTCTGCAATAATATACTGTTGGTACATTGCCATTCCCCAAGGGAGCATTCTGTTTCTCAAAAGTGCTCTGCAAACCTATATATCATAGTCAAAAATGATTTGAGCCGACCGAGACAACGCTTTCTTCGACAGCACCAATCGCCCGAGCTAGCCACCAAAAGCCTTTCCAGAGAGGCTGCGCTGACCACCACGATCATTGTAATACTCACCATCGTGATGATGCAAGGGTACTTTCCTATGAGCCCTAACGTGGTGATGTGTGGACAGACGGCTCAATCGCGAGAGGTGGACACTAGAATACATGAGTCAGTAGACAAAACTATAGATACATCACCCTTGAATGAGAGAGCGCATACCAAGACCTGGAGCCACCAATCCCCGTGTTCTCATTTCTTTGTCCGTTGGAATATCAGGTACATAAAGCTAGGGGTATAATTGATTCTTTTTGCCTGATTCCGCAATCTGTTACAGCGACGCTTCATTACGGATCCGCCTTCTGAGCTCCTCCTCAAAGGGCCGTCTTGTTCTCGAAATGGCTCGTCACTTCGTCAACGACATGGCCTTTCTTCGCACCTGTCGGCAGCTTGATGTCCTTCTCTTTACACCAAACTTTGAGAACCGCAACAGTGAGTTTGTTGATCTTGTTCGTCTCAAACGCCTTGCGCATGTCTTCATCGCTGATGCTATCGCTCGACTTGGAGGTACCTTCAGCGGTCGTCTTGGTTCGTTTGCCGCTTTCACCCACTGCTGCTGAGCCACGCTTAGTCGCACCTGTGACAGTGTGACGACCAGCGTTGGCCTTTTTCCAAATCTCGTACTGTTCTTCGAGCTCAGAACCCCATTCGATGACATAAGGGCCTGCCCGTTTGTCGATCTGGCGGTAGCGAGGTAAAGTCTTATCCTCGGGCTTCTCCGGCAAGTCTTCTTCCAGAGCTAGAGCTTGCAATATGCGATAGAACCACTGCAGAGAGGGGTTGGGGTACTTTTTGGGATCATACACAGCTTTCGGTAGTTGGAGTTGCTGGACGACAGTTCTCATCTTGTCGACCAAAGAATCAGGTGCCTGGACGACCGTCGTGTCGGGTATCTGACGAACGTCGTCTGCGAATGGAAGCACATGGATCCACAGACCTGGTGGCATGACCTGCGCTCCATCCTCGTCTAGTCTTTCTGCTCCCGGTATGATGGCAGCAAGTGTGGGCGTTGCGTTGCGGCGAGGGACGTACCAAGCGAGAGCCATCTTTCGGTCTTTGAGAAGCTTCTGTTGTAGAGCGGAGAAGACTCTTGTGCTGCCAATGATGTCTTCTTCTGAGGGGTATATGAATGTGGAAGGACGATGGTTTGCCCAGATAGGTAGCATACTCAGGGGCTTGAAGCCGATGATGCGAAGAACGGGATCGCCGAAGTGCTTGATATCCGAGATCTCCTCTGGGCTGAAGGTCACAGTCTCGCCTCCGAACTTGTATGCTTTTCGAATCTCAACCTTTTCGACCGATCTTGCCGTGTCCTCTGCTTGAAGGGTAGAAGATCCAACAGCGAGCTGGGGTCTTTCTCCACCCATGAAAACATAGCTGCTTCTTGCGGGCTCCTGACGCTTGATGATTATGTAGCCTTTGATGGAGATTTTTAGACCTGGACCGATCTCGAAAGGCATGTTTGAGAACAGGGCTCGTCTTGGAGCAGATCTTGAATTGATATTGGACAAGAGTGATTGTAGTAGAGTGAGACCGTCACCACTGGCGGAAGCTCTGGAGGCCTTGGTCACAGGTGCAGGGGCATCGGGATCCGAAGGTATAGCGCTGTAAATGATATCCNNTGTCTTGTTTGAGCCAATACTCATAAGATAGTCAGAGGCAACACATACGTTGTAGAAGATGGAGCGGTCAAACGTGTGTTCGGGGCTCGAGATGGGGAACAGCTCGATGACAACGCCCAGGTCGTACAAGTCTTTCGCTCTGACAGCGGCGGCCGACCTCAAGGCTTTGTCGTCGTCATGAGGCGTGTCGTTGTCGGTGACCAGGAACAAGCGTCTTGATGAGAAATTGGGAGCCTTCGTGGTGAAGATTTGATTTGCGCAAAACAAGACATTGGCCATGGATACGGCGGTGGTTGAAGGGTGGAGTAGTTCGTTGGCTTGATCCTCATCGCTGACAAGATCACGCAAGCGTTTGATATCTCTGGCTCCAGGAACATCCAGGTCTGTCAAGAGATAGCAGTGAGGGTACGAAAGACCCTTGGAGGAAGCGCTCTCGTCCTGGAAGCGGGACTTTTCGGTGCCAAAGAGCAGGATTCCCATCATGTCGTTAGGGTTGGAGATGATGCGTTGCTGCATCAGGGAATAGGCACATTTCAGAGCAGCAATTGTGGGAGTGTCGCGATCGGCTTTNTTGGAGTCTGGTTGGGGAGGTTTGGTGAGCATGGTCGAGCTGACATCAATGGCGAAGAGGACAGCATCTTTGATGGTTTTGTAGCCCNNTGGACTCGTCAGTGCATGTCTGTTTACACAGCAAAGAATTAAGTTTAGTACAGTTTCATCAATGTCTTCTTCGTCCTCTTCGTCTTCCTGGCCACGACTATGACTTGGATAATCAGCCATGGCGGTGCGGATTGGCTATTGGAAAAGGAGAGCCTGTGAGATGAATCAAGCGCAGGAGGACGTTGTTGAGCAATGAGGTCAAAGGTGGTAAATACCTAGGCAACACAGCAGTGGTCGGGGTTAGCGGATTTAGAGGCAGCGCGCGTTGGTGCCGCGACTGGCGTCAAGCATGTGACACTCTGACACAGCACCTTCCCTCATTCTCAATGCGGCCGTCATGAGCGAGGCTGCCATGGACACCTTCACCTTTGCGAGTGCCTCGGAGGTCAAGACCAGTGTCAGCGTCAAGGTGTGGTATCGCTTCGCGGCCTCTCCCTACCAGACGCGAACCCAACCACTAACACCCCCACAGANNGGCCGTCTCGAGGGCTACGAGAAAGCCTTGGCCTACTCGACTCTGCTACGCCAGCCCGAGCTGCGTCACCGAGGCTCCAACCTGAGGTATACCACGTCCAACCACCCGTAGACAAGTCTCAAGCTGAAGCCTGCCCNNAGTCCGACATCCGAGCTCTATGTCACAGCCCAAGTCTTCGCCGACAGCAAGCCCTTGACCGTACACGCCCAGACCCCATACAAGACTTTCAAAACCGCCCGTGCCTGGAACGAGTGGCTACGCCTCCCCATCGACTATGCCCTGCTCCCGCTCAACGCCCAGCTCGCAATCACCGTCTGGGACCTGTCACCCGCCGGTAACCATGGTGCAAGAGGCCATCATATCCCCTTCGGCGGCACCACAATCTCGCTCTTCGACGACGATGGCACCTTGAGGAAGGGCCGGCAGAAGTGCCGCCTCTGGAGGCACAAGCAGGCCGATGCCTTTTCCGACTCGACTACCCCGTGGGCTCCCTCTACCAAGCGTCGTCGCCGCAGCCACGAGATCCTCCAGCTTTTTGCCGATGACAAGCATAGCCAGAGGGCTGCCGAGCTGGAACGACTACAGGGCCTTCTCAAGAAGCACGAGATGGGTGAATTGTCCGAGCACAAGTGGCTGGATCAGATGGTCTTTCGCCAGATTGAGCGAATGGAGCGAGCAAACACGCGTGACGATTCCAAGATCCACGCCCAGCCGGGTGCCAATTGTCATACGCAAGACGACTCTGCAATCTTCTACCTCTACATCGAGTTTCCTCGTTTTGACCACTCTGTTGTCTTCACCGACCACGAATACCCACCTCCTCCAGTTTCGAGTGCTCGCGTACGTGCAGCTCCAGGCTCTGACGTTCGTCTGAAACCTCCGCCCGAGATACACGTTGGTCCTGGCATCGACTCGAAGAATCCAGGTTACGGCGACGCTCACGCTCCTCATCTGATTCGCATATACGATCCTGAAGTCGGCTTCTACGACAACCCTGCTGAGATCAAGCACCGCAGCCTGGTACGAAACCAACGTATTGGCATGCTCGATCGACATCTCAAGCCCAATCCAAAGACCAGAGACCAACTCAATCACATCCTGTCATACGGTCCTACCACGGACCTGAGTGCCGAAGAAAGAGACAAGGTCTTCAAATTCAGACATTACCTTACCCGTGACAAACGTGCGCTTACCAAGCTGATCAAATCGACATCCTGGAACGACGCAAATGAGGTGCGTCAAGTCATCCAGCTACTCCCCAAGTGGGAGGAGATCGACATCGACGATGCACTCGAACTACTGGGTCCTTCATTCGACAACAAGGAGGTTCGCGCGTACGCTGTCGATCGCTTGCGTAAGGCAGGTGACGAAGAGCTACTCCTATATCTCCTACAACTAGTCCAGGCTTTGAAATTCGAGCCCGAAGTAAAAGCAAATGCGAACTTCGATCAGTACGACTCATCTCTAGCTAGCTTTCTTGTTGCTCGCTCCGCCGCCAACATTTTCCTCGGCAACTACCTACATTGGTACCTCATGGTCGAGTTGGATGAAAGCTCCAACGACGCACAAGCAGCTACCTTCAAGAAACTCTATGCGCGTGTATCATATGATTTCATGCAGGAACTTGAGAAAACACCAGAAGGACAAGCGCGTCGCAAGACTTTGCTGCGCCAGGGTGAGTTCATCACCGTCTTGTCTCAACTTTGCGAAGATGCGAGGAACAAGAATGTAGACCGCATACGCAAAGTCGAGAAGCTCAAGAAGTCTCTCGTGGACCCAAAGAATGATCTGGTCAAGATCGATCCACCTCTTCCTCTGCCCCTTGACCCCAACGTGGAGATCGTGGGCGCTGTACCTGACAACGTGAATGTCTTCAAGTCGACATTGTCACCTTTATTACTCCATTTCAGAACCACTAAAGGAGACATCTATCCTCTCATCTTCAAAGTCGGCGACAACTTGCGTCAAGATCAACTTGTGATTCAGATCATCACCCTGATGGATCAACTACTTCTGAAAGAGAACCTCAATCTTCAGCTGTCGCCATATCGTATCTTGGCAACTGGCGCGCTGGCTGGTGCCGTTCAATTCGTTTCATCCAACCCTCTCTCCACCATTCTGGGAAATGCCAAATACAACAACTCGATCCTTGGTTACCTTCGTGAGCATAACCCAGACGGTGCGGCTCCTATGGGTGTACGAAAAGAAGTTATGGACACCTATGTCAAGTCCTTGGCTGGCTACTGTGTTATCACGTACTTGCTGGGTGTAGGCGACCGTCACATGGATAACTTGCTTCTCGCTCCAGATGGCCATTTCTTCCATGCCGACTTTGGCTACATCCTTGGTCGTGATCCCAAACCTTTGGCGCCCAGCATGAGGCTCAGTGTCGAGATGATTGATGGTTTAGGCGGTAGTCCCGACCGAAACCCGAGCAATCCTGACAGCAGATTCGATGAGTTCAAGCAGTACTGCTTCACGGCCTTTACTACACTACGCCGCTCGTCGAACCTCATACTCAACCTCTTTGCACTTATGCAGGACGCCAATATCCCTGATATCAAGCTCGCTGGAGATCAAGCTGTCAAGAAAGTGGAAGAGAGATTCTGTCTGCAGCTCAGCGAAGAAGAAGCCATCACGTTCTTTGACAATCTCATCAGCAGGTCGTTCGAGGCATGGGGCCCGGTGCTCATTGATGGTATCCACGACTTTATGCAGCGTATCAAGGCGTAGACGCAATGTATGTGGTACTTTCAAGTTGTGGAAATGATGATGGAATGATTGATGACTATCAAAAGCGCAGAGTGTTTTAGATAGAACCAAATCCTGATCGCCCTGCCTTCATCTCGTGCTGTGCAGCCAGCGATGTGAATATGCTGGGCCCCTTCTCTTAGTCAGTCTGACTGATCTGTAACAGAAAAGCATGCAAAGGAAACATCCTGCTTCCCGATTTGGGCATCACTGAAAAGAGCGGTCTACATGTTCGCATCCGTCGGGTTCCTGCATCCGAGTGTCGCGTTTGCATGACTTGTGCTGCTCTCTCCCGATTCAGCAAACGAACATTTGATATCGAAATGAGGTTTCAGGGGTAAAAAGGTCAGATGGCTCAAGGGAATCGTAAGCAAGTACTTCGGGAAATTTCTTGGGTCTGTCTCTGCTAGTCTACATCTGCTGCTGTTCTTTTCTTTTGCGCTTTTGTAGTTTTCTTGGACAGAACTGGTGCCTTGCTGTTCCTCTCTTCCCTTGGCTTTCTTCGTAGTTGAACGTCTGAATATTCGTGTGCATCGTTATTGCTGTGCTCGGTCGGACTGAGTCCGTTATGATTGATGAGAGGTGTGCTGCATCAACTGAGAGTGAGATCCATGGCAAAGACGTTAGGATCCTCTGCGATGTTCAGCACGGCGCCGTGCTCTGCACCGATCTGGACAGCGGTCAGCCAGGGCTCAATGGGCTTGAAGGTCTTCCCAAGGTAGACTCTACAACGCACACAGCTGCAAATGTTTGCAACAGGATGTGACTTACCGAAGCGGGAGTGTCGCTAGGGAACACAGTGATTCCGTCGAAGGTCAGACGCTGAGCCGAAGCATCGATGTCCCAGCGTTTAGCGTACAGGTTGATGAACTTGTTGAAAGACATGTCCCGGGCCATCTTGCAGTGCATCTCGCGTGAGACGTCGTCCTGGCCAAGATACTTAACGACCAGGACGAACGACTTTGCAGGAGTTTCAATCTTCACATTGACGCCGTCCATCTCAGCGACATTGACAGGGACGACCGTCTCTGAATCCTGCATGACCGTCAGGGTGACAGTGTCTCCTAAATCGAGCTGGAAGCAGTGTTAGTCGATTCGATAGAAGCTGGAAGCTTGTAAGGCACTTGCCTCTCTAGGGGTGTCTGTCTCACGAACACGAGCTTCGCGTCTGTCTTTAAGCAGAAGATGCTCATGGTAGAAGGCCACAGTGCCCGTGACCCCATAGCGTTCAGTCCATGCTCTCATGAGCTTGCCGAACTCAGAGCGAGAGGACATTCTGAAGTGAACTGCTTCGCAGTATCTGCCATCGATTATGCATTCCTGAACCACGACGGAAACTTGATCGGGTGGGGTGTCTTCAAGCTCGCCGCCTTCGCCGCCGATCTGCTCAGTCATGACCTCGATAATGTCTTCGTTCTCCATCTCCAGNCTAGCCAGCGTAGTCAGTATCCGGTGACATTATATTTGAGTTGAGAAGTCGCTTACTGTAGCTACGGTGTCCTCAGGGAGCACGCGAGAACCTTCGTAATAGAAACGCAAAGATGCCAAAGGACGGCCGGCTCTGTCGGCATAGGCGGTTTGGACTTTCTCCATGCGGGTGTTTGACTTGACGCCAAAGGCAACCTGAGTGCCGCTCTGGTCTTTCAGAACAATCTGTACACGGTCGGCGGGAAGGGCATCAGGTGCAGCGTTGGCAGGAGTTCTGGGCTCGTCGGAGTTGGCAGCGGCGCCGTTGTTGATGGGAGTGCCGGGTTCAGCGTCGTGTGTATCAGCGCCCTCAGTAGAGGCGGGTGGGCCATTTGGAAGACCCGACATGTTGCGTTCAGTAGTCGAGGTGGTGTTGGCTTGATTTTCGGTAGCAGATTCGTCTTCGACGGTCGGGGCAGGAGGCCAGGTGGCAGGCTGGTGGGTTCCTTCCACAGTATGGTCGTTGTGTGTAGCTTGGAAGGACCAAGAAGGATATAGAAATAGAAGAGATGGAAGTGGAGGTGAAAGTGGGAGTGGAAAGGAATAAGCCGACCGGAGAGTGGTGGAGGTGAAAAGACAAGTGACTGAAGCGCGTGTTGTTGTGTTGATTGAAACCGAGAAGTGATGACAAGGAAAGACTGTGAGGCCGAGGGATTGACAGCTTGACTGTGACCAGGCCGTTTGCTGCGTTTGTCGTCTCGAACCACTATTAAATTGAATGGCAAACGACTGGGACAAGTTCTGACGGCTGAGATATTAGGAGAAGTACCTACATGGGAGTGTGGCCAGACACGGTACGCATCGGTGGAGTAGTGAAAGCAGCTTGATGAAGTATTCACTTTGAATGAGAATGAACCGCCCTGACCATACTAAGCATATTGATCATCAGGGTGACTCCTTTGCGAGCTTCAGCAACACCAGTATCTGCATCTGCATTTCTCACTCAGGATATTGCAAAGATCCACACAATGTACAAAGGTTCACAGGAAGGCGCAAAGCTGGCCTCGTAGACGCACTTCCTACAGCTTGTAACAGTTGGAAGCTCAACATGGACCCGGGCCTGCTGCATTCAATGCAATCAAGATGTCAGCCAAGCAACAATTCGCACAAGGTGATGAGAGGGGAAGGGACTGAGATTCAACCAGCAGGCGGGAATAAGGCTAGATAGGGCTCGGCGGGAGGAGCCGCACTCCGGTATCCGATAGTAACAACAACAGAGACCAGAACAATTCCCCGTCTCCAACCTCATGACAGTTGACGACTAGAACAGCGACCAGAAGCAGCGCATTTCACAGCAACATGGCAGAACTCCCATCGCTGGTGCGCGTCAAGCGCAAGCGTGGCGAAGAGCCCACGGCCGACTTGTTCCTCGAAGAACGGACCCTGAAGAAGCAGCAGGTGTGGCAGTTCCGTCTGCAGCAGACACACCCCTCGCAGCTGCCATCTGACACGCCAAACGGCGGTGTGTCCGGAGCCTCCATTCCGTCCAGCGCCGTAGACCACTTCCAGCAAGAGCAGCAGCAGCAGCACCACCTCCTCCACCAACAGCTCCAGCAAGACACCCTGGTCCGTCGCGAGTTTCGCCTTGCCCGCCCGACTCGCCCTCTCCACAGGCGCATTGAATCCGTCAGGAAGCGCAAAGCCCAATTGGACCTCCACGACATTCCCACCTTCGTCGAAGCCACTCCTAAGCGACGCCGTGTTGGTCAGGAGGATGCTCCTCAATCCGTTGCAGACACCCCTGTCTCCACCCCCAGCACACTCAAGAGACCCGGCGCAAGCTCCAGGCTAAAGAAGCCCACTGCCGGAGCCCTCTTCCAGAGTCCCGCAAACCCACCTCCGGATCGTCTCGCCGACGCCCTTCATCGCTTCGCACTAGAGGAGGAGGCTCGCGAAGAAGCCCGCATAAAGCCGAAGGTCACCGTTATTCCTAAGAAACCCGTTCAAAGATACCGCGAGCGCCATCCCGAGCAGTTTGCTGCTCAGGCGCCAAGTACCAACAAGACAGAGGAAGATGTCGACATGATGAGCGACGACGATGATTATGTCTACGATACATACATCCGCACAAAAGACCCTGTGGTCCCCGCAAATCTCGAATCCGAAGATGCCTCCAACATCCAGGTTGGCTACATTGTCATCTCCGAAGAAGACCAGCCTCTGTGGGAGATGTACTTTGAAGACGACGCTGAAAGTGACAAAGAGTTCGAGACCGATGATGAGGACGAAAACGGTAAACATGCGACCCCTCCACCCAATTTTAGCAACCCGAATACTGACACATGACCTCAACTCCAGNCCGAAGGTTATTATGCCGCTGATTATCCAGAGGACGAGGTTGCTTCTGACGATGAATACGACCGAGGCGCATACGGCTATCGTCACGGAGGATCCGACGATGAGCAGTGGGAGTCGGATCCAGATGAGTGGAGCGATGGCGATGAAGCAATGCAGAACCCCTGGAAGAAATTCCCTTGGATGCGCTCTTCCCAGAGTGCTTCCGGCGAACAAGATGGCGAAGAGCTTTGAGAAGGCTTTCTTCATCTCGGCGCGGCTGACGATTGGTAAGACTGACACCACTCAAAATACCCGACTCTTTTCAGGAACCCATGATCGAAACCACACGCTCGTTGCCGAATCATCTCCTTTCCCTCCTCGGATATCTCTTGCGAAGACTTGTTGACTGGTGGAAGACCCCATTTGCTCCTGATGCGGTAGTAGACAGCCGTCAACCCGTCTTTCGCACGATGTTGGCCAAACACTTCTTCGAACGAGCACTCGATTTGGTTCCAGTCCTTTTCTTTGCCGACTCGAACGTACATGATATAGAATTGTGCCTGATCCGAGTATGGCTCGCGCTTCTCCCGAGGTGTTCTTTCGAATGCGCTTTCGGATACCGAAGGGCTCAGCATTGGGGAAGATGCAGATTGCAAGTTGTGTGTTTGCACCGATAGCTGGTTCCTCTGTGGTGTCAGGAGGTTGTCTATTGACATGATTTCTCTACAACGATCGCTGCGATTCGACTGCTGTTGGTGGTGGTAATGGTGCCCGCCGGTCGAAGTCATCATTGAAGAGTGATAAATAGTGTGAAAAGGTGCAGATACGCTTGACAGGGATCTTGGAGACAGAAAACACGGCGAGTTGTAAGGCTTATTCGAGGGTGGGTGGTAGGCACCTTTTTAATACCACTGCTGGACATTCACAGTGGTGCAAGGCATGATGAATACACCAAGCCGAGTCCTGACGTATCACATTTTTACGGCTCTCGACTCTTGGGGTTCGTTGCTTGTCACAAGTCTGCATGCGTGATTGTGTTGCTTTCTTCGAGGTCGAAGCGGAACAAAGATGTGTTTGACAGCCGTCCCCACCCGCTCCCAAACACATCTCGGACACACCGCCCATTTCCAATGCACGCTTCTAGTTTGGCAATCGATGCCATGGGCGTACACGGCGAGGCGGTCACTAGAGGACGGCTACCATTGCTTGCTGCTCCTGCTACTCAAACTGCACTCTGTTTGTTGTCGGCATCAGCGTCGTCGCCGTCAGCAATCGCCAGCCAGACGCCTTGTTTTACCCAAGCCTGTCGATTCATGGCAATGCACGCTGCCGATAGCAAGGTCAAACTTACTTTCTGCCATGTCGCTCAATGGGTAGTCGCGCATCTTTGTCTGCTCGAGATTGTGTGGTGTCGCCCGCCAGCTGGGAGCAAAGGGCTTGCTTGATCCGTTCCAGAGAGGCCAGACGAGAGACGACCGACAACACCTGTTGTGCAACGCTGGATGTCTGCGGCCAGATCCACATAACGCCTCCCTTCTTTTCTGGTGGCGCCTAAGCAATTATCATCGGCTCACAGCATGTCGACTTGCAACCCGAAAGCGTGGCACACAGGTCCAAGGCTAAGAACTGCCGGCAGCAGAGTGGGACCCGGCCGAGCGGGCAGTACCAGACTCATGGCATCTCCTTGTTTTCTTCCTCTTCGAAAGACAAACATGGTTGCTTATAGATGTCTCCAGCCCTTGATATCCAGACTGTGCCTTGGGCGTGTCAGGCGGTCCATTCTGCCCTCTCTTATCGTCTGATTACCTGGCAAGGCAGCGATATGGTAGGTACTGACCGAGTGTCACTGGAGACCGGCCGCAAGCCTCCGCCGGTCCCAGCGATCTGGATCAGAACACCACCGAGCTTGACGTGCTTCGTCGAGCATGGGTGACTGTTACAACGCGAAGTGGTGTACTTTCCCACGGGCCCAATTCCGTACGGGAGCGAGCTCCGAATTGGTGTTTTTGAGACAAGTATCATTACTTCTCCGACAAGATCTGCCGCTGACTAGATCCTTTGTGGGCTGGCCTACTTGAACAAAGAACAAATTGTCACTTCACATGCCCGACACATGTGTCTTCTTTATCGCATCTCCTTGTGCAGTTCAAGGCTGCATAGAGCCATGGAGCAAGTTCGTCCTCCTTCAGCTCAGGCATAGAATACGTGCAGCGCATGGCACCTTAGTCTGCAGTCCTGTCGTTCAAATATTTCTAAGCGTAGTGACTCAGGGTCCGCGGCAACGGCGCCTTCGCTTGCTGCCTGAAGAGATTACTGAAGATGCATGGATCCCGAAATGATGCTTGTCGTCTAGAGAATGCAGGACACCTTACAGAAATGTACCGCTCCAGCCACAGGGTCATGATTCGGACCGGAACACCATGAAGTGTGTGGAACACTGAAACAACACATCTCAGCCACCCCCTTATAGCGCTCTGGATACCAGCCTGTCTCCGAATGGACGCTCCCGGTCCCGACTGTTCGATCATACAGATGCGTTACCTGCTACCACAGACTCACACCACTTGGCAAAGCGCCGTTTGGTCCGAGTGCAACGAGACGTACCCCAAAGCGACGACCTCGACATGCCGGTTGAGGCTGATGTGATTGCACCGTCTACTCAGGACAAATACCTCTTCGGAAAACTCGCCGAGGCCGCGTTGATGGTACGTGATATCTATTGGGATGTCCTGTTCCACTACTGACCAATATTCACATGTATCCAAGCCTTTCACATGCTGTTTGCCATAATTGACAATGTGCTCGCTTGGCTATGGCTAATTGCCTGGTTCCTAGCACACATTTAATCCGATCTGTTCAGTGGCGATATCCGATCCGCACATCTCGCAGTTGTAAGAACGACGTGCAACTGGACGCTCAGCTAGACAGTGATACTAAAAACAAGACTCACGGTTACTAGGAGAGAATCCTTCATGGATTGCAAGAAGTTATCAGGAAGCGCACCAGAATCAGCAATTTATCTCGTCCTGAGGATTTCCTGGCATTTCCATTCGACCATTGCTTCGGTTCCTCGGCCGATCCGGAGGGCAAAAACAGGCACGCGACGTCAGACTGCTCACCTTCCTGTGATGGTTCAGTAGAGCTACTGTGTCGGGCTATCTAGATGGAGAAGTGGCCTTCTTTCCTGTCTGCGAATCCTGCCACTGGCACTTTACGGCCATAACACAATCTCAAACCAGGCCTGGTACCTACTATACAGCTGGGCCCATGTATTGCTGACACAAATGCACTTCTGACGCTTTTCTCGCTCGCCACGTGTGATGTAAATCAACAAGATTGAACAATCCGTAACCGAATGACTTACAAGTACGCATGTAAGGGTGAGACACATCCAGAGTAATGAACAGGGAAATTGCAACATACGAAGGTTAAGGTTATAAATCAATTGAACACGTCTCTCTGGGTTTCCAGTGATGTAGGGTTCTGTTATCATAGCACATGATCAGATGTTGTACATGAGCCTTGTTCACGCTGCAACTGAGCCAAAATGGTTGACTGTGGACTGAACATCGATGATCATCGCGCGATGTGTATTTAGACATTGAGAGATCCATGTCAGTAACTCAACAGCTAGAAGAGGAGGTTGGAGACAAGATGTGTATAACTAAAGATAGGGAGAGGTTTGAGAGATCATGTCCAAAATAGGAAGCTGCTCAACAGCCGTCCCCGCTCGTTTTGCTCCTCGGCCTATGAAACATCACCTTCGAGGACAACTGCTTGTTACTATTCAAAGATAACAGGCAGATAAGAGATTCGACATAAGAAGTTACGGCAGAGGCTGTGACACAACTTCTCCTTGTCAGACTGACTTGGAAATACCACCACTAACGTCCATTGAATCAAGCTCTACGCACGGTCACTCTGTACATCCTACACAATCATGGGCAAGGGCCGCAAAGCTATCATTGGCAATGCCGACAATTTCTGGCTACACTCTTCCAAGGAAAACAGCTTTGATCTCACGCATCCACAATCGCCTTCCAGCGAAGCAATCTCGCCTCGACTCGACCTAATGACATCAACTACACCCATCACCCTGGACCCGCAGAAGACAGCCCTTGTCATAATTGATATGCAGAATTTCTTTCTATCAGAAGCATTCGGAAGAACAAAAGGGGCTGGCCACGATGCGGTCAAGAATTTGGAGCAACACGCCATCCCTGCAGCAAGGAAGGCGGGGGTGCAGGTCATATGGTTGAATTGGGGGTTGACAGACAAAGACCTCGACCTCATGCCCCCTGCGATCAAGAGAGCCTTCGGATTTGAGGTGGTCCTAGACAATGAGGACGAGGAAGTCGAAACCGATACGGCAGAGGGAGACATCTTCCGAGAACATGGAGCAGCGGATGACCCAAAAGTCAACCCTCAGGACACCGTTGTACTGGAGAACGGCAAAGACAAACGCATCTACAAGGGTCTCGGCTCATGGTGCGGGAATCTAGAGCTTCCAGATGGTACAACCGTTGATGGAGGACGCCTTTTGATGCGCGATGCCTGGAACTCGGCGTTATATCCTCCTCTCGACACCTTGTACGAAGAAGGTATCGGCTGCTGGATTAACAAAGATCGTATGAGCGGTATGTGGNGGGCTCGCACTGACTGCGAGGACTTCTTGCAAGAGAAGGGAATACGCAGTCTACTCTTTGCAGGAGTCAACACCGATCAATGCGTCAGCGGGACCTTGACCGATGCATTTAGCAAGGGTTACGATTGCGTGATGCTCAAAGACGCATGCGGAACGACCAGCCCGAGTTTCTCGCAGCAGTGTATCGAATTCAATGCGGCGAAGAGCTGGGGTTTCGTAGCCACGTGTGCGGACTTTGCGAGAGGTGTGGAAAACATGGCCAGCCAATAGAGTATTGACCACGAATTATTGGGTAGCGTTGTAAAGGATATTCTTACCAAGCCCGCGTTCCTGCAGTATGTTTCAAGCAGATCAAAACTTCTCGCATAGGATTTCAGATGGCACGACATCAACACGATCGGTTGAAAGACATGTACAGGCACGTTTCAAACATATAAATTGGTCTTTCATCTTCAGCCATACCGAATGTCTGACTTGATGATTGAAAGCTGTAGCCCTCCTGACTTTTGCCTCTCACTACCAACGATCAAACTTCATGGCGTGTAACTGCAGGTCCGTAGTTCTTGTAGTCCACAGCCTAGCCAGATAGCGTGGGTTTCAGGGTCCTGTGCTACAAGGGACTCTTGAAGTCACCTCTAGATGCAGCACTGCCTACTTCTCCACGATTCAGCTAGTGTGGATCTGGTCGCGCCGAAGACAAATGTCTGGCTAAGCGATCTTCGAATACAGAGCTAGCTTGAAAGTCGCAACGACATACTATCATGACCTCTACGATTCGAGCTATCGCGCTTCTGTTGAAGCTAAGTCATACCTTATGCCTCAATCTGTATGCGAACACGAACTCGGTTGTGCGACCGTCTTCCTCTTGCGGCCATCTGCACATGTTTTCCTCTCGAGATGTTTCTCACATACGGTTTGTCAGAGCATTCGAAGAGATGGATCTTGCGCCATTGTGAAGAACACTGATGGCTTCAAGCCTTTCAAGAGTGTTGTATGTGATCAAGAAAGACCAAACAGCATTTGTGTTCGACTTCGGGGTAGACTCCGCAACTGGATTTTGATCTTGCCCTTTGCCCACATACAGGGTGTGTCTGCAGCCGATGGATAGCGTGTGGCTTGCAGACTGCCTATTTTGACCTTGGCAACACTCGCCATTTGCTGTAATTCTTGAACATGCAGACGCATGGATGTGCGCGCTATCCTTCGGACGTACGAATACCCTGTACACGTGCTACTCGACGTGATGACGGCGGACAAGCTGGGGAACAGTCACGATGCTGATGATGCGTAGGACATAGCAACAGTGAGAGCTAAGACACTAGCTGATGCTACTGCATGGGTCGTTGGTAGCTCCAGGAACTAGTTCATCAAGCTTAATGGAAAGTAGAGCCGCTGGTGGAGGTGCGAGGAAATGAAGTCTGTACCTGCTGACGTGGAGAGTTGCTCTCGCGTTCGAGTTGACGTATGGGAGCACATGAACAGCATGTCGTGCCTTGTCAGTGGAGAATGTATCGTCTTCTCATAGTCTAGCTACGCCTTTGCAGCGAAGAAACTGATCAGACTGCCAAATGCCAGACCAGCCACTAGACACAAGCCCATGAATCCACCCGAGGCCTCTCGCTCCTCTGGTTCAACCCACTCGGCAGCACCCATCATACACATGCTGCCAAGATAGCCATTTGATATGCCAAACAGCAGTTGAACGACAACCAAGTAGAAAACGTCACTGTCGACGACAGCGCCATGGCCACGAATGTTGCAGAAATGATACAACGGGATGAAGCACACACGGGCGATGGAGAGTATGAAGATAAGCTTTGGTCGGTGGATCAGGGAGAGGCGAGGCACGGCGGGCAGCAAGCGACCTAGTAGATCACCGGCGTTCCAGAAAAGGAAGGCCAGTGGTATGAAACAAGGGGCTTGAAAGAGGCGAGACGACGAGTGAGTTGCGTTGACACTCAATATACGTTGGGTATAGATTGGGAACATCATGGTGACAGTGAATGTCAAGAAGACTGCAGCTGCGAGCCAGCGCAGCTTGCTGAAGAGCACGGTGAGTGGCACTGTGTTTTTCTCGGGCTGTTCCAGGCTACCAACACTGGAGGCCATATCTCGATAAGCTGCAGCACACTTGGCTTTGTGTTGCCGAACAAGGTACAAGAAGGCGACCAGCGTGGAAGCACATATGACGGTTGCAGTAAGGAAGTAGGCGAAAGCAGCGGTTCCAGGGACCGCCGGTGCAGAAGCTCCAGGCGCATCATCAGAAGGCTCACCTGGCTGTGATTTTGTGACGGAGAGGACTGAGACGATCTGAGCAATGCAAGGAAGCACGCCAGCGACGCCTTGTCCAGCCATGATGGCCTGTGTATATGCCGGCTGGGCGAACCCGGAAACAAAAGCAAAGACACCGTTCTGACACAGGCCAGCGGCCAGACTGGTGACGAAGACAATGACGATGAGGAAGGCGAAGTAGGCGTTGGCGCTGACGCCGAGAGCAAACCACGTCGACAGAGCGAGCAATGTGAAAGCGAGCAAGTTTACCAAGAGGGACACGATGATACGGCGAGGATACGAAGCGCGCGCTTGCATGTTCGTAAGGACGAGCATACTGCCCAGGTTCGTGATGCTGGACACGGCCAATTCAGAGGCCTGGAAATTGTCCAAGAGGCGGTCGCTCGACGCAAAGCGGCTCTGGAAGTAGGGGCCTGCCGCCAGGAGCATATTCCACGCCCAAAGCATGGCCACCCCCAGCAGCAGGAAGATGGAGTATTCTGTCCACGAGAAAGATGTCGCCTCCCGCAGCTCCTGTCTCTCTCGCTCCTCGTCGGCCGAAGCTCCTTCGATGGGCTCATAGTCCTGCTCTTGCTGCCACAGTTTTCGCACGCGCTCCATGATCACTTGTGTTCGCGTTTTCTCGCTCGGGCTGACGTTGAACAAGACGAGTGTTGGCGTAGAGAGACTGTTGTCAATCCATCGTGACTGCCCACGTAGTCAACAAGTCACGTCTCCGACCTTGATGTAATGCGACAATGCCAAGAGCGCACAACTTGACGACCTGTGAAGATGCAAAGTTATGCAAATACACAATCATCCGAAATCAGACACTACCAAAGACATCATTTCTCTCTCTTCAATTTCTCGTCACGACCAGCTTGCGACGCCTTTGGATTCCCGCCCTTCTATCAGCCTGTTTATTTGAGCCAACAATGCCTGCTACGATATTCAAGACTCTCCACGCTACACACGAAGCAGTACATCTTTGCGATTTGTCCCCGGATACCGAGATGATATCTTTGTCCAATACATGAGAAGCCATCACACAGGATTAGTGACTCAGTGGCTGGCACTTGTTCCGTCTATTCGCATGTGAAGCAGTCCATTCCCTTTACAAACCGACCTCAGAATGGCTATTGCCATATTGATAAGTTCTTCTCAGATAGTGATGACTTCCGTCCCTTTGAGCGCTATCAGAGTGGTGTACATAGAACGACCACCTGCATTATTTGCGTGAAGGACCATGTGTCTGTTATCACCCCAGACCGACATACCGCCAGGAGCTTTGAGTCCGTTTCCGTCCCCAGTCTTGAACAATGGACCATTTGCACGGGTGTATGGTCCCATCAGATTGGTCGCCGTTGCGTAAGAGACCGTGTATCCCGAAGTGGCGAAGCAACCGCTGCTGAAGAAGAGAAAGTAGATGCCGGCTCGAGAACGTGTCAATACTGGGGCTTCCAGAATGCCCTGATCCGCGACACCGTCGTTGTCCAAAAGAGCTGCTGCATTTCCAGTAAAGGTATAGCCGTCGGCAGCCACCGGTTGAAGCATCAATGGCGTACCTACGATGGGTGCGACAGTGTTGCCACAAGCCCCTCCGTGACCAATCGAATTACCGTCGACTTTATATACGACATATCGTTTGCCATTCCTGTCCTTGAAGCCAGAGGCATCGATGGCGCCTCCTTTGGATAGCGGACAGAAAAGCGCATCAGCCAGGCCTGTATATGGGCCTAGTATCGTTGGCGAGGTGGCAGCGCCAACGCAATGTTTCGATCCATCAGGCCTGGCTGCCGCAGTCGCTGAATAATACATGACGAAAGAACCATCATCCTGAACATGAATCAGTGAACAAGTAACTCCGTGTAGACACAAAAGACTCACCAATTGTTGGACATCTGGAGCCCACGTCAGATAGTTGGCCATCCGCACCCAAGCTGGAAGTACAGGTAGTGCATCGAATTGCGAGCCATCTGCGTTCCTCACTATCGACCAATCATCAAAATTCGAAGATCGGGCTACTTGAATCTTGAGATCGGTGCCTCGAGTGTGGGTAGCAAAAGCGTACCAGGTGCCGTTGACTTTGATGATGCTCGGATCCGGGAAGTTGGCAGTAATGGCCAAGTCAATCGTCGCTCGCTTTGACAGAGATACTTGATTGTCACCTCTGACAGAACTAAGGACGGCAAACAGTATCCATATGAAAGCATACACCGGACTCTTGAACATGTTCGCGGTCAACGCGAAAATTGAAAGTGGCTAACAGAGAGGGGTTATGTCCACACAAATACTCTAGCAACGGTGAATGTTACGATAAACGGGCAACCGTTGCGAAGGGGAGACAAATCACTATCTTACTGGGGCTGAATAACGTCTAGTGATTGCAGCTTCGTCTTGCCAGGCGCAATCCAAGTGTACTCTTGACTGAGCTACGAAAGATTTCTTAGCCGCTTGTTGCAAACAGAGTCGGGAGGGGTGTCGAGAAAGACTCATTTGTGCGCGACAGAATTGTAGTCAGATTGCAGTCTACTAGTCATACATCCAGAAATAATAGGCTATGATGTCCCACAATTCGAATGCACTGCCTGGAGAAGGCGCTGCCAAGTTGAATCGACTCGAGGGAGGGTTGCGATGTATTTCGTGCAGGAGACTTGCTCACAAGCTCGCGTATAGGGACCATCGGTGGTCTCTCAGGAGCGATCTCGTGTAACCATCTATGGCCGCATCTGGAGAGATAAGTAAATATTCCTTGATAAGTCATCTTGTGTAGTTGTGTGCATATTTCAAAGTGGTTTGAAGACCATCCAGAAGCTGAAGGATGCGAGAAACGATTTGGCTGAAGCAGTGGCTAAAAGCCAAGCTTTTAGTCGACACTCGATACGACTGAGATCTTCCGTTTCAAAGTCGGTGTTCATATGCTATGACCATACAGTACCACACTGCTTTCTAGTACAAATCGTGATGGAGATGAGAGAACGAGAAAGGCTTTTCTGTTAGGCTGGACTGCGAAAGCCACGTATCCTGGAGGCGTGACGGGTCTTGTTAGCCGACCATGTATCACATTATTGGACCTTGTTTGCACAACAACTCAATAAAGAGACCATCAGACAATAAAATGAACTTGCTTCAATCAGTAGCTGACTCCAGTAAGAAGGAGTCTCAAGAATGGCTTGGTAAATAGGCAAATATTAGAATCGATCATCTGATAAGATAGAAACTTAGAGTCGCCGAGGTAAATTAGCCGCCGAGGTGTCCCGATCTCCACAAGGACACCACTCGAAGGGCCTCGCTTGTTGGTTCTTGGAAATGCTGTCAGCACATACTCCTCTGGAGCCTAAACAGAGAATCAACAATGCGAGGTTCGGCTGTCATGTCAAAGCTTCTGCTGATCAAATTTCTCTGATCACGAGCTGTCGGAGGGGTGATCATGGGAAGAATCTAGACCCTCGAGACCTCGCTTTGGGGATTTCTGGTTGCCGGTTCTCGGATTTGTCTGCCGATGCAAGACCTGCGAGTCGGAACATGCATTGACAAGACAATCCTTCAACCACGTATGAAGGCCTCTAGAGAGTCATGAAAGACACATCACCGCACATGGCTGATATGGTTCACTGTCGAAGGAGAGGGCGCTATCGACAAAGTTGGCATGGAAGGCCACTAGAAACACGACATGGCGTTTGTTAAGAACGTACCCTGAGTCGGCTCCAGCCATGGCCATCCTCGTGGCAAAGTATAATCCACACGATGCCTACTGTCGGCTCGTAAATCTTACGTACGTCGCTTACTTGCCCGTAGGGCCGTAGCTCGTCGAGTTTCATGGCCCTCAAGGCGCCATCGCTGGACACGGTCTAGTTGGTCCACGGAACTTCAGCCTCGAGTAGTCAGTACCGAACTACTTACCAATAGCATCACACTTTGCTCCATAGGGCGACCGTTTGCCCTCTCCAAATGGGGTAAGTCATGGGGAGGATCTCATTGACATGGTCGTTTCGCGATCTACGCGTAGATCTCCACATGGGTTATTAGTTGATATTGCTCGCTGGTCCCCACGATCCTTCTCGCGAACGGACCCTATAACTTTTCTCGCAAGCTCTTGTAGCTGTTCTGTATCAAGAATCTTGTCCTTCACTTGCACTTGTTCCGAGTCTCGCAAGCCTCATCTCTTTCCTTTGTACTCTTCTTTGTCTACCAACTTCTAAGAGATTTCTACCTTCCATTGAACCTTCGTTGTTGATCACTATCGTCGATCTGACCTGCCTATCAACCTCTTGCAAATTGAAATCCGGAGCATGGGTCTCATCGAGAAGCCTAGCGATCCGCATGGGTTGACACTCGAGGCATGGGCTCAGGTAAGCAGGAATGGTCTCTGGAAATGCCAGCATAGCTAATCTTATGACAAAGNNGGCCTAATGTTCGGCAGCCTGATGACCATGGCGTGTATTACAATCGCAAACATGCGAAAGAGAGTCGTCCTCCATCATCTCATCCTCATAGAGGTTCGTATACCATATATCCCCACATCGACTTCTCCATTTTCCCCAGGCTGGGGATGGCTCTGTGCATCCGTGTCAATCGGCCTCATCGCGGTGCTATATATCTCGGCTCTCGGTCTCCGGTTCCTAAGCTCATTATCGTCGTTGCGGCTGGAGAAACAAGACCTTGTACTGACACAATGATCTTTTAACAGTNTAATCTTTGGTCTTNTTCAAGGAACGTTCATCTTTCCTGACCCGCCATACTACGGGTGGTATGAATCTGTAGGGGCTCTATTCCTCAACATCAGTTGGAGTTTACACAATGTCATCTCATGGATGAAGAACAAGCCTNTTTTGAGTCGGAAAATGTCCATGATCTATATTGGCACCGTTATCATGGTGCAGCCTTATTGGGTTGCAGAAATCACTGCAAACTTCCTCTACTTCAACAACATCAATCACAAGGTCTTTGAACACCTCCGGCCCTTCGAGGCCTTGTTCAGGTATGCAGGTGCCCGTGTGCTGTATTCTTGATCAACCTCTGACTGTAGCTATAGAGATCCATGGTGGATATTCACAATCCTCAACCTCGTTTACAACATCAAGAAAAGATACGATTTCGGCTTCGTTGAGCTCGTCCGCATCTCTCCTCGCTTCGGTGTCCTTCTCGTGGTGATGACCCTGTCGGTCATGTTCCTATTTGTCGATATCCTAAGCGTTACCCACGTCATCCCTAGCAAAGGGTTGCCTGACGGCATCAACCCGTTTTGGAAACTATCCTTCATCTTCAAATGCATGACAGACACCGTCATCCTCGACGACTTCAAGACAGCCCTGGACAAAATGAAGGACTACCGACTCAGGAGGGTCACGAGCTACGTGGATACATATGACAACGCCGAAAGAGGATCTACAGAACCCATCACCGTTCGCACAACCGTCACACAGCATGAACACTACGAGAACAGGATGAACTTTGACGACAGCAGTATGGTTGGAAAAGACTGGGCGACTCATTCTCATATTGAACAAGTTGAGCTCGAGGAAGTCACGCCGCCGCCAACGGTTCGGACACAGATCGGTTGAATCTGTTTCTTGTTTCCCTTTACATATACTGAGAGCCTGTAAGACTTGCGTGCTTTCTGTCCTGTGATAGTTATATTCATATTCATATTCACACCAGATATTCACAATCAGAATGTCTCGCTTTCAGTGCATGCCTTCTCTGTGTATCAGAAGAGCCATATGGATTTTTGCACAATGCCAGGCTACATCAGAATGTGGCTGACAACAGTCTCAGTCATCATAAGTCGAAGATCCTGCTGATACCTCCAGCAGCGTTGGCTCTACCTCTTGTCCCGATAGCATTAGACAACAACCTCTGGAAAAACTGTTCTTCTGGTCTTTGAACATGGACAACCACCGGCTATCCGAAGATGATCATAACAATTTGAATTTCTATTTGAACTACTTATGAATGTACACCTCCCATCCCTCCTCACATGTTACGCTCCTAGAGCGCGAGAGCACCATCGTTACGATAACAGTAACACAGATGGCCCAAAAGCCAGGAACCTCAGGACCCAGGATATCAGCCGTGTTCTCAAGTCGACGCGCATGTGTATTGTTTCTACTACGAGACGGACTGTGGTCGTTCGAAGGATCTTAGGTTCCCGTACCAATGGGTGTTGGGTAGGACTCTTTGCCTGTAGCATAACCAACAGTGTTGGTAGCGGTCGACAATTTATAAGTCACCGAAGCTGATATTTGACCTTCGACCTTGTTCCTCTGAGTCTCGGCTCGGAGGTTGCGGACGGCCTTGTCCAGTCCCTCTGCACCAGCTTCAACCTGAACCACATTTGATGATTTTGCCCCAAGGTTCGCTTGTGCCAACGATACCTGGCCGTTATCCAGATCAAACACCCAGTATCCAGCTCGCATGACCGAACTTGATGTAAGTAGTCTGTTTTCGGACAGGCTGCGCGCGACTCGAAGCCAGCACATTGGCCATCCAGAACCATCAGTTGCTGCGCTACCATCTTTTGTCGTGATTGGAGCAAACAAATCAGCCAGCTCAAGACGCAGAGTGGCAGTGTTACTTCCGTTACCAGAGAAGGTGACCTCGAAATGAGTGGTATCGTTAAAACCACGAGCCACTTCTCTGCACGGCCTGACTAGATATCCTTGAGGTATTCCAGACCAGGATCCGTTGGTGAACTCACCCCCTGCATGCCTAATAACCTCTCGGTAAGCACTGAATGGTAGTTGCCAATCAGGGGCTCCTGTATCTATCAAAGTTTGAATCCTGTTGTCGCTAGTAGAGCGGAGAATGCTTTGATCTGATGCGTTGTGTGTTTTGACCTTGATTTCCTGGAGATATAGGCGGAAGTTATCGACCTTCCCTGTGTTATGCGAAGGCAGTAAGTTAATGGTGGTTAGGGGACCCTTGTACTTTTCGGTGTCAACCCCGCCAAACAAGATTGAGCCATACTGATCTAGTGTGTTAAGATAGATACTGTAGAGGCGCGAAGAGATGGCACCGGCTTGAACAAGCCCTTCGACGAAGGTGGGAGGAAATTTCTTCTTGATATGTGGTATGGTGAAGTTAGGCATGTTACTCGAATATCCGAGACCTAAGAGTCCAGTGGAAGGTTCAAAGGTTTCGTACAGTTCGTTGGCAAGTCCAAATGGAAAGTTTGTAGCCACCAGGTCGTCTGCAAGTGTTAGTCGAGATTCCTGGAATCGCAAGTACGGATTGTTGGTAGTTGATCCTGGATTAAGGTTTCACATACTAATCTGGACAGCATCTCTAAAGTAGTCACCCCTGAACCAGGTACTTCCCATCATGAAGTCTGTCTGGAAAGCTCTAGGGTTGGTCATTTCGAATGTTGAGGACCTGGACGAATTGAAAGTGCCACCGGCACAATTATGGGTCTGGCAAAAGGATGTATTAGACGCGAAGAAGAAAGTATTGCTGCTTCCGGTGTCGACGAGAACAGTCTGCAACTGTCCAGGAGTGCCGACAGTGAGATTGGCAAAGTATTGTAAGCCATCAGTATTACCAACACTGCTCATCAAGGCAAGTTCGACGGTGTTTGGGTGACTCCTTGCTACTCTTGTGCAACCAAGTAGCAGAGAGAGAGATGTTAGGAGCTTCATCATCGTTGGCGAAAAAGTTTCGGAGGAAAGTAATCCAGAGAAAGGATGGATAGTAGAGAGATCAATATATACTGAGATCTGATATCGTTATTACTCACAGTGTCTTTGAGCGATTGGTCAGTATGTTCACAGCCATGAACTTACTTACTGTGCCCAGTCACAAAAGTAGCAAAAGGGGTTGAAGATAATGCTTATCTCCCTGGCAGAGTCTGGGGCGAATGCTACGAGCATTCTTATTTTGAGGTTGTTGCCGAAAAGGCTCATTGCTGTACTCGCGTTGTCGCTAAAGCATCTCTTTGCAGCATGTCGAAAATAGCAAAAACCCGCAAAATATCTCTTTCTACGCATCGACACATATTTGACTCACTCCATGACTGGTTCGACAGTCTTGTTGCTGCGATCAGATTATCATTAGTCTTATACAGCCACTTGTTGGCCATCATACGCTTACAAACCTCTATAACATGAGACTCGCCATTCTCGTCGGCTTTGACAGCCAGAATACTTTGCTTGGTCTACCAGGTGTCTCGGGGACACTATCACGCATGATACAAGAAGAGGACAACTATCGATGAAACTCAAAGTCATTTGCTCCGGCTGTGGGGAGGGTTGCAAAGGCCTAGGTACAGACAAGCCTTGTTCAGAGTGTGTATCGTTCGAAAATTACTGGAAGGACAGATATTGTGCCGAGTCCAAGGCGTACATGTGTCAGCTTTGCTAGGCTATGAAGTTGGAAGGGGTTCAATTCGACAAGGCTATCAACCTAGATAGTGTGAGAACAAGAACACGTTCCTGTATTAAGTGCGATGTGCAAGAACTTTCCAAATAGTGACTCAAACTGCACGGACAGTTTGGCAATTCTACGCTGGTACAGGCTTACGAAGACCACCGAATGCAAGCGCGACAACTCCAAGCATGCCTGTGGCCCCTACAGCATATGCGACGTCACGGCCGGCCCACCAGTATAACGAGCAGAAGGATAAAGGACCTAGTGTACGACCAATCTGGCCAAACGATCTGTGGTTGCCGAGCTTGTTGCCACGCTCCGAAGCGCCAGCTTCGAAACTGCTCAGACTGTTGAGGCCTGTCACGACGGTGGCGCTGGTTACGGCGAGCAAGGCAGCAGCTCCGTAAAGTTGGGCCTCCGTTGTGAGGCGAGCGAGCAGGACGAAGGCGAGTAGGCACGACACAACACCCATCTGTACCACGCGGAGAGGATGCATGCGACGGGTCACGGTGCCTTGAAGGACAGAAGCAACGATACCGATGAAGCCGAGGAGGCGTCCAGTGTCCTTGCTGCCGTAGTTGAAGAGATCGTAGGTCATAAATGGTAGAGAGAATTCCATTCCGCTGAAGAAAAGGATGAAAGCCAAATGGGTGAAGTTGAGCAGAGCGTGTGAATTGGTGCGCTGAGTTGTGACGTTTTTGGGTCCATCTGTCTTGTTCTCCTTGCTCGGGGAAGAGCTGACAACATGTGTCTCGGGCAGGTAGAAGTAGAGGTATAGAGTCTCGGTGACGATGAGGAAGAGCGAGAAGCCAGCAGCGGTAGCGAAGGGATTGCTCTGCACGATGGTGACGTTGGAGAGAGCAGCGCCCAGAGCAGGGCCGAAGGTAAAGGCAATGCTGAAGCAAGCGCCGACCAGAGCCATGGTTGCACCACGCTGCTTGTCATCACTAATGTCAGTAGCGATGGCCATAGCCAATTGGACGTTGCCCTCGCTCAGTCCGCCGACGACACGACTGGCGAGAAAGGTGCGGAAGTCTGTGGCTGCAACCCAGAGAGCGACACTGAGGATGTTGCCAACCATGCTCCATAACAAGGCGGTACGGCGGCCGTAACGATCGGAGAGGCGGCCGATGACAGGAGAGGCGATGGCCTGGCAGAAGGAAAACAGCGAGCCCAGTGCGCCTCCCAACAGGACAATGTCGTAGCGGTCATTTATTGGTTTGGCAAAGGTATTCTTGTATGCATTGAGCAGGCCCAGGATGCGAGAGAGGAGGGTCGGACTTGACGATGAAGACGTGACCGAGGCATCGACGGCGCGGTAGAATTCGAGAAGCTTGGGGAACAGCGGGAGGATAAAGGTAAAGGAAATCNNTGGAACAGACATGACGGTCAGGCCGGCGCTGGCAGATGGACAATGGTTGGCGCGACTCACGAGATCAAGCAGAAGCGAGATGAAGAGCACCTTGAGTACTTGCTTGCGCTTGTGGGGCGTTACTGCTACCGCTGCTTGCGTCATGGTGGGTGGAATGAGCCTGGAGCTTGCGTCGATGCGACTGAGGAAGCGCGTTTGGGTGTTGGAGTGAGTGCAAGAGGAGATGTATGCTACAGGAGGTGGATGTCTGTAGACTTTTGGGCCATTGACAAATAAAGCGTGCTTACTCGACTAGCTGGAGCTGTTTGGACTGATCGTCATGCAGCCACGCCTCGGGTCATGTCGATCAATCACCTCCGTGCTCAGCGCATGTCTAACTAATGCACCCTCCGACGTATGACTCGCATCAAACAAGGGGTATCATAACTAAGGTACTGTACTGTGTGTCCGCCGTGCCTCGTGATCAAAACTCTAGCTCCTCGACCTCCATGCCACACTCGACGCACGTCTTGACGCTTGCTCCTGTCTCTGGGTTCTCGACCGCTCGACCCCATTCATGTTCGTGCTTTGCGCCCCAAAGCTTGTCTCCAAAGTTTCCTCCCTCGACCCCCGCCTTTTGGCGCTTGTATGCATCCACTCGCGTTCTCCTTTTCAGGTCGTTCAACTTGCTCTTGAACTTGGCCTCCTTTCTTCGCTTGGCCTCGCCCTGCCTCCTTTCAAACTCCTCATCCAGTGCTTCCGCGCTGCCCCATTTCTTGTCCGAAAACGCATACTCTTCTACCTGATAGCGCAGATATAGCATCATGTTGTTCCACGTTGACTTGTGCGGGTTTGGCTTCTCCAACCGTGGCAGTAGTTGTTCGTCTTTGAGCTCCGGGTCCGTAAGCAGATAGTCTTCTCGTGCTTCCGTCTTGGTGAGTAAGCTGTACTTGTCTGGGAACTTTTCCTGGCACCCTTTGCACACCTGACACCCAAACACATCGTCCCATTTCCAGTCAATCTCCAGAGTGCCGCACTCTCTGCACTTCTTCTGCTCTTTTGCACCTCCCAGAGCACTGAGACCCGGTTCGTAAGGGCCAGCTCTTTCGTTCTTCAGCTTCTTGATCAATTGCGCCTTTTCCCATTCCTTCAACGTCATGTTGGCGGGCTTTTGCTCTTGATTCGGCGTGTGTAACGCCCTATTGTGTGGATCGTCTTCGGCTGTCAAAAATCCGCCCTTGGTATCCGTCATCTTGCTGAAGTCATATTCGACAAACTTCTGGAACTTTTTGGCTGGCTCAATGCCCGAGTCGCGAGCTGGTTTGCTGAAGCCGTCTTTATCGCCAGAGGTTGCCTGTCGTGCATCGCGTTGGTTTGGTTGTACCGAGGTTCCAGATAGAGCAGTGTGCGGTCGCTTCTGTCCAGCGAGGAATCCTGAAGGTGTGCGATTCGCCGGTGCTTCTTGACTTGAGGCAAGTTGCTGTGATCGTAGGGCTTTCGCTTTCAAGCGCGCTTCTTCNCTGTATATAATGTCAGCATCTTGTTTTCCCCTGGCAAGGCCCATTTTCCATACCATGCGTCGAATCTTCTCTGGCGTCATTGGCGATCGTGGTATCGAGCCAGGTCGAGCTGTTCTTGGTGGCGTCGCCGCTCTTTCTGAGTCTGCCATATTGGCCCTAGTTGTTCGTGTCGTGTCGCGCAAGTGATAGCTATTCGAGCGGAGAGTGTGACTTTGGCCTTAATGCGCAATGTTCGGAGAGTTGAAGAGTATTACCGGTGTGAATGTTGATGCTATCGAAGCGACAATTCGAGAAGGCGCTGACATCATCAGAGACAAATAACAGGGTCATACCCATAACTTCCCACAGCTTGGGAAAATCCCGCGATCAACCTCACTTGCTTATCCCCAAACGTGACAGACAGAATTCTATGCCATAGCTAAATTCATGAGTTCTCGACCCCGTGGTGATCGATTGAAATCGGATGGCCTAATGCCTGCCTCGAAAATGCTCAATCTTACGCTCGAGCGAATGCTTTGAAAAATCATTCCCTATGACACCAGCACCTGCGCCATCATTGTCGACGACTAGAAACTTGAACAAATGCGACCCATCGCTCAAATCCAAAGCAACATCCGAAGTCATATCGATACAGAGTTCTCATGAGTTGGCGAGAACGGTTGTCTGTTCAAGCATGACCTCGGGTTACAACTGCCTGTCGTCTTCGACATGTACTCAGCTGCCATGTGATGGAATTGAGCAAGATGTGAGCAAAATATCACATTGGCATGCCTTCGTGAGCAATTAAGTTCAATGAGTCATGTATACTGTCGATGTAACAACCAATCGTCTGTATGTATCGTGAGTGATGCCGAGACCACATCTCGTTGTAAATCGAGCCCTTGTCCATCTTTCCCCTGAGACTCCTCTCCTCACAAATCTTGAGCTCTAGCTTTTGGACGATATAAGAATTCACTCCACTTCCTCCAACAAGAGTCATGAATTTCTTCCTAATGATCCTTTCCTGTCTCTCTCTACTGTTCTGCTGTGCGAGGGCAGCAACCAGTCCTCCCAATACTGTCGAGCTTGCCCTCACGAGTCGCGTTGATGACACCAATGTGCGCGGCTTGGCCTACTACGCAAATGTGACCGTTGGAAGTCCTGGTCAGTTGCAGACTCTCCTGATCGATACTGGAAGTAGCGATACTATCCTTNCCGCCATGAACTCCTCTTCTTGCACAGCTCGTGGCTGTCTAAACGGCCAATTTGATCCGAACATATCATCGACACTAGAGATAGCTTACCCTGGAGCTCTTGATGCGCACTATGCCGATGGTTCTNCGAAAAAGGGCGATCTCATCACAGATGTGATACATCTGAGTATGTATACATCCACCACAAAGTCGATTGACTGGCCACACACGGTACTTCCAGAGCGATAACTGACATATCTCCTAGACAATTTGACGATCAAGAACTTTCCCTTGGGACTTGCCTATCGGGTCAAAGATCGATATCTTCCTAATGTGGGAATCATGGGTCTTGGATACTCAAATAACATGGCACACCGCACTGGAGTAAGGAACTTCCCGAGCTTCATCGAGGGGCTTGTTCAAGCTGGTACGATTTCATCACGCCTCTATAGCATCTACTTGAATGCGCTGGATCTGCCTGGCTCCATATTGTTCGGCGGAATCGATATAAACAAGTACAAAGGTCCACTAACCACTCTCAACCTCTTACCCTCGGCGTCGAATCGTGTCAATGAATTTCGCTTGTATCTGGAATCAGTGACAATGCAACCATTCGATGAACCTAACCAGACTATCATTCAAGCTACCAAAGATATTAGATATGTTGCCGACCTGGATACAGGAACTCCTGACTGGATACTTCCGACCAGCGCATATCACAAGCTCATCGGATATGCTGGAGTGTTGCCAGAAGGAGGGTATTATCCCAACAGTGGAATCATCGGCGAAGAAAGCTTTGTCAAGCCTTGTAGTGACGTGACCCGTGGTATTGGCAATACTACTCGTCTTGAGCTTACCTTCGCCGACGAAGGTATGAACACCGCTACACTACAAGTTGAATTAGCAGATCTATTCACTCCGCTCACGTATAAGGACGGAAGCGCTGTCACCAATCTATCTGGGCAAGCGATGTGCTGGCTCCGAGTTATAGACGCCCAGACTACAGACGACAAACCTTTGGCAATGTTTATTGGTACTGGTGCATTCAGAGCGGGATACTGGGTATTCGATCTGGACAATGGCCAAGTGTCGTTGGCGCAAGCTAACCTCGACGCACACTCGTCGAACGTAGTACGTGTCGAAGCCGGTGCAGACGGATTACGTTCGGCCATGCGCATGGCAGAGTCTGGTCAGGGGAGGAGGCAGAAATCGATGATGCGTCGATAGAGATACCCGATGACAGGTCGAGAAGGAAAATTCACAAGACACTCTTCGCGCCGAAGACTACCTCAACCAACCAATCTTCCAAAATCTTGTTTACTTCTTCCGGGGCTTGTGTCAAAGCCCAGTGACCAGTTTCCACTTCCCTCCTTCTCAGCAATGGTATGAAAACCTCCATACCTTTTGACATCTCCGGTGTCAGCACTGCATCAAGCTTACCAGAGATGAACAAGACTGGTTGGTTGACCTTCTTCGTCTGCAGCCTGACTTCGTTAGCGTTTAGATTGCTTGGTCTTCTAAGCATCGCTTACTCCAGGTCATCTTCATAGTTTATGCGACGTGTTCGATACCAATTCAATGGTCCGTGTAGCCCCCGACGCATGTACTCTTTGATATAGTATTCAAGCTCCTGNCAAATATGTGTCAGATCAGCCTCGAATCACAAATCACTTCCACCTGGACACACCTTGCCGTCAAGCGAGGGTGCGAGGCCGATCGTCTTTAATCCTTCAAGGTCTATACCAGTCTCTGGTCGAAAGCAGGGTTTGCCTGACGCAGATCTTCCGCCATATAGAGCCTTCAAAAACCCTTTGACCTGATCGTAAGACTTGATATTGGCCTCCAGCTCAGGTCCGGCGAGTTGCAATTGGTACCCAAATTGAGGCAAGGGACCATTGACCATCTCAGCGAGCGAGATGTAATGTCTAGAAGGAGCCGTGTATGGCGTGCATACAGAGAAGACATGAGTAACGAGCTCTGGGTACCATTGTGCCGTCCGGTATACTACGAAGCCACCCCAGTCGTGGCCGCCCAGAATAATCTTGGGGGCTCTCAAATGTTTGGCTAGCTGAAGTATGTCATCAGAGGCTCTCCTGATAGAATAGAGGCGCAAGTCAGCAGGTGGTGAGCTTGGAGCGTCNCTGATATAAGAGTGCTTAGCCAGTGAAAGGAGAAAAGGTCATCTCGCTCGACTCACTGTTCCACCATATCCCATCATATCAGGGACGACAACTCTCAGGTTCTGCTGAATCAGGAATGGAATCTGAAAGCGCCAACCGAACCAAAGGTCTGGCCATCCATGGATAAGAAACACAGTAGCTCTGAATCTTCCATGCTGGGGCGCACCAAGTATGTANGTCTTCACAGGTCAATAGGAATCGATTGAACCTCTGATTGGGGACATGCACGTACGGTATGTTTGGCCGTTCAGAACAGCCTCACAATGAGTTATCCGGCCATCATCAGGAGAGATCTTGTCAGTCGACATGGCTGTTCACCATCAGCAAAATACAGCCCCTGTCGGAAAACAAATTGTTGTTGGCGCCTGGAATAAATGGCGTTTACTCACGCGTGATCATAAATCGACCTCGGTCTCTGGCAGTGTGCGGGGAGCCTCGGATGGTCTGGTTTTTTACTCAAGATAATTTGCACAACGTGAATAGCTTCAGGAGCCCGAAAGATGCTGCTTTGAATGTATCACTGGTTGAGTGTCGCAGTATAAGACGCTCGTTCGGTGACGATGCTTCGAGCCTGTACAGCGAACGAAGGAGCCGCACAGACGTCGCAATTGCTGAGGACGTAGTACGTGTGTTTCCTCAAGCTTTCACATCGTTATACATATCTACAGCATAATATGTGGTACAGAAACATGGCTTGACGTGCATGTGAGGCTCAGGTCACCAGGAGAGGCATAGACGAAGCGACGAAGACGACTTGGAAGTGTTACGATACTGACTCACCTAATCGGGCTAGAGGCGGAAGCGGCGATGGCGGGGAAATGGTAGGAGTCGACGTGACGGCTTTCGATGCGACAACGATTTTGCTCTGGTGAACGCGGTAGACTGGCCTCAGAAGAGTATCTCGAGATACTCAGTTTGCAGTATGAACACATCAACAGCGCCGACAACCGGACAGGCGCAGCAACAGCCCNGGGCGCGGCGGCCGCACCGGCCTCGCAAGGACTACACCAATTTGGACACGGTATTCGAGTCGCTCGACGACCTCAAAACCGCCCTACGCCAATACATGGACAATGCCACGACCCCCGACGCCCTCCCGCAATATGTCTCGTGTGCTATGACCTTGGCCATTCATGCCGCTCTACCTCTCAAGTCGCCTACCGACACCTCCCACCCTCGCCGGCGTCCCAGCTACGTGCCCTTCGATGGCTTCGCCGACGAGCTAGATCTCGCCGGACACGATGTCGCCTCGGTCCACAAGCAGCCACAAGCAGAACAGGACCAGGAGCAAGATCAAGAGCAGCAGTTGGAATACAAGACGGTGCTGGAGCTCGTAAACATCGACGACCTCAAGCAGCGACAGACATGGCAACGCGCTGCTGCCAAGGGCATTGTTCAGCAGATCCAGCACCTTGATGGCTTCAAGTACTGCTTCAACAACAACTGGTCCAGCAAAGACGACAACGGCTATCGCTACTCGTACACCTGTCTCGACTCGCTGGAAAACAAGGACAGACACGCCAATGGCTTCCGTGCCACCAATGCTGCAACCCGGCGCCCTGGTGCCAACACTCGCGGTGTTCGCAAACCCACCTACGACTGCAAGGGCCAGATCGCAGTCAAGTTCTCTGCCATGCGCCAGTCTGTCGAAGTTGTTTACAAGCATCACGCCATCCACAAGACGGTCGCTGAGAGACGCCCGCCTCCACGTAAAGATTCAAAGCGGAAGTCCATTACACAACAATCAGTCGCGGAGACCACACCTGATACAAGCTTGCTGTCCTTTGCAGATCAAGACACCCATGAAAACTCTTTCATCCTCCATGATGTTGATCCCTCGGCCTTCCAGCCCTATCCCGACCCTGTAGAGCTTCCTATTGCGAAGAAGCCCTCTCGCAAGACCAAGGACAGTGCCAGTCAGCCACGCTCGAAGCGCCAGAAGACACAGTCTTCTCAACTAGAAGACCAAGTGGAACGACCTTTGTCGCTGGTTGAGATTCTACAACAGTCGATGGCTCCATCTAACGCCTCCACTCTCAGCCGGGAGCCAAATGCTGAATTATCGCCGTCGCCGCCTCCGGCTCCTCTCTGGCAGACTCCGCCTTCGGCTCCTGTCACCATCTCCTCAAACGCTCTGCCTGTCAATTACCTTCCCCTTGCGAGTCGTCAAAGCTTCAACCCAACTTACCAGCAACCGCAACCACCTGATGTTGGTCGCTTCTCAAAGCTTGCTGTCCCCTGCTTCAAGTGCAAGGCTGCGCATACCCAGGTACGTCTGCGGACCTCTTGTGTCTGATCCCTAAGCTTACTATCAGTAANNCAGTGCGATGGGTTGCAACCTGTCTGTAACTCCTGCCAGCTACGAGGTACTGTTTGCAATTATCCATCGATCCTCAGATTCGACAAGGCACCCGTTCAAGATTCGCGCTGGATACAAGGTACGTAGGACTCGTCTTATTCACGCTTGGTTGTTGACGTGTTTCAAGTGCAACCTACTCAAAACGGACGAGGTGTTTTCCGCGTGAACCAGAGCTCTCCGGCAATTAATACATCGACTGTTCCTACTCAGGACATGTTTCCCGCCGCTGGTCAACAAGGTTCATGGTACTCTCAGTCCTGAGAGACCGTTGTTGAGAGGCTTGAGTACATGTTATGGGCTTGTGTCTGTTGTTTTCGTTGCATTCCTGTTTAGCATGTTAAGATACCCCTCATGAAGTTTCGCGTTTTGCCTTGTATTTTGATTGCGCAGCCATGTTTTGATTGCGCAGCCATGTTTTGATTGTGAGACATGTGTAGCAGCATCGATCGCAATTCAGTATGTCAGATTGACGTCTTTAAGCTAATAGTTGCATAGGCTCAGATAATTCCTCGGATCGAAAGTCTCGACTTCCTGGCGCTGTGGTACGGGAAAGAGGGATGATTGGCAAGGCCTCTTGAACGCACCAAGAGCATCACCGCCAGCCCTCCTGATATGCAGACATGACTCAGTCCTGCCATGATGCATGAGAAGCTCTAGTTCACCCTCTCAGTGGTCCAAGTACACACGCTGTATACTTATGTTTCGGAATGCACCGTCTTGTCGCAATACAAAAGGAAAACATAGGACTCTGTTGTACGAGCTCTCTCCTGGGCACAGCGCTGGACGTCGCAAGCATCATAGGATGCAAGAACTTGCAGTGATCGGCTCTGATGGGGTTTCGTTGCTGGTGTGCAGCTCAATCCTCATTGATAAGAATTCGGTGCAGGTACGGGCTTCGCAGCAGAATGGAGTTTCACCATTGTCCAGATACTCAAGTAACAGTCAAGATACAGTGTTTTGATGAGTTGTGTTGAATTCAAGAAGAACGGCCTATTCTCAAGCAATCTCTCCATGACCATGACAATTTCAGAGCATCGTAGTATCCAGCAGCCATACCACCGACGTGGCACGCAAAGGAAACCTTGTACGATCGCTTCGCACAACAGTTACACTCAAGAGACCCAACACTCGCTGCGCCCCAGCCGGAAGAGCATAGCCATATCATACATGATAGATGTGTTCACAGACAGACAGAATGTTGTTCACAAGGAAGTCACCAGCCAGAGAAGGTCCGACAAGACTGCCCCTGAAAGCGGACCAACATGTTCTTGTTGGGCCAATGGTCGGTGAGAGTCGTAGGTAAGTCGCTCAGATGTTCTCGAGGGAAGTCACAACTCAGGGGGGAATCTCTTACGCGTCGCTGAGAACGCGAAGCTGTCGGCTGGCGTTGAGGGAAGGAAGCCTCAGGCAGCAGCCCAGCAACACGCAGCGCCATCTCAACACAACGCCGTCGACGAGCGTCGAGGGAAAGAGCATCACGCCGCGCAAGTTCTTCCTTTGGTGAGGGCTCAACCTGTTTAAAAGGCTCTCTTCCCACCTTCATCCTCCATCTTCCTCTTCCACCACTCCATCACCCAAACACTCTCCCACATCACCACATCTCTTCTTGTTTGTTTCTTCCATCGCACCATCAGGCTGCATCATCAGATCAACAGCATCTTCATCTTCGAGCACGCTGCTCTCCAATCAACCACTCTTCTGTCTTCAGCCCACCCGCCAACATGAAGGCCACCACTGTACGTACTCACTCATCACCATCCTCCATCACCATTCATCTCCATCACTATCAGCCATACGCCTTCAACATCGGTCATCGTCTTTCACACTCGCTGACCATCACACAGTTGTTCGGCATCTCCACTACCATCACTGGAGCTCTCGCCGTCTCTGGCAACTCTTCGGTCACCCCTTCGATCACCCACCCAGTCAAGGTCTCGACCACCAGCCCGCATGATTTCGACGAGTGCACCAGCACCCCCTGTACTGAAGGCACTCCAAGCCGTTCAGAATTGGCCAAGCAAATCAACGCTGCCGCTCATGGTCTTGACCAGTTCTACGTCAGCATCGGCGACACTACAGCCTGTCACAACTCAACCTTCAGCTCGGAGAGACGCTTGTTCTTCAACAGCTGCTATCCCCACGAAGACGGCATCCTCAGTGCCCGTGGCAGACACGTCCGTAGCCCCATCACCAAGAATATGGAGGACACTTGCGTTCTCGCTACATTCCTGGACTTTGACTGCACTGTCGAGGGCAACATCGTCGCCGAGCTTGAGTCTGATGACTCTGACGACGATCACTCCTGGGACGAGAGCGGCTCCTTCTGCCTGTTCGACCATCACGTCACTGATCTCATTCAGGCCGAGGAAATCGAATTCTCATCGCTCAAGTGGACTTGTGGGCCCAACATCGATCTGGACTGGAACAACCCTCTCAACATCACCGTCTACTACCCAAGCCATTCTGACACCACTGACGACTCTGGCGAAAACGACCAGTTGATCTCCGCCAGATCTGTCGATGCTGTTCGCGACCACGTCCGCGTCTTCCCTGCCGATGGCACCAACTGCAACAACGCTCTGGACCGTGACTCCGACAGACAGGTGTACAACGACTGCCACCCCTTCGCAAAGCCTTTCTTCTCCATCAGAGCTCAGATCACTCATGGCAAGGGCAAATCCAAGCTCGACGGTTCTCAGCCATGCTCTGTTCTTGTCTTCAGCGATGAGAAATGCCACAAGAACGGTGCCGAAGTCATTCATCTCGACAACACTCTCGAGCTTGGCGTCTGCCACGAAGTCTCTCTTCACCACAAGGGCGACAACACTGCCATCGCCGGTCACTCGTGGAAGTGGGTCTGTGGTCAGGACATCGACAACTGCATCAACCCTGGTTACGACTCCGAGACTGAGTCCAACACCGGCAAGGCCATCAAGTCCACCGTCAAGACTGTCACTGCCACTTCCACTGCCAGTTTGGCCTGCTCTCTCACCACCGAGGCTGCCCATTCGACCAGCGTCATCGCTAGCGTTGTCACCATGAAGCCTGTCACTCACACCATCACCAGCGTCTTCACCAAGACGCAGCTTCGCGTTCACACCAAGCTCCTCACCAGCATTGCCACTGACGTCTCCACCATGCGTCACACCGTCACCAAGCCGTTCAGCACCACTTACAAGGTCTGTGATGCCGTGGCAACTTCTCGTTCTTGATCGCATCACCTTGCATCCATGAGTCGACTTGACTCTGCATGATCATCGGCAGGCGTTTGTTCTTGTCTTCCGATACCACTTGTTTCTTTTCTTCACCATGCCGTCTCGCATTTGTTATGACCAGGAGGCGTTGCTTTTGTTCTTTGCTTTGTTTCTTTCATCGGAGGTTGTTTCTTCTCATCAGCACGAGCTGCTCAGCATGTCCTATTGTCGACAGGGTTTTCATTTTTCATGTTCAGTATGCATTAGCACCAGGAGTCGCTGTTTCGCTGTCTACCATTGTATGAATTGATTGTTTCTCTTATCATTAATGTGCCTCTTGTCTTGTGATCGTCTTCTGTGATCATCATGTCTATAGCTCGTTGTCTTGTCTGTCTCCTTCTTTCTGTAGTATGCCGAATGAATAGACTTGAAGCACTGCAACCAACTCTACTATACCATGTCCAAGGTCCTTACGAGTCAAACATCCCGACTCCATCAGCGATAGCCCGAGTCACCAGAAGTAGTATGCAGAGTAGCTGTTCGTGAATGATAACGGAGTGAACCATAGAAAACATCTCATAATGATATTTTGAGAAGACTTTGCTTGAACCCTCTCTTCTGGCTGGCGAGAAGTTCTGCACACAAGCCCTCAATGGAACTAGAGTCGGCTAAACAATCGACGACATAGTCACAAAGCGGCAAGAAACTCTGGGGTTCTTGACAGAAAAGTTCTGGCAATTCAGGATATCCATACAGTTCTACAACTATCCTCGCGAGCAACTTCAAGGTCACAAACTGATAGTGGAAAGTCATTCAAGGCCAATGACAGTACAGAGTGTTTAGAAGAAACTTATCTCGAAGCGTGAGATGTACGTGAGTCTTGGGGAACTCAAACTCATAGCGCTTTTATGTCTCTGTGAGTTCGCCCTGTCAATTCGCAAAGAAGATTTGGAACTATGCAGCGAGATGAACCATGAACACGTAGTTACAGATGTACGTATCCAACCGAGATGCTCATATGCCAGTCCTTTCTGTAAGAAAGGGCCTCGTAGAGAAGGTCTGCAGCAGTTTAAAGCTTGGACAAAGCCCGGTATGTACTTCGAATCGCATCATAACCACCGAGTCGGCGAGCATTGTCAGCATCATCCTGGGTCCCCGACCATAGGATTTCCTGTGCCGTTGGGAAACTTGACTGCATTAAGCTCGACATCATGAAAATATACAGTGGGTTCATTGGACGGTCAAATATCTTCTCATAGACCGGCTCTTTGGCCAGTGAAAGTCTTGTTTATAAGCGGTACGGAACATACAACCCCTCCGAGAAATACAAGCGAGACTGTCAGTCCGATCTTTGTCGAGCATCAGGAAGCTCCAGCATTGGAGTGTCGTGCAAACATCCATTTCAAGACGATAGCACTTTGTTGACGCGCAGAGGGTGCATGTATCTGACTTTGTGGTGTATCTGACTTTGTGGTGTCCAGTACCTGTCAGAGTTGCTGAGAATTGGTCAATGTCTCTGTTGAGGATAGGGATGACCCGGCCGGCCATATTCGTGGGAATACGGTAATGCTCGGTCGAGGACGAAAAGAGGTTGCAAAACCGCACTGCGAACACTGAGTCTTGCGCAGGCAAAATGTGAGTGGTACGGTCTTGATCAGAAAGGCGCTCTTCGCGGATAAGCATTATCTCGGACAAGACACTATTGGCATATGATGCAAATGCTTCATTAATTGCAGGACGAGAGAGTGCACATGGTGAGCTCGGAAGCAAAGACATAGCGTCACAAGACTTGATGGAGGTCTGCGAAGATCAAGCATGACAGAAAGCGTCCTTGGGACTCAACTTGTTTCGAGTCCAATTCTGTTTGCTGATAAGGTGCAGAGTCCTACTCGCAAATGTAGTAACAGTGAAGGTTTTGCCCAAGAGCGGTGCAACGATAGAGCCAGAGCGAGATGAACAGGTGCGCGTTCAGGAACCAGGCAGTTGAAAAGCCAACACATGTCGAGGAATGTTATGAAGTTGTTTAGAGCAGTAGGATGTTCCGGACAAGACTTGTCCCACTGCAGGGCTTTCTTTGATGGGGTTGAATCTGGTCTCTTCATGAATGGTCTTGTAGGACCGGATCTGAAAAGCATAGAGTCATGGCCACCTTCGCCACACCCTCGTGGCCGGCTGCAACATCGCAGACCTTACTCTATCGAGATTTGCCGACTCTGGGTCCGTGAGCGTAGTAGGAGCACAATCGTCAGGGCCATGACGGACGAGGGAGGCAAGGCCATGAGCGGCATCTTTGCACGGACAAGAGGCCTACGGCGAACACCATGCGAGTACTTGGAAAGCTGGGTTCATTGAACTTGATACGTATGTCTGCATAATCAGATGGGTGGAAGGATGTGGCTTGTGCGCAGTTTAGAGCTTACAGGAGCTCGAAATGTTGGAGGAAGTGACGCGGGTGTTGGTTCTCGGGCGCCGAAATCAAATGACAGCTCAGGCACCGTCGCCCCATATGCCAATGACGGCCATTGCGAAGCCAGCAAAGCCGATGGTAGCCCTTGCCTGCTCGAGGGTTTGGGAAGATCTGACAGCCTTTTCGACCGTCTCGCCATTGACGTCGTCTTGACTCTGAGCGGGCAGAGTCTGACCAGGGATGAGATCCGAGGCGGCGGCGAGACCGGCGACAAGAGAAGTCCAGAGCAGGTAGGGATGTCTAGCACGTGCTGGCGAGAGAGCGTAGGCAAGGTTGAAGGAGAGCAGCGAGACGACGGCAAGTGAGCGCAAGTGCAGCGAGGCGCTTTGCTTCAGCGATAGCAGGACATGATGGGCGGGCTTTGCCGAGGGAAGAGCTAGTAGCGAGGGTATGGACAAGACGGCCAACGAGTACGAAGCACCNCTGCATCCATGTCAGTTGATTGAGCGTGACAAGTGCTCAGAGAGAGGTTCCGAGCTCACCGTGAAGAGACCCAGACTCGTGGTGCCCACGAATTTACAAGCGGCGATGGCAGATGGCATTATAGAAGAGCTCGGAGGTTGCTTGCGACAGACTCGATATGTCGTTTGGGGCGATGATTGTATGCTCGCCTTCCACTCACGTCTGTCTGTCGTTTCACCTTGACTCTCCCCGTAACTGCACTACGTCAGATCCGTGCATCCGTCCCCACACTCCAACGGCTATGCACCCAGCACAAGCACGCATGCTTTTGCAACTTGCGCAAAATACACATCAGTCCAGAGTTTGGGCCTTTGCTATCACATGTCCCTAGTCATCATTGAACCTAGCTTCTTGCCGCGTGGTCATGGTATACATGCATCGCATAGCTCACCATCTCCTTGAATCAAACCACTTATGCGTACGAGGTCTATCTAACACACCTCGGTGGTCTAGCCCTGAAACAAGTCTACCTCGGCAGCCTCGTGCCGCTCAGCTGGAGCTGACACGACCTTGAACACGCTCGCCATGCTGCTTGACCTTCTCTTCCTTCTACTCTCTACCACCACCAACATAACCAACATCCCAGCGTCGCCCAACCACACTTCTGATCGCTCGGGCTAACACGAACTCGTCTACTCGAAGCAATTGTAAACATGCCACAAGAGAAGAAGGAATACCTTAGCGATGCTTGGAAAGACGGCCTCTTCAGTGTGTTCACATGTCGCTCGGAAGAGAGTCCGCGCACTGCTAACTGACCCATCCAGAGGNACAAGGTTCTGTTTTGCACAGGTGGTGCTGGTTCCATTTGCAGTGCTCAAACCAGAGCTCTTGTTCATCTAGGAGCATCTGCCGCCATCATTGGCCGTAACAAGGAAAAGACGGAGCGCATGGCCGCCGACATTGCTACTGCCCGCCCTGGCGCTCGTGTACTCGCAATCGCTGGAGTCGACGTCCGCGACCCCAAAGCACTGCAAGATGCTGCAGACAGAACTGCTAGGGAGTTGGGAGGCATAGATTTTGTCATTGCCGGTGCAGCGGGCAACTTTCTGGCGCCAATGTCACAGCTCAGTGCCAACGCCTTCAAGTCCGTCATCGACATCGATGTCCTCGGCAGCTACAACACGGTCAAAGCGACGCTGCCTTACCTTGTCAAGAGCGCCAAGAGCAGCACTGTAGATGCGACAAACCCGAGCTCTGGTGGGAGAATCATCTTTGTCTCGGCAACAATTCACTATACCGGTCTGCCTCTGCAGACTCATGTTTCAGCCGCCAAAGCAGCCGTCGACTCTCTGTCAAATGCGGTTGCCATCGAGTATGGACCGCTGGGCGTCACTTCGAATGTCATTGCACCGGGTCCAATCGGTGGCACAGAGGGCATGGAACGATTGGCCAAGAGCGACCCGGACAGTGTTGCAAAGTCGGCAAAGAGGGTGCCCCTGGGTCGGCTGGGATCGGTCAAGGATATAGCAGACGCGACCGTCTATCTGTTCTCTGATGCAGGCAATTTTGTCAATGGCTCAACAGTCGTCGTAGATGGAGGAAGTTGGAGAATCAACGCTGGCGGACCGGGTTCCACTTGGAGTTATCCAGACTTCATCCTGAGTGGAGCGACTGTTGAGGGAGTCAAGGGCGGCAAGGCCAAGCTGTAGGCAGTAGATTGCAAATGTCTGTGCGCAAACGTCGGGACATGTGTAGAGGATGCTCTAGTCGTTATGGATCGCGTGTGCATGCGGCGGGTGACAAGGGCCAAAGCGGTGTACGGCAGAGGACGCAATGCTTTGTTACATGTTCAAGCGGTTGGAGCAGTCGAGTGAGCAAGTTGATTGAACATGCTTCACAAGAAGGGGTGACACGGCGGACAAACAGGAAAACCATGATGAGCACGACGGCGGCAGATCAGACGCGAATCTTGGACAGCGGGCACCAAGGCATCGGAGCAGACGGCTTCATTGGACGTGTCTCACAAGATGACGAGGACGATGGAGATTCGCGAACCTGTTTGGCTTGAAATGATGAAACAGCGGGCCGGCAGAGTGCAAATCATAATCAAGAGAGGCGACAGACTTTGGCTATGCCGCTTAGCGTTGTCGACGACTCGAGTCTTGCAAATAGGCGAGTCAACATTATTACCCAACGGCCGCAATAACATTGTGCGTTTTGTGCCCATCGTTTGCTTGGTTGCTTTGCTTGCTTGCTGGCGTTCTTGTTTTCGTAGCTACCTAGCTAGCTCTTCCTCTCTCTTCTCAATCCCAATCTACAATCACCACCCAGCTGGAGCTTGCCTCTCTCTTCGCGCCCCGGTCCTTGCTTCGCTGCTCGACTATATCGACGCCCCTACCTGGACACAGATTGCGCACTAGCTCTCCCCCCTGGCCAAGGACAGTTGATGGAAATGTGCCCAGCCCGCTCGCGATACGCCGACTCGACTCTGTAATTCTGCGACGAGCGTGGACGAGGTCCCAACACTCTTTTTTCTTCCGCAGCGCGTCTGCTCGATCGACACGTTTGCGCTTCCAACATCCAGCATCCCTGCACCACCCAAGACCAAGTTGCTGCAGGTCGCTTTGTCGCTGCAGTGTGACTTGTTGACGACCGGCCCCTCAAAGTCCCCTCTGTCTGTGTCTTGGCATCCGACGGGGCTCCCATATCACCATGTTGTCTCGGGGCCAACTTTTGCTGCTGCCACTGGCTCTCATGTCTAGCTTCTGGCAACACGCTCACGGTCTGAGCCAGACATACTGCTCGAGCCAGAACTCGGGCTCCGACTATGACGCTGGTGAGCATTGAGCACTGAGCACATGTCTCATGTTGCGGCTTCATGTGTGCCAGCCTGCTGACGTGCATGCAGTGACCAACATCTACCAGTCCAATGGTGCTTGCCATGACGAATGCGCTGCCAACTACGCCTTTGCCATTGTTCAGTACCAACAGTGCTGGTGCTCCAACTACGCTCCTGCAGACCAGCTTGACGTCTCGCAGTGTAGTCAACCCTGTCCCGGCTACCCCAGCGAGAGCTGCGGTGACAAGGACAATGGCCTCTACGGCTACATCAAGCTCAACCTCGATCCATCAGGCACCCAAGGTTCCGGCTCAAGCAGTACCTCCACCAGCAGTGCCGCCCAATCCTCAGAGCAGCAATCGGTAAGACATGACTTGATTTCCCTGANNCCGTTGTGCTTCTACATAATCTGCAAAACAACACCCTCGCTGCCCTGCATATCAACTGAACCACATGTCTGCTTAGACGCCCACCTCATCACCCTCTCCCTCCTCCGCTCAGGCAGCATCCTCCGTGCAGAGCGATACCACCGTGTTTACCTCTGTGCCTGTCACCGTGACCGTAAAGCAGAGTGCTTCGGTTGTCGTATCCTATATCACGCCTGTATGCCTACCCAAATTCTCTTTCGTCTGCAACCACATACTGCTTTGCTATACTCTGCCCACCTTGTTCTTGTGCTAACAGTCATTCAGTCCTCCTCGAGCAAGCCTACAACAACATCATCATCCTCGACGCCTTCTTCAACACCTTCATCCACACCATCATCAACATCAACATCGTTCTCCATTACCTCTACCCAAGGAGCTGTTGTGACAAGCAGCCCTTCTTCTACTGCTGCTGACTCCGACACCAGTTCACTATCTCACACTACCTTCGTCAGCACCCGTGTTGTCACTCTTTCAGGCGCTCCTGTTACGCAAACTGTCACAAGTACCGCTGTCGTGACCCCCGGTGCCGGCTCGCTAAATGATACAGAACGGAAGGGTGTATCTGGTGGGACTGTAGCCGGCGCTGTCATTGGCTCTGTTGCTGGTGTTGCTCTTCTACTGGCGGGTGCATTCTTTCTTTGGCGCAGGAAACGATCCGAGACATCCGATCCAGAATCTCCAAGGTCGGGCTCCGGCTCAGGTTCTGCCCGAAGAAGAATGGAACGCAACACTAGCGTTCTCAGCAAGACCGGCCTACTGTCCTCTGCAGGCACCGCCGTCGACATGGAAAAGTTCCACGATGATTCGGCAACGGGCCACAGATACCATGGCAGTGAATCGACTGCACCAATCCCTACCAGCCCGGATGGTGACAGACGTAACAGCCGTCCGCTTGTTTACGATCAGCGACTGAACCCTGCTGCCTTGATGCAGCACTGGGAACAAAACGGCAGTCGCGCGAGTATCGGCACCATGCAAGACCAACGAGACTACTCTCGACCCTTGGGTGTCACCAACCCCGATCCAGTCGACGACTGAGTGGCTTCGCTGCTTGTCTCTAATACCCGCCTCTTGCTCACGCGACCACGACGTGCACACACTTCTTTCTTTATGTTTCCCATTGACTACAGACTTTTTCTTGTCCATTTATCCTATGGTTATTAGCGGGCGTTTGGGCCAAGATGCCCTGGTTCTTCATTCTTCTACATTTATTATCAACAACACATAGAGATTTCGGTGTCATTCACGGCACCCTTCCTACCTATCCTTTGTAGGTATTGGAATTTTACTGTACAAAAAAGCAATCAAGAACAACAAATCATCCATCTTTTCCATGTCCTATCATCGTATCAATTCCAACCCCTCTTCACCACGGCTCTCGTGTCTTGTGAATGCAAACAGAGCTGTATCTGCAGGATCTTAGAAACACCTCCCAGACGTCAGCTCAACTCCTCGTCGGTTCAAATCTTGCGGTGGCATGTTTTGTGTCGCTTCGAGACCCGAGACAACGATGCCATCGAGTTCCCATCACTCATACTGACCACGCTAGCCCTATTGAGCTAGTACATCACATGCTTATACTCTGCTTCTCGCAAGACACACGCTTTGCTTCTCGTAAGACTGAAGTCGTGTTGTCGAGAGGAGGATGTTCAGGACTAGCAGAATCTGGATCTTCACAAACCTGAGCTTGCGATATCTGGTTCTCTTGTCCGAGCAGAACAGATGCTGTGGATCCTGAGCTGACGAACTGACCCGTGGGCTATCGAGGAACAGGAACTGCATACTACCTCGACACGCTGTAAGAAGAGTACAGGCTGCTCTCAAGCGTAAGAACCTGTTCACATCTTCGGCAATACGTCTGGAATCACAGAGAGACAGTGTTCGTCAAGCCAGTGCTCAAAAGGTTGCATACACCCTCAAAATACTTTTGGTGGAGCAAAATTCTATTATACCAAGTGCATTTGACAGCAAGGAATGCCTACCTGGGGTGGGGTGCTTCAGTCGCCAGATGCTGCTGCATATCATGTTGGCTCTAATCTAGCGGCCGCCACGATAGCTATCTCCATTCCTTCGGCCGCGACCACGGTTTCCAGCTCGCGCGAATGCACGACCTCCGCCGAATTCAGGACCGCCATCGACAAGAACATCACCATCCTCGAAAGTGTAACGCTTGAGTTGATCGAGCCCGCGACCCAGCGAATCACCGTTCCTCTTCATATCGGCGCGTGGATCCCAGTCTCTGCTCGTCTCACGATCCAACTCGTCGAGCCTGTTATCGGCGAGATCGTCACTTACTGGCTGCCAGTATAGCTTTGGCTTGGTGGAAGTAAAGTTGAAGAGCTTGTCCAGTTCCAGGAACGGAGCGCTTGCTTCTTCAACTACCCTTGAGCTGCGTCTCGGAGGAGGTACAGGAACAGGCTGAGAAGAGCGTCTTTGCTCGCCTTGAGCAAACGAAGGTCGTCTGCCGCTCGACATGCTGCCTCTGGGCCCGGTGGGAGGAGCGTTTGGTGCGCCAGCATGCGTTGAAGCACGGTGGACAGCAGGACCCGCCTCGACAAGCTGGACTTCTACACCATCATCGCGAGGATCGTAAATAAGCTCCCAGCGTTTAGCCTGACTAGGCCTTGAGCCTCCGCTTGCTCGCTCGGCTTCAAGATATTCCTGGAAGCGCTCCTCAGGAAAGAAGTCTGCCCAGAGCTGCTTGCGCATTGACTCTGGCGGCCAGATTCGAGCATGCGTGCTGGCCCGCGCCCTAGAAGCAGCAGATATTGATGTGAATAGAACAAAGGCATGTGTGCGCAGGGCATCGACATAACATTCTTCGACCAGGGAAGCGGAGGTATCAGAATGGTCTGGAGGTCTGGCAATGTCTTCGAGGTGGTCTCGCAAGCCACTGGGGTTGATGGGACGAACGAGATCGCGGATGTACAGAGCGCGAGTAGCAGGGTGGATGGCAGGAGATACAGCAACATCAGCAGGCTCGGGTGTGAGCTGGACGGGGTCGGACTCGGCAGGGTTGATTAGATTCTTGAAACGACGTTCGTTGGGACTTCGGGTCGACCTTGGCCTGTCGGAGTCGTTGGTGAAGGGTTGTGTCAAGTCATCGCTGGTTGACATTGGCTGGGGGGTAAGATCAGGTTGCTCCAGAGGAACATCGGACATGGGTACATGGTCCTTGATGGGATCTTGGTCGGACGGTAAGTGTACGACCGGACCATCAGCCTCTTGCTTCAGTTTCTTGTGGACAATGTCTTCGGACATAAGCGGACTGGGGCTGCGTCTCTTTCTCTTNTTACCATCGGCCGAGACTGGCCCTTCTGTCTTGACAGGCTCAGGAGTAGCGTCGGCGGGCCGGTCGTTCATGGCNTTCTGGTTGGGGCGACGGAGCAGCGTCTGGGATTGGCTCTGCGCCTGCGGACTCTTGATGGTCGACGGATTCTGGCGTGTCCTCGCTAGCTGGTGGTGGGTCTGAGGCATTGGGAGGGTCNNTATGCCGGCGGGCTTGTCTGCTGGGGTGTCGAGAGAGGATTCTGGGACAGTGTCGTCGAGATGCGGTTGTTGGTTCAGTGTTTCTTGATCGTGCTGCTCTAGGCGGTCGACAAAGTCCTTCTTGAGCTTGAGGCCGGTGCTGGGAATGTCGCGTTCCTTCAACTCATCCTTGAGCTTGGCGACAGTAAGTGAATTGTAGTCCATGTTGGCATCCGCGTGTCAACGATAGGAATTCGCGTGTGCAGGCGTAAGTCTGGGTGAGGGCTAGAGATGGTAGAGCAACAAAGAGGTGGTGCTTGGCGGATGACGTGCGTCGGCGAGCAGCCAGCGGCGGAGCGACCTTCAATGCGACTATCGATTCCAAGGGGAAGCTGATAACAACCGAATGTTGCTTCCACCATCTCACTCTCCTTCTCTTTCTCTGCTCCGTCACAACCTTACTCAAGTCGCCTTCCCAGCCCTGACACACTCGCGACTGCCGTCAAGATGAGCAACAAAATGTGGGAGGTCAGATAGCTGCTCCGTCCAGGGTGTTGTTTGTGCCAACAAGATGTCTGCAGGTTGATCCCGAAACCAAGAGCAAGCTCCTAGACATCCAAAGGACCAATGAGAACAACCGCTGCGTCGACTGCGGTGCCCCCAGCCCGCAATGGGTATGCCACTGACACCCGTCTCCCCCTCCCCCTGCACAACTCTCCGCTCACCTGTGCACCAAGGCCTCGCCCAAGTTCGGCATCTTCTTCTGTCTGTCCTGCTCTGGCACCCACCGCTCCCTCGGCGTCCACATCTCCTTTGTGCGATCCATCACCATGGACTCGTTCAAGGTCCAGGAGGTCGAGCGCATGTCCAAGGNNAGCGGCAATAGGCCTTGGAAGGACTTCTTCGATGCTCACGAATCAAACTCCCTCCAAGGCCGCACCTTTGACGAATGCACCATCCAGGAACGCTACGACAGCGACGCCGGTGAGGAGTGGAAAGAGCGCCTGACCGCAAAGGTTGAGGGCAAGGAATACGTACCTGGCACAAAGAGCAGTGGCATGACTGCTCGCGCAAAGCCTACCACCTCGGCTTCGACCAGCAGGAGCCAAACTCCCCTTGGTGCCTCGTCTGCTGGTCCTCCCTCGCAAAAAGTCCAGAACGAAGCCTACTTTTCCCGCATGGGCGCCGAGAACGCTCACAGACCGGACACTCTACCCCCCAACCAGGGCGGCAAGTATGCCGGTTTTGGCAGCGAACCCATGCCTTCGTCTTCCTCAAATTCGACCGCAATCCCTGGTGTGGATGATTTCCAGAAGGACCCCGTCGCAGCACTCACAAAGGGTTTCGGCTGGCTGAGCAGCACCGTGACCAAACAAGCAAAGACCGGTTATGATGGATGGGTCAAGCCCAACATGCAGAAGGTCGGTCTGACTAACTCGCTCTGAAATCTCAGTACTGACACTTTGACAGNNCTGGCTGAAGCCGATCTTGCTGCTCAGGCACGCATGACAGCGGCACAATTGGGCCAAGGTCTGCAGACAAGCACAAAGACGGCTGCCGAGACCTTTAACCGCTTCGTCGAGGGTGACGAGAGACTGGCACCAAAGGGAGGCAAGGGTCCAGCAGCAGACAAGCGAGACTTCTGGGACAGTTTCGGTGAACCCNCCCAGGGACCTGCGAACGACAAGAAGGACTTCTGGGACGACTTTGCTGCTGCTGGTGAGACTGCAACACAGAAGAAGGCCGCTTCGTCCAGTATAGGAACGAGTGCCATGAAGAAGCCTACAAGTTCACAGCAAAAGTCGGGCGATGATACTTGGGGCGACTGGTAGAAGCACGCAATCAAGACAGAATGATGTGGTTCGAGCAAATAGTTACATTTTCATGCCAGAACAAATACATGGTATCAAGATCAGAACTTTCCGAAAGCTCTTCTATAACGCGCCCAACTCCTTGAGCTTGGAGATCATGCCATCAACATCCTCGACCTTGCCACCTCCCTGTCTCGGTGGGGGCTCGGTGACCTTGACATGCTTGAGGCGCTTGGTGAGATCGATGCCATAGTCCTCCATGGTCTTCTTGACCAGCGGCTTCTTCTTGGCCTTCATGATGTTTGGCAGACTGGCGTAGCGCGGCTCGTTCAATCGCAAGTCGGTGGTGATGACCATGGGTAGCTTGGCGCGCAATGTCTCGACTCCACCGTCGACCTCTCTGGTCACGGTACACGTGTCGCCCTCAACTTCGACCTTGGAGGCCTGGGTAGCCTGAGCCCAGCCCAGCAGACCAGCAAGCATTTGGCCAGTCTGGTTGGCATCGTCGTCGATGCTCTGTTTGCCCAGGATGACAAGGTTGCGGTTCTCGTCCTCGACAACCTTCTTGAGCAACTTGGCGACGCTCAAGGGCTCCAGTTCAATCTTCTCTTCGACAATGTGGAGTGCACGGTCGGCACCCATGGCCATGGCGGTGCGCAGAATGTCCTGGGACTTTGTGGGACCGGCGGAAAAGACGAGAATGTCCTCGACCGGGGCTTTACGTTCGCGCATACGGACAGCCTCTTCGATCGAGAGCTCATCGAAGGGATTCATACTGTGCTTGACTCCGGTTGTCTCGACGGCCGTCTGGGCCTTGTTGACTCGAGGCTTGACCNNTGTGGGCGGTGTCAATCACAGACTTCCAGATGTGGACATGGACTCGAGTGGACTGACAGCATAGTCAATGACGCGCTTGACCGGCACGAGGATTCGTAGACCAGACATGTTGTTGTGAAGAGTGATGCGAAATAAGTTGGACGAGGGGACAAGATGGCCGTCACAAGCAAGTTTGGGCAGGCGATTCCGACCTCGGCATTCGCCTGGGCTGTTTGAACTCATGAGGGGTGCCCATGCAAAACTCGGCCTAACGCTTTCACCATCCTACCTCTTTGACGTAGCGCTACTCGATTCTTTTACAAGTACAATGTCATAGTGGATGCTGTTGTGATCAGGTTTCTCGTTCACAGCATATGCTCTGGTTGCTCTTATCCCAGCACACAGCTTTGCATCCTGAAGTCATCACAACGCGCATAACAAATCCAAGACAAAGATGGTTGAATCATGATCGCTTTTCTTTCGTCATACTAATACATATTCAATGGTCGTCAAGTTACCATGTAGAATAGAGAAGGAAGGGTAGGGCATATAAATGTCATGTGGAAATCATATCTTTTGCGCAACCGGCTTCAACAAATCTTAGCAGTCAACTTGACGCCGCACCTAGGTCATGCTTCGATTTGTACGGCCGCCGTAATGCTTGGTGCTTCTTGTGGTGCTTCAGACCAACGTCTGGCATCCTGGTGTGCTCGGCCAGTCGTGCTCGGTAGTTTCGATTTACTCGGCGACGGCAGCGGAGGTGTTGGCAGATCCCTCGGCAGTAGAGGGCTTGCCGTCAGTCTCGGCCTCATCCTCGATNGGGAGCGTTGGGGTCTTCGTCCTCCTTTCCGGGGCTGTCGATGGCGACCTTNNGACAGCGATCTCACGGCCCTCAATCTCCTTGCCGTTCATGTCGGAGCAAGCCTTCTGCTGAAGCTCCTCGGATTCGAGAGTGACGAAGCCAAAGCCGCGGCCCTTGCGAGGCTCGTTGCGAGCTTGAAGCTTGCGGACCATGAAGCGAGGGATGGGACGGAGAGCGATCTTGGCTGAGGTGGGCTTGTACTCGGCGAAGATTTCAAGGAGCNNTGTCACGACCGGGTTAGCATAATGATCACGCGACACATTTTGGTTTCAGCAGCTCACCTTCTCCTCGCGAAGGTCGTATGGGAGGTTAGCGACCATGACCTTGGTCTTGGAGGGAACGCCATCCTCAGGAGGACCGCGCTGCTTGCGAGGGCGAAGAGCGTCAGTCTTGCCGGTCTTGTTGGGGTTAACGGTCATGGCGTCCTTGTCACCAGGGGCGGCAGAAAGAGCCTCGTTGGTGGTCTCGGTCAGAGGAAGGACCTGGCCAGGAACGTTGGTAGGTCCATCAGTCGAGTCGGCAGGTGCGTCGGTGGCCTGGTCATCGGCGTTGCGACCCTATACTTGTTAGTTTTTGGTTCAAAATGGAGGCTGTGCATTATGACTTACGCGACCACGGCCAGAACGGCCACCGCGACCGCGGCCACGACCACGACCGCGAGTAGAGCTACGACGGCGAGCAGGCTCGGCACTCTCGTTACCCTCCTGGGCAGGCTCGGGCTTGCGAGCGAGCTGAACGGAGACCTTGCGGTCAAGGATGGTCTTGCCGTTCAACTCACTGATGGCGCGCTCGGCCTCAGAGGGAGTCGAGACATCAACGAAGGCGTAGCCGACGGGACGAGTGGTACGGGGGTTGGTGGGGATGGAGGTGGTCTCGNNCTGTAGCTGAAGTCAGGGGGGTGAAGACCGTGATCAAGAAGGCGAGGAGACTCACACAAGGTAGTCCTTGAAGAAATCCTTCAACTCTCCCTCAGTGGTCGCATAGGCGAGGTTTCCAATGTAGAGTCTTCTACCCTCGGCGGCGCTGGCGATGACGGCCTCGTTCTGAGAGGCGTTGATGGGCTTGTCGCCGCCGGCTCCGACTGAAGCACCCTCGGCGGTCGAGGTGGGCTCGGTGATGGTAGTGTTTGCCATTTGGGCGGTGGCAGCTTCGACGGACATTATGACGTTGGTAGGTGGATGACGCTGGAGCTGTGAGGTCTGGGGAGGTTGGTTGGATTGTCGAGACCGCCTGTTGTGGTGGAAACTGGCTTGACGAGGGAGAGTTCTGGGTAGCTAGGTGCCCGATTCGTAGTGTTGGGGATGAGGAGAGGGTGGAAAGTGTGTCACTTTGCTGTGTGGTAGGTGGTGTTAATGGAAGGTGTTGTTGTCTCGTAAACTAGGTGGCTTGACTTCTCGTTCCGGTCGAATTTCGGCAGTCGCTGCTCAGCAGGGTCCACGTCCCTTCTTGGCTGGCGTAACTTGCTGGCGTCGTGGGGAAGGAAGGACCTAGAAGTCGCCTCAAGGATGAGCCATCACTCTTGTCAGACTCTCTGCGAGGATTTTCACTTCGGTTCACAATCTAGACTTCGCATTCACGTACATTGTCTTCAATTAGTCGCGATCAAATAACTGGCTGGCTCTCCCATTAATTGACGACACGCGACAACTGCACTACTGCATGACACACCCTCAAAATGGTGTCTCCGGACACGCTGCTGCGATAACTGGACAATCTCCTGCANAAAAGGTGATTGT